AAAACACACACACAACACTTGTATTTCCAGTAGCTCAAAACATTGGAACAAAAAATCATCAATTGAATTATTATTGTCATCAAACTCGAGAGAAAAAAAAACTAACTTCACATATTTCATATGATCCGATGGTCAAAGCAACAACAACAACAACAAAATTGGATATTTTGGATCTAAATATGACTAATAGGCTTATCTATTTCATTCATTCATATGAATTCGAATTCGAATTCTATTTCAACTTATTTAGGTCCAAAAAAAAAAAATAAGAAATAGATAAATCAATCGATTGATCTGTGTGTCTCATTTTTTCGACTTATGAACTGTGATAATAATGATGATGAAGATTTGATCTTCAAAAGATGAGAAATAACAACGACGACGACGACGATGACCAATGTGCATTGACAGAATTATTTTCGAATAACGGATATTCTTCTTTTCAATAATAATCATATTCTCTTTTTTTTCTTCTTCATTGATAGATTGCTACAACAACAACAACCAATATAATAATAACCAAACAAACGGCTAATAACCACCATCATCACCAACATATGAGCAATGCACAAACACACACACACAAACACCAGAAGAAAAAACCAGATAAATTCTAATTGAAATGATATGATATAACCCTCCCCATAAGAAACGACGATGGGACAACCAAAAAAAAAAAAAAGATTGAATAAAAATCCATCATTGATGAAAGTAAAATATTTTCCCATCAACAAATCAAATTTATATACGGATTATTTTGTTTATGATGATCACTAAATGAATTTCAACATAATTTTTTCTCTCTTTTTTTTTGATCGTCCAATGTCCAATGTGACATTATATATACACCATCGTCTTTTCAAATGTAAAAAATATGAATGAACAAGAAATATTCCTAAAAAAAAACTAACAAAATTCTTTAGCCTTTTTTGTGATGATGATGAGATTCAATAAATCAGAAACGATTTTTTTCTTTGATTTCGTTTTGTACAGCTACTTATTGAATCAGAATCCAGCTTATAATTTCTCATTTTTTTTTTTTGATTTGACTTTTTTTTCTGCTGGTGTCTTTGGATAGCTCGGGTCAATTTTTTTGGTGAACAAAAATATGGTGATGGCGGCGGCCTGGTTCTGGATGGAATATATAAAAAAGAAATGTGATAATTTTGAATGACATTTGTTTGTTTGGATATTCGAAAATTTTGTGTCGAAAGAAAGAAAGAAAGAAAAAAAAAATAATTATATTTTCGAGACCAGTTTTTTTTGTTTTGTTTTTGTTTTTTACAAGAATCCTCGACAACAGCAAAGATGATATAACATGATTTTTTGTTTCGTCTTCATCTTTTTCTTTTACATTTTTTTTTGTTGCCTATTCTTCTATTGGTGTTAATGTCAAAAAATTGGACAATGGTCATAACACACTTACACACACACACACACTGGTGTATCCAGTTTGGTTTGACAGTTTTGTGAAATTTCTCTCTCTCTCTCTCTCTCTCTCTCTCTTACTTATGGATTTTATAATTCTGTTGGAAGTGAATGGAGAGAGAGTGAGAAACATGTTTCACTCTTTGGATAGAAAAGATTCTTCTTCTAAAATGTTTCTGAAACATTTTTTTTATATATTCTGTCCATTTGATTTAAATAATAATGATATTTTCTGTTATTTTTGTTTCATTCGAAATAAACACTTGTCATCAACATCATTTTTTCATCTTCTTCTAGTCATGGATTGTCAATTTGTATTTTTCTGAAATTTTTTTTTATATTATTATTTTTGATTTAGTAAACAAGTGGTGGATTGTAATTCAATTACAAATGTGTTAGTATTGTGTGTGAGTGTGTGTGTGTGTGTGTCTCAAAAGCACAAAGGTCACTCACATGGATCAATCGATCGATTAAACGTTCAAGGGCATTTAGGGTCAATTAAATTTTCAACAAAGGAAAAACAAAAAAAAATTGAATTTGAACTCTATTGGATGAGAGCAATTTTTTTTTCTTCTATTTATTTGTTTCACAGAACAGAAAAAAAACTCTGAATTATTTATAGAATTAAATTGACCAGAAGTGTCAGAGCATCATATCAAGCGAAAACAAAAAAATGGCCAATGGGTAAGATATACGAATCGGACAAAATCGACCGAAACTCACACACACACACACACACATACAAAGAAAAATGACCCGAATCAATGAATGGAATCATCATCAGATGTCGATAATAATTTAAATAAACAACTCGATCCATTTTGGTTATTGGTATCTATCTTGGTGGATTTGGTATATTTGCGGTTATATACACAGCTACATTATATATAGTATATATAGTAGTATTAATGATTGGAAACGATCTAAATGATGATGAAAATGATTAAACTTTGATCATTGTACACATATATTCTCCTTACATCCACCATAATGATTAGTCTTTGATATCAATATTTTTGGATTCTCTTTTTCTCTTTTTGCAATAATGAAATGTATATATCGATAATCAGATGATGATGATGATGATGATGATCATTGATTAGAGTAAAAATGTATGTATTGTTTCACAAAAACTTACAACTGGTTTACTGAATATTTTTTTTGTTTCTTGAATTTGAAAGACATTTGTCATATGGCCAACATGTGCCATTCTGTTCTGATGCTGATCATGGCAATGATGATGATGATGATGATGGTGATGATGATGTTGCTGTTGCTGTTGTTATTATTGTGATGACAAAATTAGATTATCGAATTGCACTCTGGTGAATTCGCCTTTATATTCATTTGTCTCTATCTCTTTTTCTTTGATGTTTTCACAATAGAATCTTTTGCAAACAGTGTTATGACTATGGTGTTGACCATCAACATCATCATCAACATTTATTTTGTGAATAGAAACATTTGTAATGTTTAAGGATAGAAAACAAAACAAAAACAAAAAAAAAAAAAAAATTCTTCGGCGCCATCATTTCACCAAAAAAAAAAAAAAAAAAAATTCATTCACAGCCAGTCAACAAACACATCCCCCATTTTATTTTCGGTTCTGGTCTATTTGCCCGATGATGATGATGATGATGATGATGGTGATGAAAACAGCAATCAATTTACAATGTAAATAACCAAATTATTATAATAAATAAAGACCAAAAACACACATACATCGACACCCGAATAACCGAAATGGCAATGAATGAATGAATAATAGCCACCAACAGGGTGAAATATATGGAACGATCCAAAAAAATGACAACCGATGAACCATTTCGAATGAACCAAAAAAAAAAGATTCGATTCTATTTCGACCACGAGCTGTTATTTTGTTTTTTTTGGGGTGGGTGGGAGTGTTTTATTTGCGAAAATTAATACGTTCGATGTTTTCAAAAATAAACAAACAAACAAACAAACAAACATTGAATGACATTATTCGTTGAAGCCATTTAATTATTGTATATTCACAATTCTGTCCGATTTGATGATTTTAACCACTACGAGAGAGAAAAAAAGAGCAACGAAAGCAAAATTTTTTTTTGTTTCAATTTGCAAAATTCGTGATTCATACATATTCGTTTTAATCATGAAAAATCTCTGTACACACACACACACACACACACAGAATATGTGATTCATATTTTTTTTCTTGTGAAACAAACAAACTAAAAAAAAAATGGATATTAAAAATCTGGAACCAGAGCAACTTTTTTTCTGTTGTTTTTTTGATTCTCTAGTTTGATCTAATAATCAACGACAATGATGATGATGATGATGGAAAAAAGTACCCGTTGTCACCGTTGTTCATTGTTGTTGATTTAATAATCGAATCGACAAACAAACAAACAAACGAAAAAAAAAAAACATTCGATAACCGGCCTATGGCCAGAGAGCGAGCGACAAAACTTTGTGTGTGTGTGCATGGTGCAAAAAATTTTTTTTTCTTGTTTTGATTTTTTTTTACCGAAATCTAAAACTTTTTGTTTCTTCATAATTTTTTTTTTTTGTTTGTTGTTGTTGTTGTTGTTCCGGATTATATAATTACGTTATGGTATTGGTCAAAAAATTTTTATGGATCGAAAATTTGTATTGCACTGGTGTTTTTTGCACACATACATCGTAATCGGCCCTTTTTGGTTCCATGATGGCATTGATGATCAGAATAGATCTTTTCTTTAATACTCAAAATCATCAAATGATCATCATCATAAATAGAATGAATTCACATCATCATCTAATGAGCTTTGATTGGAATTGTATCGAATCGAATCGAATTGAATCAGATCGAATAGAAAATGAACATTCGTTTCATTGGATGATGATGATAAACATCTTTATGACTTTTTTGTCACATTATACATTTAAGAACAAACAAAAAAAAACATGATTCAACCGAATAGAATTCCGAATATTCTTCAACCAAATATGATGACAAAAATGATAACAACAAATCCATTTGGGTGTCAATATACAGAAAAAAAATGTCATATTCTATAATGACTGTTAATTATGGAGCACATAGAAATTCTTTTCAAATCTCTATATATATAAATATCCATCATCAATCGTTAAGAATTATATCGATGAATGAATGAAAAGATTCACATTTGTCTATCGAATGATTATTTCCAAGATTAATGAATTTGATTAGATTATCATTAGATGATTTTTTTTATCGTTTACTCATCCCCCCCAAAAAAACATCTATTAAAAAAAACCGGAATTACGAATCAAATGAAAAAAATTCTCGAGTTACATACTATATGAATGGCTACCCGAAATTGTTACCATTCATTCATGGTTTGCAGACGATGTTTTTTTCACTTCATCACTAAAAATGGTTCTGATGCATTGAATCAGGCAAATTCTTTTCATAAACATGAGCAAAGAGAATTTGTTCTCTGTTAACCATGAATAAACGGTATTTTTGTTTATATTAAATCAGCAAAAGAGAAGAAACAAACGAAACAAAACAAAAAAAATCCGGGATATACTGGATCATCATCGTCATCATCATCATCATCATCATCATCAACAACAACAACAACATCATTCTAATAAGGTCACAGAGAATTTTATTTTGAAAAAAATCACATTCAAATGTATTTTAAAAACAACGGCAGCCAAATTCATTGACAAATGTTGTTTACGTTTTTTTCGATAAACAATTTTACCAAATATTTTATCCTTTTCTTTTTATTGATATTTTTATTGATACTCATATCGAATGTACCATTCGGTTTTTTTGGTCATTCGAATGACAATGAAAATATTGATTCATCAACCGAAATAATATTGGCCCGTTTAAGTCGGGCTATGGCTGAATTGACAGCACTTAAATCACAAAATGAAGAACTTAGAAATCTTATACAAAATTTTATTCCACAATTACAATTGAATGATGATATCCATAATGGTGATGATCGAATGGCTTCAATTCATTCATCATACATTGGTCATAAACAGTTTGATGGTGCAAATTCAATATTCTCATTAGATTCACAATTTGAATTTAGTCGACGAAAATTAACGACCGATGTGAATGAATTATGGAATTATATTCGTACAGTAGAAACGACAAAAGCTGAAACGAAAAATTTTGTCAAAGAACTTAAAAATAGTCTACTATTTGATCTGGGTATGTAAATAAATTTTTTTTTCATTATTTCACAATTTCTTACTATATGAATTTTAATCTAATTTTAATCACCCATTAATGGGTGTAGTCATCATCGCTAAACGTGATGAACGATCCAGATATAAACAATTGGAACTATTATCCAATTATATACAGAATCGAATTCATGAATTACAGAATCCAAAAGATTGTAAAACAACTCAAAAAATTGTTTGTACACTGAACAAAGGCTGTGGATTTGGCTGTCAGATTCATCATCTATCCTATTGTATGGTTATTGCTTTAGCTACTAAACGCACTCTGATATTGAATTCACAGAATTGGCGTTATGCAAATAAAATTCATGGCTCATCAACAGCTAAATCTTCATCATCATCATTATGGGAATTGGCATTCCAACCGCTCAGTCATACCTGTCTAAATGATTCAGGTTCACCACGTACAAATTGGCTCAATTCTATTGATCATAATCATCATCATCCACGAAATGTTCAAGTAATTGATCTGCCGATATTAGATTCATTGAGACCACGACCACCTTATCTTCCATTAACAATTCCGCAAGAGATATCAAATGAATTAACTACATTACATGGTTCACCATTTGTTTGGTTTATTGGACAAATATTACGATACATAATGAAACCATCGGATGAAATTGAACAATTTCTTTCGATGAAACGAAGTAAATTTAATTTCAAACATCCAATCGTTGGTGTTCATGTACGACGAACAGATAAAATAAATACCGAAGCTTCATTTCATTCGTTATCTGAATATATGATACATGTTGAAGATTATTTTGATCGTTTAGAATTGTTCAAAAAACGTCAAAATGATGAGGTATTTTTTCTCTGGTGAAGAATTCCATTTTACTGATAATTTTAACCTTTTGCAGACAACCACCAAACGTATTGTATATTTGGCTACCGATGATTCTAGTGTATGGAGAAAAGAAGTGCCGAAATTTGAAAAGAAAGGCTATAAATTTATTGGTGATTCTGAGATTTGTATGTTGTTTTTTTTTTGTTTGTTTTTGAATGATTTTTACAATTTTTTTTTCAAATGTTTTATCCTAAACAGCCGATACAGCTAGCGTTAATCGTCGATATTCATTTGATTCGCTCAAAAATATTATTCTTGATGTATGGATGTTGAGCGAAACAGATTATATTGTCTGTACGTTTAGCTCACAAGTTTGTCGATTAGCATATGAATTAATGCAATCGAAAAATGTAAGTGAAACAAAAAATGTTCAACAATTTTTATTTTCATTTATTCGATTTTTTTTATCATTCAAACATTCATAGCCTGCTGTTGATCGTTCTAACAATTTCTTTTCACTTGATGATATTTATTATTTTGGTGGTCAAAATAGCCATAATCAAATTGCCATATTAGATCATGAAGCAGCAACCAAAGATTCCGAGATAAACATCAAACGTGGTGATATAATTGGTTTGTTGACATTGGTTTTTTTTTGACATTTTTTTTAGATAACTAACTAATTTAAAAATCATCAACAGGTATTGCTGGTAATCATTGGAATGGCTATAGTAAAGGCATTAATCGTGTTACACAACAAGATGGTCTTTATCCGGGATTTAAAACCAAAGAAAAAATCGAAACAGCTAGTTTTGAATTGTTCAAAGATTTTAAAGATTCTCATCATCATCCAAAACATAATACAGACGACGACGACGACGACGACAAAATCAACCAAATTGAATGAGTAATTTTTTTTTTTGTTTCATTCTAGTAGAAAATTTCATTGTCTATCTGTAAATATTATTATCACTCTGTGCAATATATGAATCTATTTTTTCGTTGTTTTTTAATTCGTTTCTCATTTTTTTTTATCTTATTATTATTTGATCCCAAAAAAAGATGTATTTTTTGTGATATCTTTTCCAAACCTGAATATACATGAATATAATTAGGTTTTAATGAATTTTTTTTTCTGTATATGATAAATAAAGTATTAATTAATTGAAGATGATGATGATTATTAAAATCCATAATGGATGGATCGAATATATATTCTTTTTTTTTTTTAACTAATGACAAGTGCTGCAATCTAGTGGTCGTATGGAATTTTTATTTCTATTCTTGACCACTGCTGCTGCTGCTTCTGCTGTTGATAATGATGATGATGATGTTGTTGCACCTATAATAATAACAAACCACTACAAACATATTCGAGTCGAATAAATCGCGGCCAAATATAATGTGAAAGAAAACTTGAATGAATGAAGAAGAAGAAGAAAAAAAAGAAAAACAGTTGACCAGGTGTCATCCATTGAAATATCTGGATGGATGGATGGATGAATGGATGGATGTATAGATAGATAGAATGGTATACTTTGTGTGAACGTCTTTTTTTTCATTTGGCTATTGTCCGAGTAGGTTGAGCTCATCATCATCATCATCATCATCAACAACAACAACAACAACAAAAATCATAATAACTCAATGTAATACGTCAACAACAATTCATTTTTCATATGATGTTCAATTGTTTTTGTTTTCGTTTCTTCATCATTTGACCATTTATTTTTGGCCAGTTTAAAGTGGATGTGAAGGGAAAAAATTACCCGAATTCTCCACTACCCATCTTTATTCATTATTTGACGACGACAATCTAAGAATCTCACACGCAATTTAATAATTTACATCACCTGTGTGTGTGTGTGTGTTGTTACAATCTTACAGTTAATGATATGTGATGATTGGATCGAATTGATTTGTGAATCAAGTGAATTTTTGAAATTTTCAAATGAATCCCGTTATTTTCGAATGTTTGTTGATCATCGAATCAAATTTCAATTTCCCATTTTCATTGTAATCAATTTTTTTTTGAATAAATACAAAAATTTTCTACTACAAAACGTAAGTATCTACCATTCGATTTTAATGATTTATCCGTTTTTATGAATTCCAAAAAATAATAAACAGTAGCTATATTGATAAGCTATTTGTATTACAAAAATTCAGTAGCATTATGATTGTTTTCATTCATTTCGAATCCTCATTGTGAATCCAGTTCCCCTCCCCATAAATAACCACTATTATATTCTTTTATTTTTGATGATGATGTTATTATTATATATTGTATATACTACCAACACGCTCTCATTCACATATATATACAAAACACACACATCATGAATTCATATATTGGATTCAATATTTGAATCGGTCGTCGAAACGAAGTGGCATACATACAACACAAACACGACATAGAAAGAAGATGTGTTTGTGTGTTCTATGTATATTTATTTAACATTTATTCAAGTATCAGGATCATACTACACACAAAAAAATATAAAGTGTGAGAGAGAGAATCCATACTTGTGTGCTCATTTTTTTTTTGCCAGAAAAAAATTTTCGGCTCGATCCTATTTTTTTCCATATCATTCATACATCATACAAATGAATATTCCAAACACACACACACACACACCATGCTTATTATTCATTCGAAAATTATATGAACCAAAATTGAAAGGCTAGAATTTTTTTTTACGAATGAAAACCTGTGCAATATCCATCCATCTATAGATCTCGATTTTTGAAAGGTAATTATTCATTTTCAATATGATACAACATTCTTCGAATGAATTTTACATTTTTTTGACGCGGTATCCTTAGGCGTTTACATTCTCCTCTTCTATGCTAAAGAAGAAGAAGATATATTCATGAACCTTCTGATTGACCACCACCCATTATTGCGATTATCTTTTATATGTTTTTTTTGTTGTTGTAATCATGGTGATGATTATGGTCATAATTCATTGAGGCCTTCGGCTACAAAATAAGGGCCACCTTTTTTTAATATAATGACGACGACAACGTATCCGGATCAAACGTTGTTATGTTGCCCGTGTTGTAGACGAGACTTTCCCCTCTTATTAACATTAGTCTTTTCGATGATGATGATGATGATCTCACTTGTTCTTACATAGGGTTGTTGTTTTGCTTACAGATAATCATTGATGTCTTCAGAATAGTGGCGGTCAGGTCCGGCCTACAATCACGTTTTTTCTCCTCTCTGTGTTTGTTGTGTGTGTGTACGGAATCGATCTAATTAGTTTAATATTTTTTTTCCACTTCAAATATTGACTCGACAAATTCATTCATTTTTCATATGTCGAGTTCAAAACACACACACACACAACAACAACAACAACTTTTGTGTTTACCTGTCGGTCTAATTTTTTTTTTACTTTTTTCATTCCGACAATTGTAAAACGAAAATCTAATAGTTTGAATGAAGATTCGTCAATCATTCGATAATTTTGATAACGATAATAATAGTAACAACAATAATAATAATAACAACAACAACACTATGGATGACGACACTGTACAGGATAAGGAACGATTTGCAAGGTATGAAATTTTATAACTTTTTAAAAATTAAAACAAAACAAAAATAAATGAATGAATTTTTTTTCCACAGAGAAAATCATAGCGAAATTGAACGTCGTCGTCGAAATAAAATGACTGCTTATATAACTGAATTATCCGATATGGTACCAACATGTTCAGCATTGGCAAGAAAACCGGATAAATTAACAATATTACGTATGGCTGTTGCACATATGAAATCATTACGAGGAACAGGCAACACAAACAATGATGGAACATATAAACCATCATTTTTAACCGATCAAGAATTAAAACATTTAATACTTGAAGCGGCTGATGGTTTTCTTTTTGTTGTTTCATGCGATTCCGGTCGTATTATCTATGTTTCAGATTCTGTTACACCAGTACTCAATCATTCACAATCAGATTTTTTTAACACTTGTATCTATGATTTAATTCATCCTGAAGATGTGGAAAAAGTTCGTGAACAACTTTCCACTCAAGAATCGCCTAATGGTGGCCGTATATTGGATCTTAAAAGTAAGAGTCATTGTACAAAAACTTTTTTTTTTTGATCGATTGATTTGAATAAATGAATGGAAATATGGTTTTTTTTCTTTTCTTTTATATTGAACTATAGCCGGAACTGTAAAGAAAGAAGGCCATCAATCTTCAATGAGACTTTGTATGGGTTCACGTCGTGGTTTTATTTGTCGTATGAAAATTGGCAATCTTCCTTTGGATGCAATTGCGCCCAATCATTTACATCGAATCCGTCAACGAAGTGGTCTTGGTGCTAGTATTGATGGTAATCATTATGCAGTTGTCCATTGTACGGGTTATATTAAAAATTGGCCACCATCCGGCGTTCAAATGGAACGACTTGATACTTCGGATGAAAATCATGCTGTTAATAATTGCTGTTTAGTTGCAATTGGCCGTCTACAAGTAACATCGGTTCCAAATACTAATGATTTAATGGCCACCAATGCAAACAATGAATTTATTTCAAGACATACATTGGATGGAAAATTTACTTTTGTTGATCAACGTGTAACGAATATACTTGGCTATCAACCACAAGAATTATTGGGCAAAATTTGTTTCGATTATTATCATCCGGAAGATCAAAGCCACATGAAAGAAAGTTTCAAACATGGTATGTCATGACAATCATAATCAATCATAATCGATCCATTTATTTTGTGTTTTTTTGCCCAACAATAGTTCTCAGCCTAAAAGGACAAGTAATGTCCGTTATGTATAGATTTCGAGCAAAAAATTGTGATTGGGTCTGGTTTCGTACTAGTAGTTTTGCATTTCATAATCCATATACTGATGATGTTGAATATATTGTCTGTACAAATTCGTCTACAAAGTAAGTTTTTTAAATAATTGATTTGATTTTTGATTGATAATAACCATATTTCTTATTCAGAAACATGCATCACAATGAAGGAATAATAAATGAAACACAGACATCTGTATCATCAGCTGTTGATAATGGACAACAATCTCAACATTATGGTCAACAAAATGCCGCCCATCAACAACATATGGGAACAATGGGTCTAAATCCAATAACAAAAACTGATTCAACCATTGATTCATATAATCTTCATCGAGTCAATGATTCATCAATGTATAATCAAATGGTAGATTTAAAATCATGAAGATTATTTTCATTTTTGCCTATAATTGAATCATTTTTTTTTTTGTTATCAGCCCTATTCTATCTATTCGGATCCAAATGTCATTGGTTACAATCCAAATGGATTATTATCAACACCAATGAATACCGCTGAAATGGCAACAACACAAAGTAGTCCATCATTAAATAAAATGGTATCCAGTTCCTCGAATGAATCTTGGGCAACGCGAAACATGACTAGAGTATGTTTACAACAATGATAGCTGTTTTTTTTTGAATTTTATATACTAACATACTTTTTGATTTTGAAAATCAATTAGACTGAAACTTATTCCAATCAATCCGGTGCTTATAATCAGGTTAGCCCATCACGTAGTCCATCAGCTGGAGCACCAACTTATACACAATTGGGCACAACATCCACACGACCTGGTAAGAATTTATTTAATAATTTGATTTTTTTCAATTTTACCAATTTGTATAATTTAATAATAAGCAATGTGGACACAATGGTCACAAAGTGGAAATGAACATCAACAATCTGCACCACCTCCACCACCACCACCACCGAATATGACGCCAAACAATACAATAATTACTGGCCAACAACAACAACAACAGCTCGCAAATTCTCATCAATCACACACAACAACAACAACCATCTCAACAACAACAATCACAACAGCCACAATCAGAAATGGATATGTTACATATGTTAGGACAACAAGATCAAAATTCATTTGAAGATTTAAACATGTTTAATTCATTTAATGAATGATTGATACATTACATACAATGAATGGGGACCACCACTTATGTACAAAGCATCATCAAATTTAACTAAATAAGAATATATCAATTATTTTATTTATATAATATACAAAGAAATTATTATTTCGTACATTATTTTCTGATACAAATTCCAGAACATTTATATATTGATACAAAATAATAATACAGTAGTAGTGCATAAAAAAATATACAAACATAGAAAATTTTCATATCAATCAATTTTTTTTTATTCTAATAATTTAAAAAAAAAAATACAACCAAATGCAAACAGTGTACATTTCATCACATTTTGATCAATTATTATTATTGATTGTAAAATTTTTCACTATTAATCACCATTCCAGAATCCGGTACATAATTTAAAAAAAAAAATAGAAAGAATGAAATAAAACAAAAGAAGAAAAAAAAATTCAAATAGAAAAAAACTTTTTTGGAAATTTTTATCAAATTTGACGAAACAAAAAAAAAATTTCCCAGAAACATCAATGTTTGTGTTTGTGTGTTGTTGTCATCTTGTCTCGTTCTCTCTCTCTCTCTCTCTCTCTACCTCTCTCTCTGTCTCTTTCTTTCTTATTTTTCATTCACGTACTGTGTATTTTTGTTTTGCGTGAGTCAAACCGTCCACCGTCCGTTTTTGTTTTGTTTTGTTTTGTTGTCTCTTTTTTCCCCTCTATTTTTGTTTGTTTGTGTGTGTGTGTTGAATCTGGAATCTCTGTTTGTTTGTTTTGTGTGTGTGTGTGTGTGTGGTAAGCTAATTTTTATTAATTAAAATCAAAATAAAAGATTTAATTTTAAAATAAATTTAACAGTGATAATTGATCAAATGGATTGATTTGGACGGATGGATGGTTTTTATTAAATTTCAATCCATATTGTGGTATGACCATTTTTATTGATTATTTGAACATCAATAATAACATTTGTCATCATTTATATATCAACGACAGCGATAGGAAATTGATCAACATCATGGATGGCTTATTGCCATCATCAACGACAACAACCAATGGAAATACGAAAGTGATTAACAGGTAAACATCTCAAAAAAAAAATAATTCGATCATCTTGATGAAATGAATTTCGTTTCAACGATGATGATGATGATGATGATAATGACGATAATAATCAGAAAAAAATGTGCTGTTTATTCATTGCCATTTTCTTCTCTTATATCCCCATATTTTGCTCAATATCACCTTTATCAAATGTAAACAAAAACAAGTTTCTTTCCAAATCCTGTAACGACAACAAATCGAGATTATCTTAATTCAACTATATCACAAGCACAAGCAGTTGATTATTTTGGTCTTGATCATCAATCAACAGCCGGATTACAGCAACAACCGGATGTTACACATTCGAATAATTATGCAGCGGTAGTTGCGGCAGCTGCCGCTGCAGCAGCAGCAACAGCTTCAGCATCGATGCCTTCAGAATCATCTCATCATCATTATGGTTCGACACCATATGTGACAACAATGGCTGCCGATAATGTGATTGCCGCATTCTATGACCATCATCATCATCAACAACAACAACAACAGCACCAACAACAACAACATCATCATCATCATCACCATCAGCAGCAGCAGCAACAACAACAGCATCAAGCTGCACACGTAATCACTTCACGTTTATCTCAATTAAATATTGATTCAACTAATGTGACAACACAAGCACAAATACAAAAATCTGTTCAATATCCGAATCATGATCTAAATTCTTCATCTTCATCATCATCGATGTTACAACATCAACAACAACATAATTCGACTACAACAAAGCCACCGCCATCATCTTTATTATCATCAACATCAACTACGACCACTGCAGCCATAATTACTTCACAACAACAACAACAGCCACAACAAATTGTTGATAATTCGAATGCATCATTTTTTATTGCCGATTCAATACGTGAAGAATTGACACGAAGGATGGCTAAAACTCAGGAAATGGTCTCTGAAACGACAAATATCGAAATACCAGCCAAAGTTGATGTGTTCATTGATTTGATACAAATCGAACCATTATCTGGAGCCAGTTCATTTACATTCAACGGTATGATATCAACTGTTTATCGTGGAACAAATAGCGAAACTGGTCAGTTGTTTTGTTTACGAAGGTTTCATGCATTTCAACCGAATACAGCCAATGCTAAATTGTTGATGGGCACAATAGAATCATGGAAAAGGATCCAACATCCAAATATAATAGCATTACGGCAGGTTTTCACTACAAAAGCTTTTGGTGACAGTTCTGTGATATTTGTCTATGATTATCATCCACTCTCCACAACTATCATGTCCTGTTATTTTTCCAATCAATTAAATTCTCTTGGAGGTGGCCATTCAACAACAATGACAATGAATGGTTATTCAACATCATCACGACCATATAGTCAACAGCAGCAGAATACTCGAAAATTTTTACCTGAACAAACCATATGGAATTTTATCATACAAATATCATCGGCGTTAAGAACAATCCATCAATCTAATCTAGCATTTCGATCATTAGATCCTACGAAAATTCTCATTACAAGTGGTTTGAATGGTACCCATTCAAGTGCCAATCGTGGTCGTGATGCTCGTGTTAAACTTAGTTTCTGTGGTGTAACCGATATTCTTACATTGGATACAATCCATCCTTCTACTAATCATAGAGCATTCATACAACATTTACAACAAGAGGATCTAATCCTATTTGGTCGGCTTTGTTTAGCCATTGCATCAAATTCATTAACAGCATTCACCGCCCTACAACGTGATCATCATAGTAATCTTCAAGAATATCTTGATTCTATGCCTCGTTCATATTCGAATGACTTAAGAAATTTGATCATGTATTTAATATCATTTAAAACAAATTCAGCAAATAAGCCACGATCTATTGATGATATAATGCCAATGATTGGCGCACGTTTCTATATGCAGCTTGATTATTTCTATCTTAGATATGATTATCTTTATGATGAACTAGCCAAAGAAGTTGATAATGGTAGGTTATTACGTTTATTATCCAAATTAGGAACAATCAATGAACGTCCTGAACATCAACTTGATCCTACTTGGTCGGAAACTGGTGATCGTTATATGTTGAAATTATTTCGCGATTATCTATTCCATCAATGCGATGAAGCTGGTAAACCATGGCTTGATCTTGGTCATATCATATCAAATTTAAATAAATTCGATATAGGATCCCCTGAAAAGATTTGCCTAATTTCACGTGATGCACAGAATGTAATTATTGTTTCATTTGAAGAATTGAAACGTTGTTTCGAAGCAGCAATCAATGATTTAATGCAATGATGATGATGAGAAAAAAAAATGCCAAAGCAACTAGAAAAAATGGTAAGTATTTTTAATTTATATTGATGACGCAAATTCCTAAATTGACTGACATTTTTTTTTCTTCCGGGTTTTTTAGCGGAAATTTTTTTTTGCTTAGCCAATATTGCTTTTGACTATACACGAATCATCATTAGGTTTGTATTGAGAAAGAAAAAAAAGGATAAAACGTTCCTAATTGTTTTTTTTTTGAAACCATTTTTTCCTGACAGCCACCTGAAAATTCTTTTTATCATGAATAAAAATATCACCAACAATTCGAACAAACAATAAAATGTGCATTCGGGCAAATAAACAAACAAACAAACAAAAAAAATCCATATCCAAACCCAAACTATATAAATAATTGATAGAGACCAACCAACAAACACACCACACCACACACATACATACATTGGTAACCAGAATGTTACGCCTATAACCTGATATATGGTTACCATATATGGATAAAAAAAAGATACAAATGATGGAAACAAAATCGGATATCCGGAAAAGTAAAAATAAAAAAAAAATTATGAATAATTCACATTAACACAAACATACAAATCCATTAAGAAAAACTCGACATTATTTGTATTTGACTATATAAAATTTTATCATCATCAATCTTATATATTTCAATATATTCATCAAAAAAAAAAAAAAAAAATCGTTATAAATATTTTTTTATATTTACCACCACCACCACCATTACAACATCTCGTCATCCCTGTCAACCATTATTATTATCCGCCCATATGAATTTGGTGAAGAAAAAGGAAAAAAAACAAAATACATCATTGACCATCTCATTGAATGTTTTTTTTTCTCCTCTATTATTATTATTTTGGTCAATTTTCTTCTTTTTTTTTTTTGCTTATGCGGTCATCGTATATGTAGTATTAAAAAAAAATGGTGAAAATTGCTGAAATGAAATTTTATTATTATTAATTAATTATTATTATTTTTGCTAATAAAATTTGGAATTGGATACATTAACCAGAATAATTTGTATAATATGGGAGGAATTTTTTTTTTTTAAAGAAAGTCATTTCATTGTGGAATAACCGAATGAGGATTAACCAGAATTTTATCGCCTATATATATTTAGTTTATATTCAGAATTTCGAATAATAAGTCGAAATAGATTCAAAGTTTTTAATACGTCATCATCTACGTGTATACAACAACCGTTTTTTTTTTGAAAATTCATGTTTCATTTTTCTGAGAGCGACTGGGGGAGAGAAAAAAAATGTCACCAAATGATTTTTGGATAACTGAGATGTATGAATGATGAGCTCAAACAGCTGTTTTGTGTGTGTGTGTTTTTTTGAGGACAGCAATGAAAACAAAAATGTGGATGGCCGTAACGCATTGATGAATTTATGGATCTATGACGTTGTTTTATTATACTATTGAATCTCATTTTTTTGTCGAGGAAAACGACATTATCGACACAATCGAATAAAAAAAAAAACAGGATCGTCTCGAATGATGACAATGAAAATGTTTTCCATTTGAAGATGGAAATTGTTTTTGTTTGCTAAAAGAACTTTGTCACAAATTTTTTTAGTGTTTTTTTTTGTTCTGGATCATTTCTCTTTCTCTTTCGAATAAGAAATGATAATTTTCTCTTTACATTCTCATCAATCGATCGACCATGAATTTGGATCATAACCACCATCAATGAATCATTGATTCCAATGTTGAATAATCATGACCATCATCATCAGAGTTGATTTTCATCAACCACATCAATCGTGAAATCAAAATTCTTTATCAAACACACACGATGACCATCATCATTAGTGAAGATCAATGATGATAAAAAAAAATAATTCAAATATAGCCGCCATTATTATCATATATGTGTGATAACGACTGTTGAATATATATATATAGATTTGTTATATCTTTAACAGAAGATTTTTTTTTCCTCTTCTCTCAAAATCATCCATTTCATTTCATTTATGCGCCTGTCGTTTTGTTTTCAAACAAAAAAAAAGAGATATCCAATGTTGGATCCACAAACACACACACTAACAGAGATATAAACCAACCACGACTACCGAAAAAAAAGGTAGCTGTATAAGAAGTATGGATTTCTGTGTATATAGGGATCCAATATTGAGATTCAGTGCTAATCACTCAAAAAAAAGGCTGGTTACCAACATCATCATCATCATCATCATGAAAAGCAACAACAACAACAACTGACAAATACGGCTTCGTCAATTGATTTCGTTTTATATTATATTTATTACTACCACCACACACACCAAACCAACACATACAACATCCTGATGAAGAAAAAGAAGAAGACGACGACGACGACGACGACAAAATATCATCGAAAAAAAAAATCAACTACATACACAGCTGGTCCATTGGTGATATTTTATTCATTCAATATGTGTGTGTGTGTGTGTGTTGTTTTGTTCTGTTTGTGTGGCCATCCATGTGTAATACACACACACACAAACCGATATATGTAGAAATGAAGAGAACGATTTTTTATTTTTTGATCAAAAGAAAAAATCAAAAAAACCAGACCTGAATATCCATGCCACCAGGCACTATAGTGTAGTCATGTTGTTTTTCTAGAATTTATTCATTGCATTCGTTGTTTTGCCAGCATCAACAACAACCACCACAACAACAATAACAACAAACTTTTTAATCGTTGTCGAAGTTAAAATTTCATTTGTTTAATCATATGTGTTTATGATGATGATGATGATGAAAAAACACCGCCGAAAACATTGAAAAAAATAATAAAAACAATTTATGTTTACATTCGATTCTGGACAGATTACATATATATATATTGTATTTACTTTGAATCAATCATTCATTCATTCTCTTTTTCTACCATATCAAATTATCAAATTTCCACCGTCTTTCTGTGTGTGTTGTGTGTGTTTTTATCAAATCATCGGTTACAACACATGATTCGATTCGATTCAATTCGATTGCCCATCAACAACAAATTTCGGACATAACGGGAGGGGAAAAAATGAAGAAAAAAATTTTGTAAAATCCTGCTACATTAAAATATTACACGTATATTCAATCACCATCACCATCCTAATTTCATTTCACAAATCAAAACAAAAAAAAAAAAAAAAAAAAAATTTATCATCTAAATGAAACAAAATTACGACAACGACAAAATACCATGACGATAATAATATCATCAACAATAATAATTGAAAAGCAAATTCAAAACGCAAATTTTTGATATCCGTTTTTTTTGTTGAAAACTCTCACAATATAATCATTAAAAATTCAAAACATTCATCGTTTGACAACAACAACAACTACAAAATGAAAAAAAATACGCTCTAATCTCTAATGAATCGGAAGTGATATCATCGTCATCATCATTATCGTCGTCTCTTCAATTTTTGTGGATTTCCTTTCAAAAAAAAAAAAAAAAAAAATTTTTTTATCAATTATTTACTTAAAATTCATTAATGATGATGATGATGGCCTAGTATATATATTTTGTAATTGGCAATTTGATCTTTTTTTTTTTTTTTTTTTTTTTTTGTTAAACCCGTCTTTCATAATCAACAGCGACACGCACACACATTATTGATTTTTTTTTGCCATTTTTAGATAATTTAGATTTTTTTTTTCATTATTTATCACACACACACATTCAAACATTAAGTTTGCTTCATTCATCATCCATATATATAAATGTTTTGCATATCAGCCTTTCCATATCATCATCATTATTTTTAAGAAAAAATTTTTTTTTCTGTCATTTCAGCAAAAAAAAAAAAAAAAAAAAAAATTGAACAGAAATCAATAAATATATATATGCAATCAATGCATAAATCAATCAATCACATATTTCATTCATGATCATATGTGATTATTGGTTCTGATTATTATCATCATCATCATCGTCGTTTTTTTTTCGTTGCGATTTTCAAAAAAAAAAAAAATTGGTTTTGGTTCTTTTTATCACCGTTATTATCAACTATAGTATATTGATTTCCTTTGCAATATTTTTTTTTTTTTAATTTTGATTGATTTCATATTTATACTAACACACACCACACACACACACACACATACAAACTTCGATCGTGTGTGTGTGTGTGTGTGTGTGGTGTTAATCAAATATCGTCGATTTTTGCATAAATTTTGTGCCACCATCATCATCATCATATAAAGAATCATTAGTTGCTTTGGAAAAAAATTGATTGGAAAAAAAAATTTTCCATTATCTTCTAAAATATCATGTGGCATCATACTTTAACATTACAATCATCATCATCATCATCATCATCAACATCATCAAAATGTTTGGCCAATAATAATAATAATAATAAAAGAAATTTAATACAACAACATTGTCGAAATCATCATCATCATAAATATACCAATGAAACAATTCTGCCATCATCATTTAATATAATAGCAATGTTTAACAAATTTATTTCTTGTCAAAATAATAATTCTCATTATTATGATTTGCATAATACTAATAGACAATATGGCTTTTATAGAAAAAATTTTTCACCACCATCATCATCATCATCATCATCAAATACTAAATATTTGATTTCAATTTGGTCAACTATTATTCTATCTTTAATATTCATAACGACAATCACGACAACAGTACAAGCGATTCGTGATCAACATCATCATTATACAAATGAATTTGCATTAGCATTGAATAATTGTTATGATCATATTGTCGATAATGATGTTTACCAACAAAAATATCATGATAATATTGCCCAACAATTAGCCGATCGTTATGGTTTTATTAATCATGGAAAGGTATGTTTCACTATTTTCAAATTTTCAAATCACAAAATTCTTTTGGTTTATGTTTTTCGATTACAACAACACTTTTTTATTGGAATCGAATTATTGAAAAGAATGAATAAAAATTCCATTCTCTCTCTCTCTCTCTTTCATGAATTCCTTAATTCCAACAACTTTTGTTTCGCTTTGTTTTATTATTCGATTCAATTTGCAATATTTTCACTTTTTTTATGATCAATTCCTATATAGACAGCTTATTTGATGATGCATTCTGTTAGTGTATATTATGTACGTCATTAAAAGGGAAAAAGATTTAAAAGTTTCACATGATTTTCTTTCTTATAAAACAAACAAACGAAAGAAAAAAAAATTCTTTTTATTTCAAAGAAATAATTCTCATTTTAAATGTTTGTTGTCGTTATCGTTGTTGTTGTTGTTGTTGTTGTTTCTACTCACGTACACAACACTTGCATAGTAAATAATAGAAAAATTATAATCCAGCCAAACGTAATGAAACAGATTGTTTGTCGATTTGATGAAAAAAAAAGTTTACAAATGAAAAATATTCTTATCCTTTTATTATTATTGCACGAACTTTAACATTTTTTTTTTCGTTTTCAAAATCCAGACCACCACCACCACCACATGATATAATCAATTTTATTTTGTTTGAACATTATGTGGTCATATAAAAAAAAGTTTTTATTTATTCTACACATTCAAATGATGAATTTTTCTTTTTTTGTTGTTGTTGATTGACCGAAATTCAATTTTTTTTTCTATTTTGTTTGTTTTTGTTTGATTTATTAGTAGCAAATCCAATGTTGAAACGGTTGTTTACATTTGTTTAATAATAAAATGCAAACAATTTCCAAAAACAAAGAATATTTGATTACGGTTTATTATTATTGCGTTTGATGATGATCATGATCATGATGATGGTGATGATCTCCTATTGTGTGATTTCAATTTTTGAACAATAACAAATTTTTTTTTTCTAAAATTGAAATTCAAATTATCACATTTATCATTTATTACGACCAGTTATTATTATTGGATTCATTTATTCAATCGATATGTGGTGGTTTTTTTTTTTTTTTTTTGGTTGTACTGGAATATAGTCATCGATCATATTACAACACATCGATAAACAAAACAAAACAAAAATCCGATATGCATGAAAATGTTTTGAAAATGAAATTAAATTTTTAAAAAAAGCGCCCACTGTGTTTGTTTGTGTGTGTGTGTGCAATGGCATCTTGAATTTTTTTTTTCATTTACATCAAATCATGAAATATTATTATTGCAAATTTACAAATCGTGGAAATAAATATTACATTACACACACACACACACAAAAACAAAATAACCTAATCAAACAACCATACCAATGGAGGGGAAGGGGGTAAATGTATGATTTATTTGAATCCGGCTACAATACTATAGAAATATTCAATAATAATAATTGACTATATGTAGATTTCAATAATTCACACATTTTTTTTCTATCTGATTATGATGTGGTGAATAGTGTGTACGAACACACACACACACAAAAAAGCGACATTTATTCAAGAAGTATAGCTGTAATAATAATAATAATAATAATGACAATTAAAATCAAACAAAACGATGAAATATTACAATTGTCCTTCAATTGTAATATTTTTTCAACAGTGTTTCCCATTTACTTATTTTTCATACACACACACACAACAATTTCATGCTGTAGTCGTCGTCTTATTGCATTTTTCATTACATATATAATAATAATAATTCCATTGGAAAAATGAAATTGCAATGATGCAAAAAAAAACAAAAACAAACAAAAAAAAAACTGATTGATAATAATAATTATAAATGTAAAAAATTCATTGAAATCATCAATGAATTATATTATTATTATTTTTTAAGTATTTTAGGATATTAACAACAAGAAGAAAGAGATGTGTGTGTGATGTTCACATTGATTGATGATTATTAATCAATGAATGATAATGATTGCCTAGCTATGTATTTTCAATTATTGGAAAAAAATGACGACAATGATGGTGATGATGAATTTTTTTCTCCAACTTTATATTGAATCGAATATTGTCAATCGTCGAGGTAAAAATGTTGATGATGAATAAAAAAAAATATCCACTTGGCCATGGATATATGATGATGATGATTTCAAAGGATTTTATAAATGATGATGATGATTTCGCTTAATGATTACAAAAAAAAAATTTTCATTTCATTACTTCATCATTCAATTTTCATTTCACCAATCATCAATTGTCAAATAATGGAAATTTTATATTGATTGGATGATTGTTGTCCAATTCTCGAATCGTATTGTTGTGATTGATTGCCAAATTTTTATTGTCAAAATATCATTTATGTTGATTCTTTGATAAAGAATCATTTTCACATTTATATGTTTTGTGTTTGTGTGTGTGTGTGTGTGTGTATCCAGATTCATCATCATTAAAATCCATCATTATTTTGATGCTCCGGATGTAAGGTTTCATTTAATTTCATTTCATTCATTCACTAGAACCTATTGCATTTGAAATTGGAAATTTTGTTTTTATTACCATTTTTTTTTCTCTTTGATTCTTTGAAATTACAAATGGTTTTTTTTCACTACTTTTATTCACAATCATCATTACTATTATTATTCAATGGAAAATTGATTAGTTAGATCGAATTAATGATGTTGTTGTTGTTGTTGTTGTTGATGATGATGATGATGATGATGGTTAAACCTTGACATTGAGAGTGAATTATTCCAAAGAAAATGAAAATAGGATATATTTTGGATTGTAATTTGTCAAATCATTCAGGTTTTCTATTTTTTTTTTCTGTTTCTGTCAACTATATATATAGCATTTATTTTGCAATGACAAATTTCATTATCATTATGAGGAATACAACAGACATGGCCAAATCAATTTGAATAATTTTTTTTGTCTTTTTTTTTACTTCATTGCAGGTTGGAACACTAAACTGTCATTATCTATTTTCGCACAATCATGTTAGTAAACGTTCGGCTGATTATTCTCATCAACATCATCGATTGTTGGCCAACGATGAACAGGTAAACTTTGTTGTTGTTGTTGTTGTTTATTTTGAGATCATTTGGATCTCATACTTGAAAAATTTTTTTCAACTTGGAAAAATGAAATGTTAATCTTTTCTGTTTTGTTTTCATGTTCTATTTCTCAAATGATGATGATTCCAATTTAAAGGTTCATTGGGTTGAACAGCAACGAATTTATACACGCCAAAAAAGAGATAATCAAAAATCAAATTATCGTTATAGACGAACGATGCCGGATCCTATTTTCAGAGATATGTGGTATCTGGTATGTTTTTTTTAATATTCAACATTAAACATTTAATGTCCACATTCAAAAAAAAAAATCCTAATCTCTAATTTTTCTCTTTTTTTTCTCTCACAAAAAAAAATATTAACACAACACAAATACAGAATAAAGGAGCCCGTGGTGGATTCGATATGAACGTTCAGAATGCATGGAAAATGTAAATGTCATATTTGAACATTGTTTTTTTTTGTTGCAGATAAAAAAGAATTGTCATTAACAACAACTGGTTTATCAACAACATGATGACAATCCCATTAATTATACACACACAAACACACACCTTTATTTTTGTATTTTTCTTACGTTTTCCATAAATTTATTTTTCATTTGTTTTTTTTGCAGAGGTTACACTGGTAAAGGTGTTGTCGTAACCATTCTTGATGATGGTATTCAACCTAATCATCCAGAACTTGTCAAAAATTATGTAATTATAATTTTTTATATTTCTTTCTGTAAAAAAATCGAATGAATCGAACAATGGTGCACAACACACATTTATTGATTAGATTTTTTTTATATTTAAAATTTCTATGGTTGACAATGATTCTAATTGGTATTTTTTTTTATTCTTTTCTCTACAAACAAACAAAAAAAAAAAATCATTACCAAAAAAAAGGATCCTCATGCCAGTTACGATATTAACGATAATGATCCTGATCCTACTCCTGCCGATAATGGTGATAATAAGTAAGTAAATGATGATGATATTTTTTTTTTTGTTTACAATCATTATCATCATCATCAATAATAATACACTAATGATCATTTTCATTTGTCATTGTCTCTTTCCCTTTGGATTTTTTTCCATTTGTCTCTTAAATGTTTTTGTATACATTTTTCATAATATTTTTTTTTTTTGTTTCATTTCATTTCATTTTTTTTATAAAGACATGGAACACGATGTGCTGGTGAAGTTGCAGCCGAAGCATATAATGGTACGTTTTTTTCTTTACATTTTACATTAATAATCGGATCAATTGATTGATGATTCTCGTATTTTTTTTATATATATTTTATTCAACTATAAACAATTTTTGCGAAAAAATTAATGAATAAATGGATTTTTGTCGTTTTTTTTACATCGTTTAGATTTTTGTGGCGTTGGCATTGCTTTTAATGCTAGTATTGGTGGTGTTCGAATGTTGGACGGAATTGTTACAGATCAGGTTGAAGCCCGAGCCATTGGCCATAATCCTCAATATATAGATATTTATTCGGCTTCATGGGGACCAGAAGATGATGGCAAAACTGTTGATGGACCAGGCAAATTGGCCAAAAGAGCATTCGTTGATGGTATACGTAAAGGCCGACGTGGCCGTGGATCAATTTATGTTTGGGCTTCTGGTAATGGTGGCCGCCGTTTAGATAATTGTAACTGTGATGGTTATACAAATTCAATATATACACTTTCGATAAGTAGTGCTACTCAAAATGGTAATAAACCATGGTATTTGGAAGAGGTAAATGAAAAAAATTTTTTTTTCATCATATATATTTACATTAAAATGTTAATTCCAATTAATTTTGTCTGACTAAATCAAATCATTCAGTGCTCATCAACTTTATCGACAACATATAGTAGCGGTACACCGAATAAAGATGGCAACATATTGACTTGTGATCAGGATACATCATATTTTAAAGCATTGAAAAAAGGGGAAATACCAGAGAAAGATAGTTTATGTACTCGTACCCATACTGGAACTTCTGCATCAGCACCTATCGGTACTTTTTTTTATTTTTATCTTCAGTAACATTGTAATTATTATTTGATATTTTTCTTTACAAATAGCTGCTGCAATCATCGCGTTGGCCTTGGAAGCCAATCCAAATTTAACATGGCGTGATATGCAACACTTGGTTGTCATGTCTTCACGATATGAACCTTTACGGCATGAAAAAGGCTGGACAACCAATGGTGTTGGTAGAAAATTTAGTCATAAATTCGGTTATGGATTACTCGATGCCGAATCTATTGTTCGATATGCCGAAAAGTGGACAACAGTTCCATCGGCTCGTATTTGTGAAACAGCTACTCAGATCAAAGAATGGGAAATACCGGCACAACATCGAAAACAATTGGAAGTTTCGTTGTTGACTAGCGGATGTCGTGGAACATCAAATTATATTCGATATCTTGAACATGTTCAAGCTAAGATAACCTTGAAATATCAACCACGTGGTAATCTAAAAATTTCATTGATATCACCTTCTGGAACCATATCGCATTTGCTTTTCCCTCGGCCAAGAGATATGGAAGATATTTCATTCAATTCTTGGCCATTTTTATCCGTCCATTTCTGGGGCGAACCTCCAGATGGTACATGGAGACTTGTGATTCAAAACGATGGCTCGAAATCTAGTATTGTACCAGGAAAATTATATTCCTGGTCATTGGTTTTCTATGGAACGTTCGAGAAAACTTATGCTCAACGTTTCTACAATGAAACTATACGTTATTATCCTCGAAGTACATCGCCGGCAACGGCAAAATTGAATGACTGTGTTCCTCAAGGATTATATAAGATGTATGAATCGGATGAATGTGTGAAAAAATGTCCGCCCAAACAATGGACCAATAATGATATTGGCCAATGTATTCCTTGCAATAATGCCTGTGATAGCTGTTTTGGGCCTTCATCAGATAATTGTCTTTCATGTACGAATGGATATTTTTTTGATTATCATTGTTTAGATCGTTGCCCGGATGGTTATTATGAAGATATTGAGCTTAAAGAGTGTTTACCTTGTTCTACAAATTGTTTAACCTGTTCACAATCACCTGATATTTGTATAACTTGTAAATCATCTGATTACAAATTGAATGAGAAAAATCGTTGCTTGTTAGATGAAGAATACTCCATTTCATCCAATCAATTGTTATGCCATGATAGTTGCGAAAAATGTAATGGATCATCATCAAACGATTGTTTGACGTGCAAAGATGGTCTTAAATTTTTCAAAGGTAGTTGCATCGATTTCGACTGCCCAGAAGGATATTACAACAAACAAAAAGAACGATCAATATCGTGTGAATCGTAAGTTCTTTGACCTTCATCTTTATTCTTTTCATAGATTTTAAATGATTTTTTTTTCTTTTAAATCAACAATTTTTATAGCTGTCATTATTCATGCGAAACTTGTAATGGACCTTCACATTTTGAATGTAAATCTTGTTTCAAAAATTCGACCCTAGTAAATGGAACCTGTTATCTTTGTCTGGAAGGTCATTTTATGAATCAAATGAAAAAATGTGAATTATGTCATTCATCTTGTTCAACATGTTCGGGACCACTTGCCAGCGATTGTATCACCTGTAAATCGGGACTTTTCATGGATAATATGCGTTGTGTGCCTTGCTGTCAAAATATGCTAAACGAATTTACCGAATGTTGTCGTTGTGTTAATCCGGATGGTCCTTGTGCTTCAATAGATGTACCACGCAGTATTCAAACAATCAACGATAAACCGGATCGAAATATCATTTCAATTCATCAATTGTTTGGCTTTGTTTTCAGTCATTTCTCCATATACATCTTGTTGATCATATTGTTCAGCATAATTGTTTTAATGATATTACAACGACAAGTTAAATCATTCGGATTGATGAATCGTAAACGTTCAGAATCATTTTATCATGTTAACTATCAAAAATTAAACTTTAACAAATCAAGTCGTCGGCGAAACATTGAACGATCATTGGATGAAGATTATGGCGATGTCGATGATGATGATGAAGAACATACTCTGTTCCAAAAAGTCTGAATTTCTAGGAAAGAATTTTCTAGTCTTAATTTTTTTTATTTTGTTTATTTTTTTGTATAAAAGAAAAAAAACGCAAAAAATGCTGATACAATAAGTTAAAAAAATTGATTTGTATAGAAAAAAAATTACTATTTTTGCAATTGAATCCAATTTGAATAAATTCTATGAATATTTTTTCATTTTGATTCTTTGTTACAAATTCTGTATGTCTCTGTGTTTGGGTGGATGTGATGTGAAATTAAATTTCAAAGGTCATCATGGAATTCTTTCGTTATTATTTTGTTACCAGGCATTTCCGATTCTCGTTCACCTTCACTAGACTTTTTTACTTCTTATTGAGTATATTACCAGAAAAAATTCCTGAAACTATAGATGGAATTTGACCCGTTCATTGATCCCATATTATTAAACCGACTATGCGCGAATTCATTTTATTTTATTCCATTCTTTTTGGATTCTATTCACAATTATTATATGGCATCTATTTGGTTTATTGAAGTATACAATATTCTACAGTGTCAATAATATCATCATATATATGCTGTTGGTTGTTGTTCCATAATCTCACAAAATAATTTTCTGTGTGTGTGTGTGTGAAATTCGACAATCCAAAACATTGGCATAGAATGTGTTGGTACATTTTTCTTTTGTAGTCGTTGTAGTCGTAGTTTTTGAAAATGATGATAATTCTTATTCGATAAAAAATTAATTGGCCATCATCATATCATTCAATCAATTGGATCAATCATCATTCAGTTTAATGATCCAAAATGGATGATGTATCATCATTGAATAGTGATCGTTCTAAACGATTATCTGTTATATCAAAAAGAACAACCAAGTCCGATACATCATTACCGTTGTCAAATTCACAGATTTTAAAACGTAATTATTACCTTGTATTTGAATTTTTTTTCATTTTGATTCATTCATTCATTGCTTTTTTTCTGATGATTGATTTTTTCCAGCTGAAAATATACCCGTCGACCTACTTTTACAAGAAGCTGCCATGAAAAATGATGTGACGGCAGTTAAACAGTTGATTGGTTTGGATATCGATTTGAATAAAAAATCACAGCTTGGTCGATCGCCAATCCATTGGGCCATCATCAACAATAATACTGAAATAGTAGCTTTGTTGATCAGAGCAAAATGTGATATCGAAGCTTCGGATAAAGTAATTTTCAATCAAATCCAATAGATTAAAATGATTGATCTAATTTTTTTTCGAATGTTTCAATAATCATTTAAAGTTCGAAATGAAACCAATTTTGATGGCCGCCATGGTCGGTAATCTAGAGATGGTTAAAATGTTAATCGAAGCTGGTTGTAATTGTCGTGTCATGAACAAGGTATTAATATTTATTCGTTACGAAAAATGAATGATTTAATTAAATTGTTTCTAATTTTTAGAAACATCAAACCGTATTACATTGTGCAGTAAAACATGATCAAAATGAAATATTAGCATTTTTACTTGACAATGTGACTGATATCAATATCAACGCTGTGAATGAGGTAAATTATTTTTATTCAAAAGTTATTAAACTAATCATTAATTATACTTAGTCATGGCAAACTAGTCTAATGATGGCTTGTATCAATAATAATCTGGAGAATGTGGACAAATTAATTTCGGCTGGAGCCGATGTCAACATGAAAGACAAAGTAAACAAAGAATTGAAAATATTGTCTAAAATATATCTAATTTTTATTTTGATTCAACAGCAAGGTAGAACAGTAGCACATTGGGCAAGTTTCAAAGGATATCATCAAATTTTAGATCGTGTTCTCAAAGCTGGTGTCAAAGCCGATGAAAGAGATCAAGATGGTAAAACTGGTAAGTTAGACATTGGAAATCATAGTAATTTACATTCAAATTCAATTTCATTTGACAGCTCTACATTTATCTGCCGAATATGGTTTCGAAAAAACATTGAAAACATTAATCGAACATAATTGTGATATTTTCATAACCGATACGGTCTGTATCTTCGACATTTGGCCCTAATAGTTGATTTATTTGTTTCATCTATGCATTTTTTCCAATTATAGAAAGGACGAACAGCATTGATGATTGCGGCTGCATTAGGTTATCTAGAAGTGGTGTCCATATTGATTGAACATGGTGCCAATCCAAATTGTAAAGATAAAAATGGTAATACCGCATTACATCTATGTGTTATGGGCAATCATTCTCGTGTAGCACAATTTTTGATACGTAACAAAGCCGAAATCAATGCTTATAACAATGTAGGGTGGATTTTCTTTTTTTTCCTCTCATAAAAATGAGGTAAAACTAATGTTTCCATTCATTTTTATCATCTATTATCAATAGCGAAAACAAACTCCTTTGGTGATAGCAGCCGAGCTTGGCCATACTGAAGTTGCCGAAGTATTAATCAATCACAAAGCAGATTTGTTTGCCACTGAAAAGGTATTGTTTGTTGCTTTTGTTTTGTTCTATTTCATCTTGCTATTGAAATTGATCACTGACCCTGACAATGATATTTTCAATTGTAATTTGCAATAATAATTTCATTTTGTCTCTTCCTGCAAAAATATTTCATAACATAATGAATAACAGAGTGGTAGAACAGCTCTTTATATTGCATCGCGTGGAAGTTTTCAAGCCTTGGTCGATATGCTCATTAAAGCAGAACGTGAACAATTTTTCAAACTAGATTCCAATAATCAACCGATTCAATCAACAATTGAAAAACAAACATCATATGAATTGCCAACAGAATTGGAGAATCAAGAAAGTGCACGATTAGGACATATTCGTAAAATGTTATATCATCTATCTAGACATCATCTAGAATCGAATGATTGGAAAAAATTGGCACGATTCTGGAACTTTACTGAAGAACAAATTAAAGGTAATCATTGAATCTAATTTTAAATGATATTTCAACTGAACAACATAAAATTCATCAATTTTTACAATAGCAATCGAACATCAATATACGGGTAAAACTAGCTATAAAGATCATGCATATCGAATGCTATTAATATGGTTACATGGATTATCATCAAGTAAAGATCCAATGAATGAACTATATGATGCATTGATATATATCAATAAAAGTGATGTAGCTGAAAAGATACGAAAAAAAGCGGAAGAAGATAGCTTCTATCATTATAGCCGTTATAAATGTCGTTGTCTACCAGGGATACCATCAACTGTTTGTCATTATTGCTCCATTACGTGATCCATTCAAACTTGTTGCTTGTTTTTTGGACAATTTTTTTTCCTGTTATTTTTTTTTTGTGCACCGAGTGTTTTTCAAAATATCTATTTCTCTCTCTCTATTTCACTCATCATCATTGATAATTGTTCCAATTTTGATTTCGATTTGATAAAACAAAAACAAAAAAATTTTTTTTTTTATCAACATTATCACAGATTTTTTTTAATTCATTGATTTTGTTGAAAATGTTGTTGTTGATTTTATAGTTTATGTATATAAAATGATGATAAACATTTTTATTTGTGGGTTTTTTTCTCGCTTGATGTTCACATGTTTTTCTTTATTTGTGTTTTTTTTGTGTGTGTTTGTGTGTACATATTATGTGTGATGTTTTTTTCCATGAAATTCTTATAGCAAATAATCGATTAAAAAAAATCTTTTATAAAAAAAAATTATATAACATTTTTGTATATGGAAAAAAAAATTCATAAAATATTGGAATATAACCGATGATGATTTGAAATGTGTCCACAAATTATTGGCTTGCGGCTGCTTTATTGGTTGATAATGTTTGAATATTTGATGATGAATTTATAAGACTTGGTGAACGATCAAAATTTTCTGGATTTTTTATCTTAGCCATTACGATTGTCCAATCGAATTTTTTCTCAAATAAATCAATTAATGTTTGTTCAGTGTATAGAATGCTTGAAAATTGTTCAAAACTAATTTGCCAATTTAATGGTTCATGATGATGATGATGATGATGATGGTGTTGTTGTTGTTGTTGATTAACACTTGTAGTGTCCGTCGTAGTTGTTATTGATGACGATGATTGTTCATTAGTTATTTCTTTATTATTTTCAACAATAATATGTTCACTTGAACAGCTACTGAAACTTTTAATGGATAAATCATCAAGTTTCAGATCTTCTTCGCTAATCGTTTGAAAACTATCATCCGATTTTATTGTTTCTTTGTCTTTCTCACGTTCGGCAATAGCCATCGATGTTAAATAACCATGACGAAGAAGATCATTACCAACCCGTGCAATACAATCGAAAATATATTGTTCATTGGTTTCATAGGCAAAAATATCGTACATGGTTTTCCATAATTTAATAAATTGCATTTCTTTCATATTTGGTAATTTTTGAAATGGCATTTCATCACCATCTAAATTATTCATGATATTCTGTTGTTGTGATAATGTATAAGTGATGCTAGTAGTTCGATGCAGTTTAGTAATGGGCAATAAATATAAAAAGCAGAAAGTGTGAATTCTTTCTGTGGTTCTTTCGGATGATCATCTTGATCATTATCAATTTCTACAAGATTAATTTGGTCGTCTTTGGATGATTTTTGTGGTGAAATTTTGTCTTGAAAAAACTCCATCGCTTCGGATGCGGTTTCTACTTGATCATTGGATTTATCATCAGTATGTTTACTATTATTATCATCATTCATGTTTGTTGTCCCATTTTCAATATCTAACAAGTGTATGGCGTATAAAAATTTCAGCCGTAGTTCCACATCAGCCTTGATGAAAATAACCATACAGAATAATAGTTGATATGCACCGATTGAACCGTGATGATTTTCATCAAGAAATTGAAAAACACGGCTAATTAAATTTTCAATATTATCACAATTCCATGGAACAAATTGAATAAAATAGCAACGAAATTGTTCAATATCGATTTTAAAAGAATATACATCATTCTTTTCCAATAATGTTGTTGAACTAATTTGACCCCAATATTGTTGTTTCAATTGTTCTTCTTTCAATACCATATACATGCTAAATATTTCTTCATAGGTCAAATAATGAGCAATAATCGGAATGTTTTGTAATGTACGAATAGTATTTTTAATTGAAGTTTCTTCCAAATTTTGAACCACAGTCATACGATGTTTAAGTCTTAATTTTTCAATTTGATTGGCTGTTATAAAATTAAATTTACTATAAGATTCATTGATCAAATCTTTAATGTCGGTCATTTTTTGGCTAGCACGTTTACTAGCTGTTCCATATGAAAATGAATGTACCATATGTGGTACTTTGGCTTCTGGATTGACAATATTCTCCAGATAACCACTAAGTACAGTCATAGCTTCACCATCATCTTTACATTTTCTTAATGCTTCTTCATTTGCATTCAATATCCGTAATGCAATTTGAAAGACGACTTTAGCCCCATCATAGAAAAAATAATCAACAATATTGATAGCCGATTCAAAAGGCATGACACTTGAGAATATGGTCAAAAACCACGATAATGAAATCATTGGTAAAATTCTCAAATGTAATAGTTGATTATAAAGTTCAGGTAAATGATCTTTAACCAATTCTTCTAAAACTCCTTGATCCACTAAAGCACCTATAACTTTTTTGTTATAATAATCGGGCAACAGACGTTCACATAAGGCAACCAACAACCAAAAGGCATCTTCTTCATTGGCGTACAAAAGAAAAACGGAAGCAACAATATTCATTGCTTGACAATAACCAATGTTTGGATTTCTATGAGCATAGGCTTTCAACACTCTTCGTAAAGCGTTGATGCCAACTTCAGATTGAAAAGCTGGATGTTCCGGTAGTGATCGATGAAGGTCACGTTCAATCTCGTCCGAAGCAACATTCTGTACAGCCATAGAATTTTCCACCAGTTTTTCATAATAACCAGGATTTGTCTCTTTTTCATTAATAGCTCCGGAATAAAGAAGCCATAGTTCATTTCTAAGTTCGTCTGGAATTCCTTGCAATATAAGATCACGAGTTTTGGCCACACGATAACAGGTTATTCCACGGCCATATTCAATAAAATGCAATTGCCATAGATTTAATTTAACAGATTCTTTAGCCTCAGTTTCGGGTGATACATTGCCAAATGAGAATTTCTTATTTAGAGCCGGTTCAATAGTAAAGGAATATGATCTGAGAGTCCGATTTTCGCGACCAAGAACATCAAGCCCTTCGCCACTAGTTTCAAAAAAAAAAAAAATTAATTTATTACAAATTGATACTATTCAACGTTCAAATTACCTTTTAGTGTGATCCAATCGAGCCAACATATTGACAATTTTACCAATGAGAAAATCTCGATCTTCAACGTGATCAAAAATGATATTAGTTTTACTCAACGTTATTACTATGGCTTTGTTCCAGACAGGCCAATTTGAACTGTTGTCCAATTTTTCGACCGAACGAATCTCACGCATTGGAATGATCAATGATAAAAGGCTTAAGACCTGCAAATATTTTCAATTATGAAAATTCAAATATAAACACCACAAACTATTGGATAAACCTACTCGACTCTCGAAACAAATGTAATTATTTGATAGATACATTTTGCCCCAAACATGTTGTTTATTGTATGGCGTCCATAATGTACATGGTAATGTTCCATCGAGTTTTTCGTCCATTGGTAAACGGAATGTAATTTTATAATTTTCACACATTGCTCTAGCGTCCAAATCTCGTTTAAGTATTTTCAATTTTTTGGAAGCACCACGTGAATATTTTGGTTTATTATTTTGTTCATTATCGATAGTAAGTAAATGTTGTTTTTCATCCGAAATCAATGATTTCATAGCAAGATTAACCAATTGTTCCATAAGTGAATAAACTTCAACAGCTCTGAGAAACATTGAGAATAGATATTTTTTTGTTCGAGTGATTACCCGTATGCTATTCGGAAAGAAACGTGGATCATCAATTTCAAGATGCTGTTTTTGATGAAGAAAAAAAATCCTATTAATCCATTGAATGAATGAATGAATATTGATGAATAACTTACCTTGACATCAATCCATTTGGTTATGATTTTGATTTCATTACCAAAAATATTGGAATAGAAACATAAATGATTGATGCTTATGTAAAGCCATCCTTGTCGTGGAAATGAGCCTTTAAAATAACTGCAATAATAATCTAAAAATATTGAAATTAGATTATCATTTTCAAATCAAGAATCATCCATATAGCTTACAATTTACAAGTTTTTCCTCTTCAGGCATCGAAAATAATTTGATAAATTTAGAAACAGATGAAATAACATCCTTGGAACTTTGAACATCTGTTTCGGTAGCATTTTGATCGATGATCATCTGCAAAAGACTTTCAATTTTACATTTAATAAAATCTGTTACATCGGCATCATTTTCAAAATTTGTCAACGTTGGCATCAGATGATTTTCAATGTATTCCCAATCTTTGAGAATTTCGGCAAAACTAGATGATGCAGCAATAACTTGAAACAAGAGAGAAAAAAAAACTGATTAGCTGAAAATCATTTTTTATGGAAAAATGAAAATCAAACATACTGTATGTTGTATCAGAATTGGAAATTTGATGCAAAATCCTAAATGGCAAGGGCTAATAAAATTTTTTTTAATATCACAAATTCCATTGTCAATCATCATGAGAAATAAATACTTTTGTATCGAAAACCGAATCGATTGTTCCAACCAAAAGTGAAGAGAAACCTTTCGTTCCATGACCTAGACGTCTTTGTAGTACAAAATATGGATTGGCACGTTCGGTTATCCTTAAAAAGGTATGAAAAAGAATTTGTTAATAACATGATTGGCACAAAGAATCCAGAAATAAAATAAAACTTACCAAAAAGCATTTGCAACGACAACATTTTCTAGTTTGACCCACATGTTGATTCTAAAGCGGTGTTTGATAAATAGATTATGAGACAATAACACAATATGACAATCAATGGACGATTGGAAAAAAAAATCACAATGAATATGGAAAATCGACTAGGACGATGACTTTCACATTTGTGAATTCGTTGAAATGAAAAAAAATTGTTTACAAATTTATCATTGACCATTCAGTTATAAAAAAAAAATGAATTCAATTCAATGATAATATGGTTTTTCCAGTCTATTCATCGTTTGATTCATATCGTTCATAGATTCTTTGATGTTTAAAATAATAATATATCGACTGTTGTCAATGGCAACATTAATCATGCAACTAAAGGCAACAAAACAAACCAAACTAAATCAAAAAAAAAAAAAACACTGCACTAATTTAATGATAATGATGACAACGGCTGACACTCTATAGCCAATGTATGATGATCCAATAATTATCCAATGAATTAAACTAAATTTTTTTGGAAAAAAACATAAATAACGCAAAAAAAACAAAATAAAAATATCGTCAAGATTTTTCTCGTTGTCTTTGTTTGCTGATCGAAGAGAGGTGTTTATTCTTCTGATCATCATAAACATCAAAAAAATAAAAAACCACCATTATCATCAATCGACAAGCTGCAGCAACAGCGACATCATCATCAACATTAGCAACAACAACAACAACAACAACAAAAACATCGAGACAAAAAAAAACCACAATTTCAGTTAACGACAGAGGGCGTCCACACATTTGGATTAAATAAACCGCTCGAATTACAAATAAAAAAAAACGTTTTTTTTTCATTTATTGCAATATAACAAATACATTTTACAATCATATTATCAATTGTAGAATGATTATCATGATTTTATTATCAATTTGTGTGAGTTATTATGTAAATGATATATGCATAAAAGATTTTCTGTAATAGGATGTATATATAAAAAAAATATATATAGAGAAAAATAGTGATTGTAATAATATGTAAGCAAATAATTCATATAAAATTCATGATAATTAATATAATTATTATAAATTATAATTAAAAAATAAAATCTTGGAATTAATAATGTTGATTGATTGATTGATTGAATTGAATTGGTATGGGTTAGATTTTGAAATTTTGTTTTGATTGTCCGGCAATCAAAATTATTCATTCATTGAGTAGGTGGAAACATTTGTAATGCATTTTCAATGTTGACAACAATTTCTTGATATAATTTCAATTGGCCAGTTAGAAATTCACGCATCACTTTATTCAAATCATTGATTCGTTCCTGTTCAAAATGATTCATTTCAGCAATTGTTGCATAAGTGACAACATCGGCACGTTTTTCAATACCCATCAATGATTTATCATCTAATCGTCCTTCATCACGTGCTTTTTTATGTTCACGTTTTTTATTAATCGATCCTTTATACACTTGATATATTTCCGGCCATGCAGTCAATATTCCACGATATTCATGCATCAGATTTGATAATGGAACAAAACCACGGCAATCTTCTTTTTCGAATAATTTTCCAATAGTTTCATATGTTTCACTAGTGTTGTTTACTGCCTGTATCAAAGCACGATTAGCTGTACCATCTTTTGTTGGACATGTTTCGAATGCTTCACTTAATGTACTGAATATGCTGCTCATTTTGGAAAATTCACGTTTATAAAATGATTGATAACGTTTGATCATCTCTTGTGATAAATTATAAGTATTTTTCATCGATTCATCTAATTTACCAATAAAACGTGCAAATTGTTCAACTTTAGGATCAGTATTCATATCGATGGTCGCATTTTCTGGTATTTGAATCGTTAAGAAAAACATTCCACCAACAAGTTCATCTTTTTCTGCTCTTCTTTTACCATTTTTCCATTGTTTTTCATCTTTACATGTAATAAAATGTTTCCATACGGTCGATTGACAGAGAACTGGATGGCGACAAATTCTTTCCACCCATGATTGTAATTGTTTTCTTCGATTTTCAATAAAATCATCTTGATAACGACCGGATATTTGTTTATCCGGCAATGATGGTATCGGTATTGTAGTGAATTTATCCTGTAAACGTTCATGTAGCCAATCAAAATGTTTATATCTTCGTTTCACGGGTATGCCCGTATCTGATGGTGTTAAACGATAAGCGATAAAACTTTTCAAACCTTTCATTTTACTTTCTTTTTGGGGTTCTTCCACCCTCACAGTTACATTAAAATAGGTTGGTGCCCATTTTAATTGGCCATCATCATCGAAAACAATATGAATTAGATCATTTTGATTAACATTATATGTTTTCAAACCAAGTATATAATCTTCACCACCTGATTTAACAAAATGGGAAAATCTATTTATGCTTTTCTTGATCGATGGTTGACCAATTTTATTTCCATAATTTCCATGATGATTACCATTGTTACCAATATGGATTGGAGCTATTTGATTCTGTGGAGGATTCGTTGGTGAGTAATCAGCAGTAAATTCCGATGTTTGACTATCATCATCGTCATCCCAATCATCATCACCCCAATCAGCATCATCAGCTTGATCATAATTATTATCAACATTATTAAATTGTTGTGGTGGTTGACTGGTTGATTCAACATTATTATTATTATTATTCATAGCTGTTCCAGTAGGATTCACAAACGATAACATTGTCGGTTTTGGATCTTTTGATGGTGCAATCCAGGCATCATTAGTAGCCGGAATTGGATCAGCGACAGGTGAAACATATTCAGCAGGAAAAAGACCTTTTTGTCCACGAGAATTAATACCTTCCCACCATCCTTCACCAATATCTTGACGTGTAACTATGTGAAAAAAAAATTTTTAGAAAAAAATGGCTAAAAATTATGATGAATGATTTTCATTGTCTTCTTCTTCTTCTTGATTGATTTTTTTCTTCAAAGACAATCTAAAAGACAAATATATCAAATTACCCGTAATCATTTCATCTTTTGTGATGGAAATTTCGCCAGTATCAGGCTGTGCTTGAAAATCATAAAGTGCAATTACTTTCATTGTTGTGGACGATTATTATGATGATGATGATGATGATGAAATGAAAAAAAAATGAAAACACTGTTAGGGGATGAAATAAAAAAAAACTAATCAATAAAAAAAATGTTCTGACGATGAATCATTTAAAATATATGTATTTCGATTCTATTTTAATCGATTATCATCATCATCATCATCAATGAGTAAAGAAATAATTATTATATTTATTGTTTATTATTTGTCAAACACTAAATCACAATATATATCATCGAATATCGAATAAAATGATATGATTCTGGATGATTTGACAAAAGACATGGCAAAAAAAAACAAAGACAAAAACAAATAATAAAAAAACATCACCAACACCCACAATCAAATTATTATTATCATCATCATCATCATTTGATACCACTGCATCACAAATCACACAATATCATCATCATCATTAACAGATGAATGAATGAAATGGTATGCATGTTTTGACTCATTGATCGACACACACACACACACACACAAAAACACACACGCAGAAAAAAAAACAAGACGTAATTATACGCAAGCTAAGGCTCTACATACACACATATTGTATTTGCATGCATACAATATATACATTTTCTATATTGTGACAACAAAAAAAAAAAAAAAAATTTCAAATTCGAATAAATTGTTGACTACAATTATCATCATTACATTATTTGGAAAAATGTTGATGATTGGAATTTCGTTTTTCTGAATTTTTTCTCATTATAATCTTCATTTGGACAACATCATTCAAACACGTTTTTATGTAGTTTGTTGTTGGTTGTCGTGGTTTTGTTATCATTCACTGCTGTGGATAATTTTTTTTTGTTTGTTTGTTTGATGTTGATGACGTTTTTGATATTTGTTTGGTTTTCGAATGTTTTGCACAATGAGGATATGTGCGTGTTGTGGACAATTTTATGGAAAGAATTTCAATTTCCTATATCCATGACATTTGCCAATCGATATATATTTTGTTTGAATTCTTGAAAATTGTATTCATGTTCAACCATGACTACAAGAAATGTAAATTCTATTAGAATAAAAATGAAATTCTACGTTTTTGTTTGTTATCCAAAAAACATTTTTTCTTTATTTTCATCATATTTTTAAATAAAAGAGAATTTTTTTTAATATTCAAATATATAATGAAAATAAGACAGGATAGATCCATTGCAGATCAGAGTTCGATTATTAAATTTAACGGATCTTCTTTTTCGGTCGAATATTGTTCGAATGGCCACATTTACGTTTTCGGCAATTGGTAGCTTTTGGATGAAGTCGTGCATAACATCTATTCGATAGAATTAAATTTGATGATGATTGAAGAATTGAAAAATAAAAAGCAAAAAAAATACTCACTTTCGACAGATCATCTTGTCGCAATTATATTTACGAGCCAAAATCAAAAGACTTGGTTCAATAACACCACCACACAATCGTGAAACAAGATGAAGAGTAGCATCTAAAATGAATAAATGAATAAAATAATTTAGAAATATAATTTACTAATTTACAATTACACCATACAAACCTTTGGAGATATCATAATCATTCAAACAAGTTTCCAATTGTTTACCACCGAAAATAAGACGTTGGTCTTCGACCGGTACACCTTCTCGTTGTTGGATTTTAGATTTGATCGAATCGATTGTTTCGAAACGATCAACATCGATCGAAATGGTTTTGTCAAATGTTTTTACAAAAATAAACATTTTTTTGGCGATTCTAAAATTAATTCAGAATAAAAAAAAATCCAAACGAAAAGAAAATACAGACTCACACACACAAACACAAAGCCGGAACTCTGTTATAAAGCAATACAGAGAGAGCAGCAACGTGTTCACTGTATGGATACCCGTCATAAACAATGTATTTCAAAAAAAAATTGTTGGAATGTTTTCCTAAATTATGCTCTTCATTTATATATGTTTTACGTGCGTGTATTTTTCTGTAGACTGATTTCGCAAAAATTTGTTTTTTTTCATCAAAATGAAGATCGAACAAATCAGAAATGATTTATTTGATATCTATCGACAATCAGATGCTCGAGGTTTAAAACAAAGTGCCAAATGGGCTGCCGAAATGTTACGATCGATCAAGAATCAAACGCAGGTGAAAACCAAATGTTTTCTATCGATTAATGATTTAAATAATACATTCGAACAACCGATGGAACAAAGTCCCATTGTTGATAATCAACTGATCAATGATCCGGATTATTTATTCGCCAAAAGTGTTTTTGGTTGCGGGGAGTACAAACGTGCCGCTTTTCTATCACAGAATTTGATTGATTCATCAGCAGAATCTCGTTTTATTCATTTCTATTCGGAATATTTAGCCATTGAAAAAGAAAGACAAGATCGTATGATTGAACCAACATCAGTGGTACCTAATTATCTTCATCGATCATTCATTGAGCTAAAAAATCATATTGAAAAATTATTTCAACAAAATGATGTCGCTTCAAAGGACGGCTATATGCATTATCTTCATGGAATCGTTTTATTGAAATTGGGTCTCAATAAAGAAGCTTTAGATGCTTTATTCAAAAGTGTACGCATCAATCCATTATGTTGGTGTTCATGGCATCAAATGACACATGTTATTGTTGAAGAATCACAAATGTCAAATCTAGTTTTACCGGATCATTGGATTAAATATTTCTTTTTGGCTGCCGTTTATTTGGAAATCAAATCAAATGAAGAATCACTATATATTTATCAAGATTTATTAAAAACTTTCGAAGATAATGCCTATATTCGTACGCAAATGGCTATTGTTAATAATAGCCTTAGAAATTTCGATGAAGCAATCAAATTATTTGCTATTGTACGATCTAGTGAACCTCATAAATTGGATGCAATGGATATCTATAGTAACCTGTTGTACTGTAAAGAATTACAAACTGAACTCAGTTCACTTGCACATTTATCGAATAAAATTGATCCATATCGTGTAGAAACCTGTGTTTGTATTGCAAATTTTTACAGTCTTCGTGGACAACATGCAAAATCTGTCGTTTACTTTTCAAGAGCATTACAATTGAATCCTAAATATCTGTCCGCATGGACATTAATGGGGCATGAATATATTGAATTAAAGAATATAAATGCTGCTATACAAGCATATCGTTCGGCAATCAAATGTAATGAACAAGATCATAGAGCCTGGTATGGACTTGGTGAAGCATATGAAATACTCAAAATGCCCACCTATAGCCTTTATTATTATTCAAAAGCTTTGTTCCTGAAACCTAATGATACTCGATTTATATTGGCACTTGGAGAAACATTTGAAAAAATTTCCCGCTATGAAGAAGCAGCCAATTGTTATGCTAGAGCCGGATTCTCATCATTGATCAAATTGGCCAATCTTTATGAACGTATGAATGAAGAACACAAAGCAGCTGTCATTTACAATGAATTTGTTACGAATTTTGAAGCCAAAAAATCCCAATATAAATTGAATATTTCGGATCTTGCCAATGCATATAAATATCTTGCACATTATTTTCATCGAAACAAACGATATAAAGAATCACATGCGGCCGCACAGATTTGTATGTATTTTAATGAATGTCGTGATGATATCAAAGAATTGCTTATGACATTGGATGGTGTTTTTAAAATGCCAGCTAAACCATCGGCCACACAGAAAAATTGATCTCATTCATCCATTGAATCATCATCATCGGTCGTTTTTGTTGCAGTTGAACATTCATGTACATCCATCGGAATCTTGTCACCCCAACGTGCACTTTTTATGCATTTATAAACATGTCTATATAATAAAATATTTTCATTAGTAAAATTTTTTATATTGAAATGAATTAAAATTCAACATCTTTTTTCATTTACCTATCTGATTTGGATTTCGATACAATTATTTGTTTAAGCATCCCATCATTATCACAGATACGACAAATAGCATGTCCGGCTCTTGCTGCTACCGGTTCGATTATTTTGGCCCAATTTTTTTGTTCCTCTTTCCATTGAAAATGGCCATGTTTTTTCATGATTAGAAATGTAAATTTTTCCGATTTTATACGCGGATTCGGTTGACCATAATCAAGTGGCTGATAATATACACCGAAATTACAGTAAGATTTTTTATGCAATGTAGATTGCCTTGGACATACAAAGTCATGTGGACACTATATAATCGATAATGTGATATTGATTAAATGCGATAAAATTAGTGATAATAAAATGACACATACTGGAGCCATTATTGATCCACTTGTAGATGATAATCTATCAACAATTTCCGTTTCATCTGATTGTGGCCTAAGTGGTTCTGGTTCCATTCGAATTTGACGATTGATTTGTAGAAGAAAATTACGTGCTTCCATAAGGGCGGTATAACCGGCTTTAGAACCATGTTCGATTAGAACTAAACAACCAGAAGTTTTTTGCCATAAATTCTCAATCACATATAATCGACTTCGTGTATCTTCCATTTCAAGCAATGAAAATGCACTAACAACTAAATCATAAGATGGCTAAAGATTGAAAAATTATATGTCAAAAAGAATCGAAAATTTTGAAAAATTAAATCTTACAATATGTTTGGCTGGTAAAAATTGGCGATAAAAAATGCGATTTGAAATATGATCATCATTCGATGTTCCTCGATGTAGTAATTCTCTCGATAATTGATTCATATTTTCATTCATGTCAACACAAAAATATTCTCTAATCGAATCATTCCAATAATGGTCGGCAGCCCAAATAGTGGTACCTATACCGGAACCAAAATCGAATACACTGGATGGATGAAAATCTGGTTCTTCATTGCGAATCTGTTTGAGTTAAAAAAAAAAATTTCAAAAAAACTAATAACCATCATAGCTGAAATTCGAACCTCATTCATTACACGTGAAAGTACGGCATAATTAGCCGGTAATCTTGCAGCCATATAACTTGCACATTCATGGTTATTGTAACTAATTTTTGAAATTGGTGAAAAGAAAATATTCATGTAAATAATGATTGTCAATCATTTTTTCATACAATTATCATTTACAATTCTTTTTGAAAATATAATGTTCGTTGTTGTTGTTGCATTTCTCGTTTGAATTCTCTGTCTTTTACAGCGGTTTCATAATTAAATGATTCATCAACTATGAATAATGAAGACAAAAGAAAAGGCGATAATGTCATGAATAAATTCCATGAATTTTTACCTTTAATTTTCTTTGTGTTATTGGAATCATTTGCACTGGATTCATTTTCTCTGGCAACAAATATTCGTAGAAAATCATTTTCTATTTCATGTACATTTCGACGAAAATTCTTGTTACGATATTCTATACAATTGAGAAACAAAAATAATGTCATTATAAACAATTTTAGGAATTACTGAATCCAATTACTATTGATAACAGATGTAGCAGCAAATTGTAATTTAAATGGTAAATTGCCGGCAAAAAGTCGACGAGTTCCCGGTTGATTTCGATATTTTGTGCCATTTTCAAAAATTTCGGCTAAATTTTCTTTTAATGTAAAATCATGTTTATAACGAATGGATAGACGCCATATATTATCGAACGATTTGAACAAAGAATTCATTGGGCACGAAAAAAAAAATTTACCAACAAAAAAAATGGAAATAATTCAAGAATTTCTCAACAGCTGATCGTAACCACGTGATTTAAACAAATTCTTCAAATATATTCATGTTACATCATCTAATGACGAGACATTGTTATTGATCGACATCGTTCGTTCATCATTTTTTATTCGATCATCAAAAATAAATTCTTTTCCACATTTTTTTTTTACTGAATTAGATTAATTTTCAATTGAAAAAAAATTGAATATCATGGATGGAATTTTTTTTCAACCTTTGAAATTCAGAGTATGAGCCACCTGTTCACACACACACATACAATTGATGGATCGAATGAATAAAAACTTGTTTTCATTCTATATTTATAGTGAGATGATCCAAATTGATAAAAGAGACTCAAAAAATGAATGAATGAGATTAGATTTTTGTTTTGTTTTCTTCGATACTTCGATCTTATTGTATATGTTGTTTGTCTGTGTTTGATATATTATTTTCAAGTTAAAACCTGTATGTTTTTTTTATAATATAAAATGTATATATATTGTGATTAGAATAATGCAAAACATGCGCAACCTATTCAATATATATTGTTGAATTGTGAACAAAAATAACAACAACAACAACAACAACAAACAACAACAAAAATATATTGAGAAATTAAATGATTTTTTATTTGTTGTTTTTGATAATAATAATAAAACTGTCGTCGTGTCTTTCTCTGTTCCTCTCTCTCTCTCATTTTTGTCTCATCATCGTCATCATCATCAACACATTATCATCCATGATTATATGACGCATTTCATGATCATTTATAAACATTTATTTGATGATTGAAAAAAAAAATATCATTACTGTAGTGGTAGCCAAAAGTGAATAATGTCTGCCAAAAAGCTTGAAATTGATAATCTTAAAATATTTACCTTGAATTGTTGGTATGTGTTTTGTTGAAATTTTTTCTTTTTATTGGTATATTCTCTAATTGAAATAATAATGATGATGATGATGATGATTACAGGGGCCTAAGATATGTATCAGATCATCGGCAAGTACGAATCAAATTAATAGCTCAACATTTAGTCGATCAAGATTATGATGTTGTTTTTTACAAGAAGTAAGTATGATTTGTACTTTTTTTTTTTTTCTAATTTGTAATTCTAAATAAAATTTCTCTAGGTTTGGATACAATCAGACTTTGAATATATTCGAACAAAAACAAAATCTAAATATCGATTTGCTCATATGTTTAACAATGCAAGCCTTCTTGGAACAAGTGGTTAGTGTTTTTAATTGAAATCAATCGATAATATTAATAATTAAAATTTATCATTCGCATCATAGGTCTTGTCATTATGGCCAAATGGACACCACAATTTATCCATTTTCATCCATATAGTATAAATGGATCACCATTTCGTCCATTTCATGGTGATTGGTTTTCAACCAAAGGTATTGTTGTTTTGTTTTGTATCAAGAATCAAGATTTTCTCATTTTCAATTTTTTTTTTTGTTTAGGTGTTGCATATGTTCGTATTGAATTACTTGGATTAAATTTACATTTATTTTCTACACATATGCATGCTCAATATGATCTTAATGAAAAGATAATCGATCAATATTCTATTCATCGAATTTGTCAAGCATATGAATTGGGTAAATTTATTAATCTAATGTCATGTAATTGTACGAATACTGGATCAAAAGATTTGATTATATTGGCCGGTGATATGAATACTTCATCGAAAGAATTACCATATAAAATGTTGAGTATGTGTATTTTATTCTGTTTGAATTTTGCCCATTTATTGATTTTATGATTTCTTGTTTATCCTTCTTTTTGCAAAACAACAACCAAAAAAAAAGTCGAATTGACCGATTTGAATGATTGTTATAAACTTCTTCAGATTGATCAACAACAAAAACGATCATTGAAATGTAATAATAATAATAATAACAATAGTATGGATTTGACAACAAAAACATCGACACCGAATAAACGTATAAATAAAATGAAAATTCAAGAATCATCTATTGATCATGAATCCAGTGATGAAGAATTGACCACTTGTGGACATCGTGATAATACATTTACACCACAACAAAATCTAAAACCAGATGAAAAAGCTGGTAAACGTATTGATTTTATTTTCTTCAAATTACGTGATTCATGTTCACCATCCGTATCTGATCATCATCGAATTCTACATAATCGTTTGAATGATAATGGAATTAGTACTATGGATATATTGAAGAATAATATGGAAACCATTCTACCTAATGATGTGATTCCATCGAACAATAATCTAATTGAAACGACACCATTTTTAATGTGTTTACCGGAAAAAATGAACATTGTTGCCAAAGATATTACTGGCTTATCATTTAGTGATCATCAACCAGTAGTGGCAAAATTACATTTTACATGGAAAACAATCCAGGATATTGTGAATGAATCAAAAGATTTAGGTAATAATCATCATCATAGTGATAATAAACAATTTATGAATAATAATATGGATGAAGAATTGAATTCATCTTTAATTGAAACCACTATAGGTTCATCATCGTCATCATCATCATCATCATCAACAATATCATCTTTATCGGCAGCAATGAAAACAACAACGAACGATATAAAATGTTTAACATCATCAAAATTGATATCAAAATTTCGTCGAAAAGAATGTTATCTAGCATTACGTGAACATCAACCAATGTATAAAAAGATTAAAGATTCAGCATTAATACAGGAGATTGAAACATTATTGACAACGTATGTGGATAAATTTCGGCCATCATTTAATTATACACTAATCACCGTATTGGTTATGGTCATCATGTTCATATTGATATTGATGTTATTTAAATTTATAATTTCATTGACAATCATTGAAACAATTTTGATGTCATTGATAATCATGATTATTGCATCGATTGGTTTATTATTGAAATTCATAACACATCGTACAGAGATTAATGCAATCAAAGCAATTTTAAATGATATACAACGTAAAAAAACATTTCATCCAGATTATGGCCTATGTAATGAATGAATGAATGATAAATATTAGTTTTATTTTGGAAAAAAAAATTTGCCTTTCAATTTTAAATGCTAATGGATGGACGATATTCATTCCAAAACCTATTGGTGGTACATACCCTTTATTTATATAATCAAATTGTATCGAACAAAATTCCAGAATACGATCAACAATATTCCAAATAGGAATAAAAAGTGAAAATTCAGAACAACAACAACAAAAACAAATTCGTTGTGCAAATATTTTTCAAATTTTTTTTTCTTGCTATAAATAGATATATATATAGATTCTTCTAAATGTTATTCGTGGCTGGCTGGTCCAAAATTACCAATTATTTATGATGAGATTGTGTTGATAGTTATAATAAGAAAATTTTATGAAAATTAATCAAAATGTAATTTTTATTATTATTCAATCAATCGATAAAAAATAATAGTAGCACATTATAAAAAAAATGGATTATTGAATATCGTTTTGTTGTTATTTTCATTAGAAAAAAAATGCAAAAGATTTAAAAATTAAAAAACAAAAACATTAAATTATGCAAATGATGGAAAATCTTCGATGATGATGATGATGATGATTCGGAAGTATTCGATAAGTAGTGGTAGTGTGTGTGTGTTTATGTGTGTTTGTTTGTGTAGTTTTAATAGCCAAAAGTGTTGAAATAGAAATTCGATCCACAAAAAAATTATTTTGATGATGATGATGATGATTGAATAGCCATTATTGGATTGGATAAGATTAATATATCAATATATAAAATAGTGATAAATGTTGTGATGTTGAAAATGTATACTGGATTTATATTGTTGTTGTTGTTGTCGCTGATTCTTTTTTTTGGATTTGAATATTGTCAATTTGTCCCCGCAGAATAAACAGATGATGATAAGATGATGATGATTTTGCAAAAAAAAATGAACATGAAAAAAGGGGGAAGCCCTACAGTAATCAGAAAAGAATTTTGGAATTTTTTTTTCGTATTGAAAATTCAATGTTTTTGGAGCAATTATATCAAGAATTTTCTGAACAAAATTTCAAGTTTTTTTGTTGTTGTTTCATCAAAAAAAATATAAAAAAAATTTATAGCCACAAGAAATGAATGAATGAACATGAACAGATTACTATAAGAATAGATTTAAAAAAAACTCACAAACTGGATATCAATGAATCAAATGATGATGAAAATGACATTTGATTTTTTTCTAAGAAAAAAATCAATCAGATTGATAAGGAAGAACATTCGAATCGATTCGAATGATGAATGAAAATGCAAGCATTATATGTGTCTGTCTGTGTGTGTATGTCATGTGGATGTTGTTTTTTTTAGTAAAAAAATAAATTGATTACAGGTGAGATACATTCATATATACTTCATAATGAATAAACCATTCGTTTGGAACAAAGTAGAAGACGTTGAAGAAGAAGAAGAAGAAAAAAAATAATGAAACAGAAACATAAACAAAGAATTTTTTTTCTGCTTTTTTCATTCATCATCAATCATCATCATCATCAATAAATACATATAACATGAATATTTGGAAAGATCAAAAAAAAAAAAAAAAAAATTCAATGAACGTGTTCAACGAAACAAACAAACAAAAAAAAAACAATGTGGATAATTTGTCGTTGTATTGTGAAGAAAAAATAGAAAAAATAGAATTTTTTCGTTTTACCTGGGCCAAAATGAACATTGTGTTTTGAGATAATTTTTTTCCTGTCTGTCTGTCTGTCTGATTCTTGAATTATAAAATACAAAAAAATGTATATGTTTTGACAACAAATATATTGAATTGAAATCTAATAAACGAAACAAACAAACAAATGAAAAAAATTTGATCATATTCAGCTACCTATATATATATTACTGCTATAAATTGCACGAAATCAATAGATCAATCAATCAATGCTGTTGTTGATGTTGCTGTGTTGGACCAAAAATCAAAAAAAAAAAAAATGATAAAATAAAAATAGACGATGATAATAATAAATTGAAACAAACAAACAAACAAACGAGCAAAAAACAATCGAATAAATTATGTTGAATGTGAACAAAAAAAAATTTGCAAAATCGAACCCGTTGAAATCGATTGATGTGTTTTTTGTTTATATATGTACTGTGTGTGTGTGTGTGCGTGTGTTTATGATGTAACAATAAAATTGTCCAGCGGTGGGAAAAAATGTCCGTAAATCTTCAAGGCAAACAAAAAAAAGAAAGAGAAACAAAACTCAAACCCAGTAAAAAAAATAAAAAATTAAAGCAAAATGAAACAAATTTGAATTTTTTTTTTTGCATTCATTCATTTGATCGAATAATAATAAATCAATAATCAATAATCAATAATAATAAAACAAACACCAAAATATAATGATAATAATAAAAAATAAAAATAATGGTTATAAATGCCATCAATCATTATGTGGGTGGATGGGCGTGTATTGTATTGTGAGAGAGTGAATGATTATGGATTTGATTATTTTTGAAATTAAATGAGAGAGAGCGAGAGCGAAAAAAAAATAGATTAATTCGATAATTCGAAATTCAGTGTTTCAGTTTTCTCTTGTGGTGTGTGTGTGTAGGTGTGTGTATTCTGTGTGTATTCATCCAACAAATTATAACGAGATAATAATAATCATGATTTTTTTTTAAAAATAATTAAAAAAAAAGTTAACACCAAAAAAAAGAAAGAAAAGAAAAAACACTTGAAAGATCAAATATTTTGTTTGTTCAAACAAATTGTGTTTGTGTTCGTGTGTGTGTGTATTGTGCACTACCATAAATAAATTGGTGTGTGGTGGTGGTTTATACTTTCCAAATATTTTTTTTTTTCATCATCAAAATAATAATAATAATAGTGATCAATAACGATATTATCAATGGACCAAATATAAAACAAGAATTTTTTTTTGTTGCTATTTCGTTACCTTCACCCTTCACCTACTATATATTTGATATCAATATTTCAATATTTAATAATGTGAAAACATAAACATAATTCCTGTGTACATGCATGCATGTGTGTGTGTGTGTTTGATGATAAAACAAAATGACAAAAATGAATGGAAATGAAATTAATTAATAATAATAAACAGATCAATCAAATTGTTGTTGTTGTTTGTTTGTTTGTTTTTAAAACCAACGGATTTTTTTTTCTTTATAACGAGAAAAAGAAGAACAAGAACAAAAAAAAACAAATTGAAAAAAAAGTATTGGTTGCTGCTGCTGCTGTCTGTGAATCGATAATTAATAATCATCATCATGGATAATAATAATAAAAATAAGAATGTGACAAAAAAAAGAAGTGACCATTACAAAAAAAAAAAAAATTTTAACGATTGACAAAAAAAAGATGGAACGTTTTGTTGTGTGTGTGTGTGTGTGTGTGTGTGCGTATGTGAAACAAAACAAAACAAAAAAAAAAATGGAATCAAGAAAACAGAGAGATAACGGTATCATCATCATGAGTTTTTTGTAATTGTTTTTTGTTTGTTGTTGTTGTTGTTTGTTATATATTGTTATTAAGATTTATAAGTAACAAAATATAATAATGATGATAATAATAATAATTTTTTTTCTGAAAGATAAAAACAAAAAAAAAATGAAAATAGAAAATGAAAAAAACAAATCTCATCTGTTTTGTACTCGTGTTTTGTTGAAATTGTTGCAGCAATTTTTTTTTTGTTTTTTTTTCTCATTTTGTTTCTTCATATAGAAATTCGTTGCATTTGTCATCTGATCATCTTGATCATCATCAACATTAATATTTCATATCATATCATATTTATATTCGGCAGTAGCCACCAATTTTCATATGCGAATAAAAAAAAAAACATCAAGATTAAATATTCTTAGTTTTGATGTGTTGCTGTTTTTGTTGTTGTTGTTTAAATTGTGTTTGTGATGATATAATCATCTTCATCATCATCACTATTATTATTCATAAAAACATGAAATATGTTAAAGACAAACAAACAAACAAACAATCAAACAAAAGATGGAAAAAAAACACGAAGACAGATGATTAATGGAAGAAAAAACGAGAACATCCAGATGATGATGATGATGATGAATTGTATCGAATCATTGAATTGATACTTGTTTTGTGTGTGATTTATGCAACTGCATTTGGAAGAGAAAAAGAGAGTTCGATGTACGAAAATGCAATGATTATAATGATGATGCGACATATTAGAAATTGAATTATCAAATGTAATATAACAAACAAACAAGAGAAAAAAAAATAGAAACAAACAAATGCTTTCAATGAAAGAAAAAACAAAATAAAAGATTTTTTCTGAAGGAAGAGGTGTGTATTGATGGTGATGATGATGATAATGAAAGTAGTATCAAGAAGAAAGGACAGATTTTTTTCTTCTCATTAGGAATTCGGTTCCAATTTAGAAAAAAAAGATCAATTGAGATTTGATTAATAATGATAATGATTTGATTGATGTGATCTGATGTGTGTGTGTGTTTGGATTCGTATAAAATAAAAAAAAGTTAATTCGATATATTTGAATCGTTAATCAATCGATCAATCAACAATGATGAGATGATAACGATGATGATGATTGGATATATTTGTGATTCAAAAAAATTCAACAGATACCGCTTGTAGCAACTGCCGTAGCCAATGATTGTAGCTGAAGATAACGATAAATGTAGATACGATAATCTTTACTTGCCAATACAACAGAATTATCATCCATCAATGCAACATCGAAACATTGTGAATGTTTTACTTTTGATTCAAGTGCATTGACCAATGTACCATCTTGTGTGAATATTGTAATATTGAAATTATTATGATTATCAGCTACTAATATTTCGCCATTATCATTGATGCAAACACCAATCGGATAATTGGTCAATCCTTCACCACCAATATTACGTAAAAATGTTCCAGAATATGAAAATACTTTGACACAATGTGCACGATTATCGCTAATGAATATCTCCTGTTTATCATTGACAACCACACCGTTTGGAAATTCCAAATGTTTACTGCAGCCAAATTTATGTAGAACGTTGCCCATTAAATCGAATATGATGACACGCATCACCTTGCATTCGACAATAATGATGTTGCCTTTATTGTCGACAGTAACACCACGCGGATGTTGAAGAATATCGGCTCCGAATTTTCGTACAAATTGTCCATATTGATTGTATACTTGAATTTGATGCGTAGGCGAACGTTCAGTGACAATGATATCGCCAGATTGTTTGACAACGGCCACACGATTTGGATACAAAAGCTGCCCATCACGTTTACCACATTCACCAAATTGAAATTTAAAACGACCATCTTTATCAAATATCTGTATACGATGATTGTTTGTATCGGCAACGATTATGTCATTTTGAGCATTAACAGCCACACCGGAAGGTTCTGTAAATTGACCTTCCATAATGCCAAATTCACCAAATTTACAATGATAAATCATTTTCTGTCGTTGAACTTGTGATTTGATAGGCATGGCTGATGATGCCATCGATGATAAAGATGATTGTTCATGATTATTGATGAGATCAATTGAATCTGAGCCGGTCAAATCGGCAAGGCCATCGGTGACATTATTCCATGCAGAGAATAATGTTGAATCAGGCGAGGAATTTGAACCAGTTCCAGCACCTCCACCGTTATTACTACCACCAGTTAAACCATTACCATTCATACTGCCTACAGCTGACCATTTGTCATAACTAAATGCATTATTCAATGAATCAGAAATTGATGATGACAACGAACGATTATTGTTGGAACAATGATTCTGTGAAATATTGAATGATGAAAAACGATCAACAAAGCCATTCGAAGATGAATCAAAGCCATTCATTTGAGAATTATGTTGTTGATGATGGTGATGATGAAAATTATTATTGGCGGCCGTAGCCGATGATCTCGATAGATATTTATTATTATCCGATGATGATGATGCTCGTATGTAACCGACATTTTGTTTGAGTATCGATTGAATACCATTATAGTTGGTGACAAATTCAAGTTCATGTGAATGGAAGCTCGAATCGAGATCAATATTTAAAATGGCTTGAAGTTTATTATCGATAAATGATTTACAATTAATCATGTCGTTTGGACAATCCTGTCCTTGTTCCATGTAGTATAACATTTGTTCAATTTTTCGCAAATGTTCTTCAATTTTTGATGTGAATATCGTCAATGATATTAATCGTGCATTATAAACATCTTCCAATTCTTTCATCAAATCGGTTTTACCTTTTCCCAATGCAGTGATTAAGGCCTGATAGGCATTATCAATATCTTGTTGAGCTTTTCCATGTTGATTATGTAAACGATTTGATATATGTTCAAGATTTTTTTGTTTATGTGCCAAACGATTTCGACATTCTTGAAAAATTCGAATCATATGCGTTGTATCGGGCTGTTGTTGGCCATTATTATTATTATTATTATTATTATTGTTGTTGTTGTTGTTATTATTACCGACAACTCCATTAATGTATGGGCCATTTGTTGTTAAATTGTTTAATGATGAAACAGAATTATCATCATTACTACTGCTTAAATTTGATGGTGAATTAGATGATGATGATGATGACATTTGTTGCTGTGATGAATTATTATTCAAATTATTATTATTGTTATTATTGGAATTGGAATTATTATTATTATTATTGTTCGACAAGACATTTCTGGTCACTGAATTGGTCGTTGCCGCTGCTGCTGCAGATGATGCTGCCGATATTAATTCATTGGCAAAATGATCATGATGATGATGATGGTTATTATTATTATTGTTATGATGATTGATACTTAGATGATTGATCTGATGGCTAATTGGTGTGCTTGTGGCCACAGCTGCGGCAGCAGCAGCAGCAGCAGCGGCGGCGGCCGTTGATGTCGATGACATTGTTGACAACGTCGATGTATCAAATGTTGTCATCATTTTGTTATCAGTTTAAAAAAAATTGATGATGTTTTTGTGTTGATAATATTAAAATAATCAGATGAGAACAACGAAAAAAAACAGACAAACAAATAAAAAAAAATGAAGAAAAATAGGGCGAAAGAAAGAAAACACGATCAAATTCCAAAAAAAAATAATAACGTAATACACAAAAAAATTGATAAAAACGAACGAAAAAAATTGAAGAAAAAATTCGGTTGCACACACACACACACGCAGTTGGATCTTGATTCGCTGATGTGATGAAATGATCCTGGAATTTTTTTTTCACGGATTCCCACTTCATATAAAACAAACGCGAACAAACACGCCAGAAAAATTTTCCACCACTACACCCGATCAACAAATCGAATGGGAATGAATTTGGAGAGAGTGAGATAGAATGTGAAAAAGCCGAAAAAAAAAATTCTCTTGGTTGCTTGTGCTTGATTCTCGTTTTGGTTAGACAAAATAAAAAAAAAAAAGACAGACAGACCGAATCACACACCATGCACGATGTGTACGTTTAAATTAAAAAAAAAAATACGAGATGAGACAATGGAAAAGAGGCAATGGCACTATCTTGATTTTTTTTTCTTTTTCTATTTGTCGAAATTGTCGTCTTCTTGTTTCTTGTTCACGTCCAATAGACTAAAACGAATATAAAACCAAGAAGAAAAAAAAAGCTAAACCAAAACTTCGATTGATGAGAGAGTGAGAGAGCAAGAGCAAGCGTGGTTCGGGAAACAAAGAAAGAAAGATGATGATGATGATGATGATGAGAACTTGCTGCTTTATGTGGGGTATATCAAAAGCAGCGTGTATATGTGTGTGGTTGGTGTTGGTGTGTGTGTGTGTGTGTTGTATTAGCTGCGGCTGCTATGCATATAATACAAGTTTTTTTTTCAATGCTTATCTTTTCTTACACATATATTGTGTGTATATGTATTGTATATATATATATGATTGTGTTGTGTTGGTATATGTTTAGATGGTTCTTCGATTTTTTTTTATAATTTCAAAGTTCTGGCGCTTTTGTTGTCGAGGATGATGCACTTGTTTTTTTGTTGTTGTTGTTGTTGTCGTTTCTAAATTAAAAAAAAAAATGTTGATTTCGTTTGAAAAAAAATTTTCTTTTGATTCTGATGATATAGTGGAAAATCAAGATTTCTGGTTGTAGTTGTTGTTTGAGTTGTCGATGATGATGATGATGATGTATCTTGAAAAGGAAAAAAAATTCAAAAGACAATGTGAATGAATTGAATGAGTTAAGATGGTGATGATGATGATTTTTGATTTTAGAAAAATAGAAAAAAACAAATTATCTTGATGATGATGGCGATGACCAAAAGTTCGTCGTCTTCGTGATGATGATGGTGGTGGCAGTTTAATATCCCTTTTTTCAGAATTTTTTTTTCTTTAAATGTTTTTGTTATTATTAATATAAAAAATAATAATATTGGGCATGTGTTTGGTTCACAGGTTCATCATCAGGTTCTTTTGTCGTGTCGACAAGTTTTTATATATTTTTGTTGTTGTTGTTGTTATTCGTTTTTGTCGATAGGGGTTGTTCAACTTGAACTTTCTTTTAAGGTTGTCGTTTTTTTTGTTGGTCGCTTGTTTGGTTGGTTGACTGGTTGTCTTGACGATGTTCAATTTGATGATGATGATGATGAACGATGATTGGTTTAAGTAAAGAAAAGATACACACAGGGTCAAAAAGTTCATTTGAAAAAATTTTCAATGCTATGATGTTAATGAAATTATTTTTTTTTCTTTCGTTCTTCATCAGTTTTGATTTGGAATGATGAAATCAAAGAACAAGATTGAAATTTTATAATTTTCTTTTTTTTTTCGTTATGAAAAATTCACAAATGATGGAATCTTTGAATGTTTTTTGTTTTCAATGATGATTTAAACAAAAAATCTGAATCTTGATTCGATCCATGCCTGTTTGATTTGTGAATCAGAATGATGCGCCCGAGTTTAACGGTTTTGTGAGTGTGTGTGTTGGGACCAAAGTTTTTCAAAAAAAAAAAATCAAAACAACAACAAAAATAACAAATGCTTTTTTTCGTCAAGACAGATGCAATTCTTGGATCATGGGGACCACGGACACACACGGAATGGAAAAATGAAAATTAACAAACAAAAACAATAAAAAAAAAAAACAAGAAAATTTCGCTTTCATAATATCAGACTTGAATAATGTTCATCATTTGATTATGCTCACAATTCATTCATTATTCTTTTAATTTCGAAATTTCGTTTGTCATTTTTTGGTGGTCTATTTGTTGATGATGATGATGATTATATCGATGGGGGTTAATAATAACGATAATAAATAGTTTGAATCATCAAGAAAAAAAAATACACATGAAAACAAATGATGGGCAACACAAACATACACACAAAAACCAGTGTCAATGAATTGCACACCCGAGAAAAAAAAAAATGGAAAAAAAACCGCCACCACTACTATTTTATTCGACAACCACGCCGCCATATGGAATAAACCAAATCAAGCAGCAGTAACATAGAAAGAAAGAGAGAGAGAGAGACAAACAAACAAAAAAAGAGGGAGGGAGGGTGTGGATCCTAGAGAGGAAATACACTCAACACACACACACACACACAAAGAAGATAGGTTGGTCGGTTATCATCATCATCATCATCATCATCAGTATTATTATTTGATGGTTTGGTACAATATTTTGTCATGGGTGGTGGCAGTTCATAATCATCAACAATTCTTTTGGTTATTGGTGGTTGAATCCAATTTTTTTTTTCATTATTCACTTTTTTTAATACCGCTACCATAACGAATATACCAAAAAACTTTTTTTTTACCTATCACCAGTATTTTTATTTTTTTTTGTATCATCATCCTCCTCATATTGTGTGTGTGTGTGTGTGGATGAATCCAGCAGCTTGAATTTTTTTTTTTTTTTTTTTGGTGTGGTTGAACTTTAAGCAATATATTTATTTATTATATATGAGGGTAGCAAATCTTTCCGCGCGTTATTGCATTTATTTTATTCATCTGTTTGTTTCTGTTTGAATGAATGGAAAAAATTTTTTTTTCTTTTCGTCAATGACTAACTCTCATTGAAATGTGAAATGGCAAATTCAAATTCAAAAAAAAAAAAATTCATATAATGCACATGCGTATTCGATACATGAATTCAAATTATTTCAATGAATGAATGAAATTTTTTTCTTTTCGTTTTGTTTTGTTTTGTTTTGTTTTCATAAAATTTCAAATTGAAATTATATACGCACTAAATAAACAACAACAACAACAACAAAATCACCTTTTTTTCCAATATACATTGCCTCAACACCCCCCACCAACCTCCTATATATTTTTACATCATACGCGTTTTTTTTATCTAAAGATGACAATGATAGTGGTAATGCGTGCGTGCGTGCTTGCGTGTTTGTCCTTGGTCCTTAACCCTGAAAATATTTTTTTATGCTCGTGTCGTATGTGTTTGTGTGTGTGTGTTTGTTGAAAAACTCGGCCCATTATATTGAGACAAATAACAAAAAAAAAAGAATTTTTTTTCTTTTTTTTCTGGTTCTATTTTTTCTTTTTCTTTTTGTTGTTGTTGTTGTTTTGGTTTTTCCTGCGTTCCATTATATAATCAAACTAAAAATAAGGTATTCATATATATTAGTCAGCTCGTTTTTTTTTAGTGATTCTCCAATTCATTTTTCTCTTTATATATGTGTGTTTGTCGATCTTTTGGTGTCGTCGAACCTCGTAGTGAACGTAATCATCAGCAACCGACAAGGCATCATCAACATCATTTGAATTGGATGCGGCTACTAGACCAAACTAATAACTTAGACCTGGCTAGTAAAGACAAACTATGTGTGTGTTTAGTTGAATTTTTTTTTTTTTTTGCTGTTGTTGCCAAAATCCATATACATTGACAGAACAACAACATCCATAGACAGACAGAATGGGAAAAAACAACAAAATACTAATGCTGACGGCAGATGCAATGAGGATGAGGATGAAAAGTAGTAGGGGTTATAGCTTGGATCCTTCCATTCAATGCATTCATTATGAAAAATTTAATGATCACCATCATCCAGTAGAGAATCCGCAGCGAGAAAAAAGTAAAAAAACGAAAACGAAGAAGAAAATTTTGAAAAGAAAATGAAACGATCGTCGAACTCCATTCATAGAATAATGATGATGATGATGATGATGATATAATAGTAGCGTGGCAGCTTCTTCAACATTCGGTTGTCGTGTATATTTTATTATATATCGAGAGATGGCCTTCATCACGGCCAACACCCTCGCGGTCGTCTCATTGTCGTTGTCGTCGTCGGTTGCTATTTATTTTGGTTTGATTATTCACGTAATGTGATGTGATGGCAGCCATTGGTGTGATTGTACGACGAAATCCTTGAATTTTTTTTCTGATTTATTTTCTCGGCTTTTTCACAAAATGTTGTCTGTATCTTATACTGCAAGTATTGCTGCTGCTGCTGTCCTCTATCGGTTGAAATTACAGATGTTAATTATAATTTAATTTTTTTCCATTTATCATCAACAGATGGTGTGTATTGGTTCGTTTATTTTTTTGTAAATTAATTACTCCCACTTTACTCACCCTCCTCCTTCTTTTTAATACATTCAACGTTGTTTGAAGTAGTAGTAGTAGTAGTAGTAGTAATAGATAGCGGTAGTAATAATAGTAGCAGTATTTGATTCGATTTTTTTTTGTTTGCAAATGAATCCCAAAAACCAAAAAAAAAAAATAATAATAAAAATTTCTCTGGTCCTTGATAATTATATTCATTCCTTGGTATTATATTATTTTTTTTTATCACATCAATTACATCTTTTATGCAGCATGATAATGAGAATGTGTGATGATGATGATGGTGAAAAATTAAGGAGAATCCATCTCTCTGTTTGGTGGTTCGGTGTGTGCGTTCGGCATGCTCTATTTCAAAATGGTGCTTTCAATGATTTGAATTTTTATGCTTGCATTCATTAAAAATCATTTGTTTGTTTTGTGCGTATGTGATGAGCATGCATACATGCTGGCTGTCTGTGTTCATTCGAAAAAAAAATTCACTTTTTTTTATTTCTCCTTGGTCCCTTATGGTGTGCGTTTGACTATATATTGTGTGTGTGTGTGTGTATACTTTTTTGGTTTTGTGGTGGTATTCATCATCATCATTTTTATTTCGTTTCATCCTCCTCATTTTATAACTATAGTGCTAGTAGTATACTCGTGATGATGATTATGATGATAATGGTGGTGGTGGTGGTGGTGGTAAAATAGTTTGCGAGCATTTTTTTTTTTAATATTATTCTCATCATCTTTCTCTTTTTGAGAACAACAAAAAAACAATCACCATCTTCATCATCATCGGTTTTTTTTCTGTGTCACTTTCTGGTCTTCAAAAAAAAAAACGGATGTCTAATTTTTTTTTCCTTTTTTCGGTTTTTTTTATTTTCAGTTCATAATTCATACACATTCATTTATCATTAAAAAGATCTTTTTGGACCATCATCAACAACAACGGCAACAACATTTTTTAATCTGCTAAGTTAACTCATACTAACCATCATCCATCTTTTACTTTGTGTATTGTGCATCAAATTATCATTATTTCGTAACGAAAATATCCTTATTATTCAATCAATTGTCCGGTATTTTTTTTTCTCATTCATTACCCCACCATTTGTGTGATCAAAAAAAAAGAACGTGTAAACACCGAATAATCGAAAAAAACAAAATTTCGGAGGCTGAGTGTTCGCAGTTCTATTATAATCATCATCATCATCAAAAATATATCACATGCGATCCTGTGTGCCAAAAAACAAAACCAATTTTGATGTTCATTTTTTTAAAAATTTGATTTTGCATATTCCAACAATATATTTGTACCACAAATCAAATCATCAACCAATTATTCATATATATAACAGCAATCGAATGCTTAAAACATTCGATTTAAAAAAAGTGAATTCATTCAATCAATCTATCAAACACCTCAAATATAAATAATAAACAAGAATTAATATTAATATTGCTAAACAAACTATAGTGCCTCAACAAAATTTATCCGAATCCATTCAATAAATAACAACAACAAAATGAAAATGAAATCCTAAAACTACCTGATCTTCATCTCCCTTTCATTCATTGATTCGATTCCTGTCCTTGGAGCTCTTTCAAAAATTCATTTATTCGATCGATCTATGATCGATTCTCGCTCTACTTTATAATTCATTGATTTTTTCACTTCTCTCTGAACAAACAAACCAAGAAGTATTTTGAAAAATTTGTAACAATTTTTTTTTCAATTGTGTTTGTTAATGGGAAAGCAAAAAAATTATATCAATCAATCATCAAACAAACAAACACACACATCTTTTATTTCCACGTTTTTTATCTATTCCACATCCATACACACACACACACCCACCCACATCCCCACATATTCTCTTTCTCCAGTCTATTATAAAAATTAAGAACCAATAATAATAATTTCATCATCAATTCATTTGTGATACATATATAAAACGAATGTGAAAAAAAAAACGAAAAAAAACCCGATTATTTATATATTAGTATCTCATGAGTGTCGTCGAATGAAACAAAATCTTTTTTTTTATACACTACTGAAACAAAAAACAAAATCTAATAGGAGATATAATAATTGAAATTTTTTTTTTTTTTTTTAATAATAATTGTATAATATCAAATTACACATTTTTCGTTTTTTTTCTTTGCTACAACCGAATTTTCTTCTTTTTGAATTTAAATCTAGTTTTTCTTTTCTCTCATTGTGAAACGATTCTCTATCATCAACATCATCATTTTGTTTGTTTGTTTGTTTTTTTTTGTTTGTTTTTTGTTTTGTTTTTCAAAATTTATTATTATTATTATCATTAAGATACAACAACAAAACAATTGCAATAATTGATTGTAAATTTGAATCTCAACAAAAAAAACAGATAATCATCGGCAATCACATACACACACAAAGACAGAAAAGAAATTATTAATTTTTGAAACTGATCAACTACTACTCATTTGTTTTGTGTGATTTTCTCACAACAACAACAACAAAAAAAATCTTTAGAATCTCATCTTTAAAATTGTAAAAGAGAATTTTTTTTCTCTCTCTCTCTCAAGCTTTCAAAAGAACACACTTATTTTAACCTTGTTTCAATTCAATTCAAAAATTTTTTTTTTTGTCTCGATTCGACAGTTCAAATTGCCTTCTGCTGTCTTGTCGTTTGTTTGTTTGTTTTTTTCGGTTTCCCTTTCATAAAAATTGTAAAAACTTTTCTTGTATCAATTTCTACATACACACACACACACACACGTTCGAAAATTTATAAGCAACATCATCATCGTCGTCATCGAAAAAAAAATCATCTTGTTCATTATCATCATTGACATTTGTTTTTCTCGTTTCTTTTTTTTTCGTTTCGACTTTATTATTTTTTTTTCTTTCACTCAATACACACACACACACACACACACAACAACAACAACAACAACAACATACACACACACACACAACATAGACATTCGAATTTTATTTTGTAACTGACTGTGAAAATTATTGCGATATATATTATTAATAATATTATACTAATCATTTTTTTTCATCAAGAAAACATGTCGAATTCTTCGGATGTAAGTTTTTTTTAATATTTCTTTATATAGAATAATTAAGAATAATGTTTTCTTTTCTCTCATGAATATAGTCAAAGATTTTTTTGCCAAACACCGATTCATTTTCATCATCATCATTTTATGATTCGAATAATCATAATCATTTCAATAATAATTCTACATCAAATCATTTTAATTTTTCATCATCAACAACAACATCACCATCGACAATTGACCATTTTCATAATAGTACATCTATTGAATCATCATCAGCATCATGTGTCAAAGAAACAGGTATTATTGAAAAAATGGTAAGTTATTCATTATCATTGTTGTATTATGATTATGATTATTAACATTTAATCATTTAATTAACGAATTCAGCTAGTATCATATGGCTTCATTCAATGTTGCGAAAGACAGGCTCGATTATTCTTCCATTTTAGGTATGATTATTAGTTTTTTTGAAAAAAATTGATATAATGACAATTTCTCCTTGATATTCTAGTCAATATGAAGATAATATCGAACATCTCAAAATTGGTGATCCAGTTGAATATGAAACATCGTTTGATCGCCGTACTGGAAAACCGGTAGCGATCAAAATTCGTAAGATAACATCGAATAATTTTATGGTAAAATTGTCAAAATCGGAACGATTAACTGGCGTGATTGCAGCTGAATTGTCTGATGATCGTGTAGGACGTATAGCATTTGATAATATGGGCGAATATTTCTTTCTGCCATTCACTCATGAAGATGTTCTTGACAATGTAAATTTTAAGGTCAACGATAAAGTGTCGTTTGTGTTGAATACTGATGATAGTGGAAGTTTTGGTGCAACTAGTATTCAATTGGAAGCATCATCGATGCCTAATAATCAAGGAATAATCAGCGCTATCAAAGATACGTTTGGTTTTATTGAACGTTCTGAGTGTGGACTGAAAATATTTTTCCATTCATCTGATTGTGATGATTTTAAATCGTTGATAATTGGTGATATCGTACAATTTGATATCACTACTCGAAAGAACAAAGAATTGGCCACAAATGTTACTAAGCAAATAAATTTGGATGAAGAATTTTCTGAAAAAATTTATAGAGGACAAGTGACCAAATATAATAATCGATCAAATCTTACATCGGGAACTATTTATTGTCCAGAAATGAAAAAAGATTATTTTTTCTATGATAAAGATGTTCGAGGCAATTTCACTATAAATTGTTTTGATTTGGTCACTTTCCAGATTGCTACCGATCGACGAACACATTATGAACGTGCTGTTAACGTAACTTTTCTTGTCGAAACATTCACTACAAATGCCGAAAATCGTGAACGAGGATATGTTGCCAGTTTGAAGGTAAGATTGTGGAAAATTTTGTATCAAGTAATATAACTTTTATTTCTATTATACAAATGAATATTTCAGGATACTTACGGGTTTATCAAATGTCCAAGTAAAGAAGGTTCCTTAATCTACTTTAAACACGCCGAATTATTAGATCCAAGCATTGTGCTTAAATTAAATGATGAAATTGAATTTACATTCATAACTGATGCTCAATTGAAAAAATGTCAAGCTATACGAATCTCCATACTTCCTAATGGCACATTATTCAATAGTATACTTTCCAAACAACGTCAACCAAACAACAATCATAATCATAATTTTCAAAATAATAATCATTCACAACAGCAACAACAACAATCATCGGAAACAGTGAATGAAGTTTTAATCTGATTGATCTTACTACACCATCGATTACAATGAACAATAATAATAATGCTGAAAACAATGATACTCAACAACCACTACAACATAATGAAAATGGTATTATCAAACAGAATGGAATTACTGACGATAATAATGGTTGTTCATCAAATTGGACTAAAGAATTGTTGGAAATATTCCAAAAGACAGAAAATGATATACATTCACTAATGCCATTAACTAATGGTAATATTGACTATAATAATCATACATCATCATCCGAATCTGATGAAATCAGTGGTGTAAGAAAAGCTGGCATCATAATCGTTCTTAAAGAAAACTATGGTTTCATTGAATCGATTGATGGTGAAAAAGAATATTATTTCCATAGTCTTTCATATAATGATGATGATTGTAAACTTGGACAATCAGTCGAATTTGATACATTATTTTCGAATGGAAAATGGAAAGCGATCAATGTTTCTTCAAAAGATGAGATAGATTTATGTGAAGATATATCATGCGAAACATTCACTGGAACTGTTGTACGTACTCTTGAGATGTTTGATTCTGATCAAGATAATTATACTGGATTGATTGCTAAGAATGGTATCGAAGGCAAAAATGGCATGATAAATGGATGGGATAAAAAACCTGAATATGAATTCAGCATGATTTCATTGAAATTTCTGAAAGATTACATTAATGTTGGTGATTTGGTACGATTCCAGGTGGCCACTAATCCAGTGACGAGAAAACAACGTGCTTATAATGTTGAAGTTATTCGTGATCGTCTCAAGGTAAGTAATGGTGGATGATTAATGAAAAAATTGATTAATCGTTAACAAAATGTTTTCGTTCAATAAAGGGCACTGTGCTTACATTGCAACGATTATATGGATTTTTGAAACCAGATAATCCGGGTATTGTCGGCAACATTTATTTCAATGCGGCTGAAATTCGATCAAATGTCAAGATTAAATTTGGTGATAAAGTAGATTTTCTTTTGGTCAAGAATAAAAAGACTGAAAAATTTTATGCTATCGATATTAACCGTTTGGATGATAATCAATTTACATCGAATGGTGGATCAACAGCAACTGATCGACAATTTATTCGAAATTTTATCATCAATAAAGAAACGAATGGACCAAAAGTGATTGCCATTCGTCAACCGAAAGCACCGGATGGTACTAAAGGTTTTACCAACATGATAACATTTACTGGTCAGCATTAGAAACTTTAAAATTTTCAAATGAAAAGTTGAACGAAAATTATTTCAATGTACCTGTGAAGCTATTTGCACGTTCATTTTTTTCGTGTTTTTTTTCATTCATTATCATTATCGCCGATGCAATATATATATTTGAACCCGTCCTTCACACCAATTATATCTGCTGATTGCAACGTTGAAACGAATCCAAAAAAAATAACTGAAAAACAATTATCTCTTTCAAACAAATGTGCCTTCAAATTTTTTTTTATTATTATTCTTCAACGAATTTGGAAACGAATCTCAATATTATTATTAACCACCCGATGATTCTTGCTGAAAACAAATTACCACATTTTTCCCTTTCGAAGATGATAATAATGGATGGCGAAACGTTTTTTTTGTTGTTGTTGAAATTAAATTAAATATATCCAATCAAACGAAAAACAACTGATGATAGAAGCAAACAAGTATATAAAATAATTAATGATTGAAAAAAAAAGATTCTACAACACCAGGTGTGTATTTGTGTTTATAATATGTCTGAATATTTTTTTTTATTCACTTTTATTCCTTTTGATTTCATTATCACTTATCATCACCATCATCATCATCATCATCATCATCATTAATGATTTGATTTATAAATTTTGTTTTATCCATTATATACAGTTTCTGTCTTTAGAGAAAACAACATATAACATACAGACTATACAGAATTTCTTATTTAGTAACAATGATGATGATGATGATAATTATACAATAATAATAATAATAATAATTTACCCGGCTAGTCGGTTTTCTAGTGTTTCTCACCTTTTTGCATTTCGTTTCATTTCATTTTTTTGTTCTTTACAAATCTCTATACATATATAAGTAAAACAACAACAACAACAACAATTTTTTTTTGTCACAATATAAACATGATGATGATGGTGATGAAAGTATAGTGAGAGTTTTACATTCATTACAGACTCATTTTCTTAATAATAATTTTTTTTTTTTTTTTGGAAATCTTTCAAAATATTCACTCAATCAATCAATTTTTCAATCTAATTGAAAAACAATTAGAACGAAAAACAATTAATTAATTAATTAATTAATCATTATGGAAAAACAATCATATTTAGTATTCAGATGTATGAATCTAACAAAAAAAAAAAACATAACGAAAAAAAAATTTTCCAATGACCAATATATTGGTTATTTTTTCATCATCATTATAAATATGTGTATAGTATAGTAGAGTATAGTAGTCTTATTATTTCTTTATCGGCCATTTTCACTTTTTCATTTAATATCGTCGAGCAATTATATTTGATCAATTGTAAATTGATAACACACATACACACACACATATATGAACACAAAACACTGTATACTGTAAAACTTTTTGTTCTCATTTTTTTTTTCTTCTTTTTTTTCGATGTAATTTGATGTGATCACAATTTGTTTCTTCATTCAAAACATTGTTCTTCGTAACAAAACATATTCATTGCTTCACATTTTTTTTGATAATGATTAAGCGATTGAAATTTTAAAATTACGCAAACAACAATTCCATATTGTAAACCAATCACAATATATATATAAAAAAATACAACAATTATAAAAAATTTATATTATCAAAATGAAAAATCTCTTTCATCATTCTTTTCATTGAAAACAAAACAAAACAAAACAAAAAAAAACAAACGAAAAAAAAATTAATTGTTAAAAATTTAACGATAAAAAAAATTGTAAAACCTGATCTATAATCGATTTGGAACAAAAAAAAAACGAAAATTTTTGAAATTATTTCCATAAAAAAAAGAAAATAAAAAAAAAAAAAAAATTTCAATCGAATCAATTTGAATTTCTATTTTCACTTTTTTTTGTGTGTGTGTGTGTGTCGGTTACAATAGGATTTTCGGTGGGATTTGTTTTTATTTTAAATTTTGGTTTTTGGATTTTGGATTTTTTCTCCATCTTTACAAATTTATCACAATTATGAATTCGTAAGTATTCTGTGAGAATTAGACCGAAAAATTGATTATGTTTTAAATTTTGAAATTAGCTATTTAATATCAAAGAACAAGATTACTGTGGCAAAGCCATGTAAATTTTCATTAGTTCGTGATCATCCATTGTCTGTGATGTTGTTAGATTCAGAAACAGATTCATCATTGATCAATAGCCAAAATGGTGATAAAAAATCATTGGGAAAAACAAATTCCATTGAAACAAAATTGGTGACAACCACCTGGAATGGTTTGGATCCATTATCGGCAGCCATTTCTTCCTCTGCTGAAGATGAAAACTCAATCGTTAATGAAGATGAAAGTGTTTTAAAATTTGGCAAAGAAAAAAATGTCTATATTGGAAGTGATTTTAATCATTGGCAATCGTTTCGAACGAAAATTCTCAATAAATTCAATACAGCTGATAAATTAACAATCAGGTCTTCATTTCAATTTGATAAGGGAACGCTGTCAACGCCAAATGTTTCACAAAAAGTTCGTACTCGTTTAGAACAATTAGATGAAATGGAAGAAGGTTCTATTAATGAAATGCATGATCTTAGCCAACAAGAATATATCAAACGTATTGAAGAAATGAATGTTGCCATTAAGAATGCCTGGGAAAGTGACCAACGTGTAAAAGCATTGAAGATTGTCATCCAATGTACGAAACAATTATCATCGATAAATGTCATGCATTTTTATCCAAGTAAATTTGTTCTAATCACTGACATATTGGATAATTTCGGTGAACTTGTATATGATAGAATTGAAAAGAAAATTCATAACCAAATCGAAGATGCTAAAGAAACCTGTCTGAATTGGTTTTACAAGATTTCTAGCATTCGAGAATTGTTACCTCGTTTCTATATTGAATGTTCAGTGTTACAAATCTATAGTTTTTTGATTACACGAGAAAATCAACGCGAAGAATATGAACGAATTCTATTACGTTTGACTCGAATGACACGTGGTATTGGTGATCCATTGGTGTCAATTTATTGTCGAGTATATCTATGTCGTATTGTCATTAAATTATTTCCAGAATCAAAGAAAATTTTCCTACAAAACATCTACGACATTATTGATAATGTTGATCAGGTATCGTTTTTTTTGTAATTATCGATTTCCTTGTCTAAATATTTACATTTTCAGTTGACATGTCATTATGTACGTGATAGTTTGATGGCCCAAAATATTGAATATCCACTTTATTATAGCTTATTTCATCCGGCCATGGATTGGATTTTCAATTGTCTATTCTATAAAGGTTCTAATTATGATAATATTCTAAAATATTTTCGTAACAAAATCGAATTCTTCAAGAATACTAGTTGTTCAGCATTTGTCCTCAGTTCGATGATTATGAGCTTTCCACCAAGTTTCATCGCTCAAAACCTTGCCAATCTGGTCACTTTGATTAAAAACATCTACCACAATAATCAAATCGAAGATCAGCGATCAAAAGGCTGTGATTATCCAAAATATTTGCTTGTCAAAAACATTGGTGAATCATTGGTTCATGAAGATGATTTTATTGAAAAATATTCTGTCGATAAAAATTTACTATTCGTTGATCTTTGGACGTTGTGCCGCAATGTTGAACAACCTAGAAAGGAATTCTTGAGTTGTTTAGAAACTTGGTCAGAAATTATTGCCAAATATAGTTCCGTAGAACACATTAATAAATTATTAGGCGAAATCATACAGAATATAACGGCCAATAATCGTGAACCATATGATAACGTACAACAATTGTTACATATATTACAGAAAATCATCATGAATGGCAGCAAACGAATTGGTTATGAGCAATTTTTCTCGATGAATAATCTGTTACCATTTTTGGATTTATTCAAAAAAGAAGCAATTAAAATTGATGCCTATAAATTGATTGTTTCATCTTATAACAAAAATTGTTCAGTCATCGATGATTCTCGTATGAATGATGCACCAGATCCGGTTATTCTGAATGCAATGACATATCTTTGTAAATTAATTCACGATTCAATCGATTCATTGACATTGGAAGATGAAAAACGTCAAATTTCAACATTAATCATTGGATTTATTCGCCGCGTTTCATATAAACAACAACAGGATCTTGAAGCTCGTTTAAATTTTTATATTGAATCTCGAGCTAATTTTTCGAATCTTGACCCGGTTCTTAGTTTTATCGTTCATCAGGTCAATACTTTAGCTATGGATGCGTATCGTTTTGTAAACGGAAGACATACGAAGAAAACAATTTCATTTGTAAATGCCTGTATGGCTTTTTCTTATATAACCATTCCATCAATGTATGATATCTTTCTTCGTTTACAGCTTTATCTTTCCAGTTCACATGTAGCATTAGTGAATGGATGTCTACCACAAACTGATGCATTCATTAAATTTACCATTACATTGATTCGACAACTTCCACCTTATTCGGAAAGTTTTGATGGCAAACTATATTCAAATGATGAATTTTTACATTCATATTCATCACAACTTTTATCAACATTGATTGTTGTTCCAGATAATCCTGAACTTGGTATATTATATCTTTTTAAAGGTTTATATAATGTACTCAAAGAATTTCGATTCGAATCAAATTCCAATTATAAACTATTAATATGGATGAATATGGCTAAATATTTAGCCACCTGTATACAGGACAATTATCCATATCATGTTGATCGACTAGATTCGAATGATAGTCTCTATGCACAGGATGAAGAATTTATTAAAGAAGTGGAAACATATTTTGATATCATCTTTCAAGAATCATTGGATATGTTTAAAAAATTTCAACATGATTTTGTAAGTTTTTTTACGATTTATTTGAGAAAGAAAGAAAAAAATTTATTCATTCTTTTTTTACATGTATTAGAATGTCAAACAGCAATGTAATATTGCATTGGATTTTATCAATTTGATCATTAATTTTGGTAACATTCAAAAAATGAGTCATGTCATCAATCAGCTTTGGAAGTGGACATGTAAAACATTGGCCAAACATAATTTCCATTGTTTCGATCACAAAATGGTAATTATTACAGATTGTGGAAAGAATTTTTGGATTTTTTTTGTTTGTTTTCATTTATTGTTGTTTTTTTTCGTAGAAATCAATCTACAATTATCTTGGAAAGACAGTCGATATTCAATTGAAAATGAATTAAACTTCTTTCGGTTTTATTTCTGTTCTCTCATCAATTTTTATTCCGTTTCATTACTATCAACATATTTCCATAATCCATAGGTTTTTCCAATGGTATTTTGCCATAATCGAAGTGTACCATCTTCACTACCACTAGCATATAATTCACCATCCGGTGAATATCGTAAACAATGTACGGCACCAAAGTGTCCAGAAAATGAATCTGTGATTTATAATTTATATATAAAATAAATGATTTTGAATAATAAACAAAAAAAAAAGATAAAATCAATTACCAATTTGTTCACAGCGTTCATAATCACATTTGTAGATAAGAAAATCCTGACCACCACAAACGAATACATTTTTATCTGGATGTAATGACGATGTTTCAATCACTGTAGGTGCTTGAAATTTTTTAATCTGAATCATTCTGGACAGATCAAAGAAAATGACATTTTGATCATAACAAATGGATAAGATTGATTTATCATCAGTCACTTCGATTCCATTTGGTTTTTCATCAAATGTCAATTTAAAATATTCTTGATTCGAACGTTTATCCCAAAAACGAACAGTTTTATCATCGGAACAACTGACAAATTTTGTGCCTTCAACATTAGAGAATACTGCTTGTCGTATGTTATCATCATGACCAAAAAAATTTTCTGGATCTTTAACACAGATAATGGATAAATTTTGTTTAGTAATGTAATTCGAATAAATATAGAAAATCTTACCAGAATTAATATTGTTCAAATCGAACAATCGAATGATTTTATCATTACTCGATGTGAGCAATTGATTATCATCTTTGCTAAAATCCACACTTTTGACAATATGTTTATGTGGTAATGAAAAAAGTTCATCACCTTGTGTTGTATTCCAGATTTTGGCCGTAAAATCAGCAGAACCGGTAGCAGCTAATGATGCATCACTATTTAAAACGACTCCCCACACAGCACCTTTATGTCCTTCGAATGTACCAATCCAATCACCTGTATCGCCTTTTCTAAGCATCGGTTGACCATCTAAATTTTCAAATGATAATCAAAAGTTAGATTGTATTTTTAAAAAATGATCACCAACCTTTGGAAGCTGAAATCAAATAGAAACCATTCTCAGTTATTGTGCTAAAATGTAGATATACAATTGGTCTCGTATGGCCATTACAAGTAAGTGGGACTTGTTTCAATGATGAATCATTGTTTGAATTGATGGAAAAAATATCCATTATTAGCCAATAATCGGAAATATTTTAATTAAAAAAAAATTATTATGATTCAATTTAAATCAAAATGATCAATCAATCGAACAATCAAAATTTGTACACACGTTTTTTTGTTTGATATTTTATGAGAAAAATTCACAATGTACGTACAAAAATAATTGAATTTTATTTGAATTTAAAATTATGCAAAAAAATTTTATATTTATAAAAAAATACGAAATATGGCATTATGTTATTTTGTTTATGAAATTTTTTAAAAATGGAAAGACCATAGCAATTGGTATATGAAGATCAATGTGAAATGATAAAAAAATTTTTTTTGTTTGAAGATCCGATATTATTGTCAATAATTGAATATTTTCTTGTACATGAACATTACAATGGCAGCACTACCAAGCCAATAGAATACTGTTTGACTGAATGCCGGAACATAGGTTCCAAGAACAACTTTCTAAAATGAAAAGAAAATAGATAAAAATATTAATCAATTTTTTTAAAAAATTCTTACCCATCCACCATGATTGGCCACCCAACTGCAAACACGATCAAGAATATAGTTTAGAAACCAATTGAATAAACGTTTAAGATTAGCCACACGATTCGTATATGCACGAACAACAACATCTGAACAGAAAAAGAATAAAACAACAATTCTTTCACGAGTAATACCATTGGCGAATAATTCTTCCAAAAATTGTCGAAAATCTTCATAATTAACATGATCAATGTCTACCTGTTGAGCTCTTTCCAAAACACGATTACGTTCAGAACTTCTAGCAAATTCTTCCGATATTGCTTTGAGATCGCGTCCAATTTGTTTCAATGAGAAATTATTAAGCTGAAAATTTCTGTTGAATGTAAAAAAAATTTTAAAAATTGAAAACCATTGTCGGAAAAAAATGGACAAACTATCATACAAAAATTCTAGCTCTGGATTCGTTTCTATTGCCGTTTCATCAACAGCACCACTATGAAGCAATTGTTCACGTGTTAATTCGGAGAATAAACATCTTGTATATTGTTTTATCTCTTCTTCATTATCATCATCGAAATAGGCAACCGTAGGCATCTTGAAACATGGAAATTGAGATCGAATTGAAAAAAAAAATTATAACTTTGTAGCAGAAAAAAAAAATTCAAGGTAAATGATTATAATCGTTATAACGGTTATGTGCGTTTCAAATTATGAATATACCACTATTTAATGGTGTCTATGAATGAAAATGATTGTTTTTTTTGTTGTTTCCTATTTTTTTTTTTCATTCAATGGCTTTGAAAATCAATTGATTTGTATGACTATATTTAAAAATGGAATAATGAATTGTGAAAGATGAGAGATCCAAATTATACATGTACATTAACCACTTAATAAAAACACACACACACACAGACAAACAGTGAGAGAGAATCTTAAAGTTTTTTTTTTTTTTTTGGCTCGACATTTGACCAAAACAAAAACAAACTCGAACAACAACAACAACAACATTATTGAATTCACCCTCCTTATGAAGGCGTGTCATAGTTGCATAGGTCAACGTTTTAGGTTCGTTTTTTTTCATCACAATCAAGGTGATGATGATGATGACTATAGTTCAAATTTCAAGATCAAAATTTTTAAAAGAGAAAAAAATTTTTTTTTTTATTCATTTAAGAAATTTTGGATTATATTATTATCACAGTGTATGTTTATTAATTTTTCTGTATCATAATAAAATATTGATGATTGTTTATATTATGATAATTAATTCTCATTTTTTGTCACCATTGTCGTCGTGGTGGTCGTGGTCGTGATCGTTGTTCCAAAACGTATGGTGGGAAAATAGACTGTATCGATAAAATTAAATTCAACACAACCCTATAGTGGATTTGTAAAAAAAAAAATTTGATTGATTGATTGATTTTTTCTCTCTCACAAGAATTCATCACTTACCTTTTCATTGTGACCAGAAAGAAAAAGTTTTAGTACAATATTATTTGTTTTAGCAACTTTTATATAGGATTGCACCTTTGGAAATTAAAATAGAGAGAAAAAAAATTAATTAACTTTTAATCAATCAATCAATCAATCACAAAATTTATATATTACCTCATCTTGAAATGTCAAATCATTTTGTTGTAATGATTCAAAATGTTTTCTAGCTTGTTCAAATAGCTGACAAGCTTCCGTATATAATAATCTTGTCGATGATTTAGATCTAACAAATGAATCAAAACATTCACTATAATTTAAATATGATTGTAATGTTCCTTCCAATTGTAATAGTGGTGAAAATCGATGTTTATAACGAATCTCTTCACTATTTAAACTTTGTTTTAATGGTTTAATTTTTTCATCAATCATAAATGCCATCATTAATCGATTCATTGCAGCTGCCATTTGATTCATACCCTTATAATATGTGATAAATATTTCATGTATATTAAAACGATTACGTATGATTTTTGATTTATTCTTTTTACGGCTATTCTTGCTATTCACCGTTGTCGAATTATTTGTTGAATCTGATTTTTAAATATGGAAAAAAACAGAATTAGTATTTAATTGATTTAGTGTTTAGACATTGACAACTTACTTAGAAATAATTCATGTTCCATATAATTTTCTAAGGCACGTTTAACAATCAATGAAATATAATCCCAAATATGATCCAATTCAAAATAAATATAACCAAATTCATGTATTGAATATAATTCCAATTCGAATCCAGTCAATAAATATTGTGATATGAAATAAAATTTATAAAACATTATCCACACTTGAAGATGATCACAAAATTTTCTATAAATTAAAATCTGTTCCAATACGGCACATTGTTCACCAATATAGACAACATCTTTGAATATCATTTCTAATTTTCCACGTTGACTTGCACGATTATGGCCATAGATTTGTAGAATTTTTTTAAAAAATCTTGAACAAAAATCAAAAAATGATTCAACATTTTCTTTTGTATCTGTATCCAATGTAATTTTGCCACATAGAATCGGTGGCTTAATAAAACGTTTACATGATTCTTTCACTATTTGAATGAATTCACGTTCACCAAAAACATGATCATCTTGTGGTAGATAAAATAATTGCAACAATGAACGTGATACAACACATGATGGTGTCTGTTGACTATATGTATTGAAAAATTTTAAAACATCTATAAATTTTTCAATTTCTTGTACTTTTAGTAGTTTTCGGATTCGTTGTAATAATTCTCGTAAAAATTGTATAGTTTCTTTGCGACTTTTAATCTTTGTATAACGTGGAAATGATGGTGCCAACAAACGTTGATTGATTAATGGTTCGAAACCAATTATGGTGGGATAATCAGGCTTATTATTATTGATGATGTGATGATGATGATTGTTCAACATTCGTGATTGTTGTGATATTGTTCGGTTGGATACCATAATCAATAGTGGCCAACCAATGAACAAGCAAATCTTCTGAAAGATCAAGATTTTCATTCAATTGTGAAAGAAATTCACCAAGTGATAAAGCATTTTGTTGATATAAATATTTTTTGAATGCATAAAAACAAAGGAAAAAATATTTGGTAAATTTAATCCTTATCAATAGTGCTTCCATTTTTTTTCGTCGATCATGATTAGTGTTAGTAGAACTATTATTTTCGGATTCATTACAGATTTCCGTACGAATTTCATCTTCATTCACTTTGAGCATTGGTAAAATTTTTGAAATATTCACATTACTGGCCAAATCAAATCCATAGTTTTTAGGTTGAAAATCTTCCTCTTCATAAACAGCAGCACGACTGATAAAATTACTGATCATATCCACAATCTTTAACATTGTTATACAAAATGTTTTCAATGTTTTATCACAAATTAGCTGTGGATTATGTAGAAAAACATTGATAAACACTGTTTGTGCTAATGAATGTCCATTCATCCAGGTGACCAAACAACTATATGTATCATCAATAATTCCAATCAATTCTTCAGTAGTGAATGAATCAATTTTGATTAGATTTTCTTTTATCATATCTTCAAATTTGTAATTTTTTTTATTCTTTTGGCCTACCATTCCGGCATCCATTTTTGGATCCATCAATTCTATGGCGGCCATTGCATCGTAAAGGCTAAACATCACATCATGGACTAGTTCACCAAGTTTTAATTCTATTCATTTAATAATTATAACAAGAGAAAAACAAAATAATATGATGATAATGATAATAATAAAGTTATATGATGAAAATTGAAAATTCATACTTTCAGTAGCATTCTTAAAATCTTCGGTTATATCAATCCAATTGTATGTGTTGATTTTTTTTAACGAATCCATTATGCCGTTCTTGTTATACCTGAGATGAATAATCTCTCTTGCATACACACACACACACACACACACACACACAATCACTCCGAACAATATTCTTTTTGAAACTTGAATTATTTCGTAATTATGAATCACACCACATTGAACCGCAAATATTTTTATATGATCCTTATGAAATAAAAATTAGTAAAAAAACCAATCGACAGAATCGGATATAGAATTTTCTTGTTACTGGAAACAATGGAATAAATCAATAAAATAAATATATGAAAATTCTATCAATAAACGTGTTGATGATGATGAAAATGATCATGCCATCAAACAAAATTTATTAATTCGCCCTGATCATCGTGAACAGAATAATGAAACATTGTTTATGAACGGTATATATGATTTTAGAATCGCAACCACTACTTCATTGTGTTGGTGAACTATGTGTAAAAGAGAGCGAGAGTGAGTATAGTAGTAATGGTGAGCCTTTATAAATCGGTTGAGCCATTTTTATTTCGCTCATTGTCTTGATTTGTGTGTTATTTTTTTTTATTGTGTTGAATTAGGGCAACAATCACGCTGTTTATAAATTTCAGATTTGATTACTGAATTTTTTTCCATTTCAATTTAGAAAATTTTCCTTTCATTTTCAATAATTCAATCTATAATCATGTCCGAAAGAATTGATATGTCATTGGATGACATCATTAAACGTGATCGTATTTCAACTGGACGTCGTGGACGTGGTGGTGCCAAAGGTGGACGAGGTGCTCGAGCTTCTGGTATCCCGTGGTGGTGGTGGTGGTCGTAAATCGGGTAATATCCGAAAAATTGGTGCCAAAGCTCGTCAAATGAAAGCTGGTGGAGGTGGCGGTTTGAAACGAACCAAAATGACGATCGTATGAATGAAAAAATTTCAAATTGGGTTATTTATATTACTAAAAATTCTATTGTTTTCTCTCACAATAGGCACGAAAATTGCCAGATAAATGGCAACATGATAAATTTGTTGCAGAAATTAAATCAGCAACATTGATGATATCCAATCTCGATTATGGTGTATCAGGTATCCATTGGATTTAATCGTTTTTTCCTTTATATTATTTTCTTGAAGAAAATGAAAGATATTTTTGCTTAAACATGATCTAATTTTATATATCATCTTCAACCCTAAAGACCAAGATATTCGTGAATTGTTTTCGGAATTTGGCCAACTCAAAAAGGCAGCCGTACATTATGATTCATCTGGACGATCACTTGGAAAAGCTGAAGTTATATTCTTCAAGATAAACGATTCAATTCGTGCCATGAAGAAATACAATGGAGTACCACTCGACGGTAAATTTGCGTTCCTTCTTGATGTTGATATCATTTGATATTGAATATGGATATGAATGAAAAATTGATGATGCGCTGTTATTGTCACTGCAATAATCTGCGAAACATATATGAGTCCAAACTGTTGTCCGGCACAGTTCCCTAACAATTTGGGCATTGAGACCCATATTAATGACCTTTATATGTTAATGGTATCTTTACGAAAGATAATTTTTTTAATTTTCGATTAATTTGACGATGGATCGATTGATGATCCTGATTTGAATATATTTTTACCTGATAATGTTGGCGATGGCGTCTCAACGCGCTGAATTCGCGATTAAGATGATGATAATGATGAATTTACCTTGACAAACTAAACGGACTGCAGCAGCAGTATTGCTACATTCTGTGACTTGTTAAAAAGTCAGCCTTCATCATTCAATCAATTCAGCCACAGAACATATCCATGATGAAACATCCATCCGAATTATTCGTTTAACCAAAGTCCTGTGTATATCTACATCTATCTATATTATTAATATAGGACGCCCAATGCAAATTCAACCAGTGGTAACGACGACGGCCAAAACAAATATCGCATCTCGTATCGGTAATCCCGATGTATTTAAAAAGAATATTGCCTCTGGTGGTGGTAATAATGCTCGTGGAATTGGTCGTGGTGGTCCGGTGCGAACTGTTGGTCGTCGTGGCCGAGGCGGTCGAATTGGACAACGTGCTGGAACCCAACGGTAATTATTTTTATTATTTTTTTTTTTGAAACATTTTCCTAATTTTTTGTTTCATTCATTCATTTTTAATAGTGGACAGAGGAAGGTTCCAACTGCCGCCGAATTGGATGCTGACTTGGATGCTTATGCAAATAAAGTATGTAGTTTTTATTTGAATCCATCATGATAAATAAAAACTAATGGCTACGATTTAATTTGTTTAGGTCTAATCATAATTTTCAAGAATTTTGAATTCAATTTTTCTGTTCATGATATGATTAAATAATCAATCAATGTCATAATTGTCTTTATATAACTAAATGTTCAATGATAAAATCGTAATTCTATCCATCAATTTTCATCTTTAATCACAAATTACATACATACAACTGTTATAACGATAAAAAATTGTACCCATTATTTAAAATATGTCATTTGATTAAATAATTTTGTCTATTTAGTAAAAAAAAATCCATTCATTTACTTTATTCATTAAAATGTTCAATTTTTTTGCATTTCATTACAAATTACAAACTATCTTTTGATCATCAATGTTGCTTGTATAATGATATAACAGAAAATTGATAATAAAAAATCTTTATAAAATTGGCCAAATGTAAATCGATTGTTTAAAATACGATTTTGGCTATTACCATTGTGACTATAATAACTATTATTATTATTATTATTATTCATTAACCAACCAATAACAAAATGTATCGATTCGAATGTGAAAAATAATGTTGTAAAATTGATACTATAATATGAACCGATACAGGAAATCACAAATAATAATAATGTTACATTCATTAGATACATTAATGGCCAAATGAATATCATTGATAGCATTGAATTTTGTTGCCGCTGAAATTGTTGCGATTGCTGTAATGTTTTATAATGTATTGGTGATGATATTAATGATACTTTTCGTGGAAATGATTCGTCCGTGGTGGTAATGTACCACAACTATGTGGTTGACTTTGAAATGAATCGGTTGATGATGATGTGGACTCTGAATGATTCGATGGAGAATTATGCTATAAATAAAATATTATGATTATTAGGATTGAAATTATTTTTGAATAAACACTTATACCTGACGAGATGATGATAAATAATCAGATCGATGAGCATCAAATGTATTTGGTGATGATGAGGGCAAATCTCGTGAAATATTGGAATCACGATTTTTGTTGTTGTTGATGATGATGATGATGATGATGAGGGTTTGTGATTGACTGGATTGGACACCAAAAATACGATTCATTCGATCTTCAGAATTTGTCAGAATTTTTGCACGTCTTAACCTCGCTCGTTTCTCAGCTTGTGACGAGGAATCCATGATTGGTTCAATTCAATTATTAAATCAATCAATGATTTAGATCTGAAAAGCTTTTTTATTTTTAACTTTAATGAAATAAAAATATTAAAAACAAAAACATGAATGCCGTTGGTACACAACTACTGCTTTAGAAATGTTCATTATTTGATCAGCAGAGTATTTAATGCAGTAGTAGTTCATAATAATCGATATAATCGATGTTTAGTGATGAAGGCCGTAATTTGAATTAATTTTTTTTTGTTCATTGTTCGCTTCCTTCTTAGATCATGATTCTAAAAGATTTTCAAGATGTTTAATATACGAAATTGCTAAACGAAGAGTTTCAACTTTAGATAATCGTTTATCACGTTGATCCGGTAACAATGGTAAATGATTACGTAGACGTTCGAATCCATCATTAACATTACGAACTCTGGTTCTTTCACGTTCATTACGGCGTTTAATGAATGTAGTTGAATCAAAATAATTATGATTACCACCACCATATAAATTCGGTAATGGTATTCGACATTTCGGACTAAATGGATCTTCTTTTTCTTCATATTCATCATCATCATAACCATCATTATCGTTGGCATTTCCAATATTATTATTATTATCACATTCCAAATTAATGGTCATCATTGTCATAATATTATTATTATCAGACAGTTGTTGTTGTTGTTGTTGTTGGTATTGATCCATATTCAAAATGTCGATGTCCATCATCATTGACCGAAACGATTCGATTGATTGAATTGAAAGAATGATCTATACATTTTATTTCAATATTTTTTTTTTGTCGTCGTCGATGGTTGATGAACACTATCTTTATTATCATCATCATAATGAACATCATTTTTTGTTCTGTAAAGCAACAACAACAACAACAACAACAACAACAACGACGAAAACAGAAAAAAAGACATGCATCATTAACACCGATACGGATGTTTCCTACTAACAACATTACAATAGCAATGAACGCGTGCAATATATTTGGTTAATCGACAATCGTTTTTTGTAGAATTTTTGTTGAATATGGCACCTGTATTTAAAGCAAACAATTTGATGAAATAGACAACCAGACACATAAAAGAGAAAGAGAGGCCATCTCATCTAGTTATTCAAATCGTATCAAATTCCAATCGGGTAATCCAACACATTCGTTTTTTTTTTTTTTCTTCTAAATAATTAATGAAATGATGATGATGATGATGATGACATTCATTGGAGTAAAGCAAAGAAAAAAATGATCATTAAATTTTTATTTTGAATACAATTTTAACAAGAAAGAAAGAAAGAAGAAGAAAAAATTACAACATTGAATTTAATGTAAAAATTATTAACAATGGATGGATGAATTGAATTGAATCAAACTAATGATTCATTTTTTATCGAATATTGTATGAATGTATCCTGTAATTTTGAATCAATTAAATCGCATGCATTCAATTCTTTGAATGCTAAACGACCAATCGATTGTGCGATTCGTTTCAATGCAGCTATTGATGCTAATAACACTGTGTCGCTATAATTTCGTTCTTTTGGTTCTTTACATAGTTGTATTAAACGTGAAACACCATTTAATTTGTAGATAATTTTTGCCGTACTTTTATGTGTACCCAATCTTGCTAATGCTACGGCAATTTTTTGCTGTATCCTTTCCACCGATAACATTTTTGTTCGTTCCATTCCATCGATTGCGTTCACAGTCAATAATGTTTGTATTAGAAATATTAGGCCACCACTACTTACAACCAGTAATTGATGTTTTTGAGACATATTTGCCAACAATGTTATTATCTGATCTTTTAATAATGGTTGATCACTTGATTCGAATCGTTGTCTTGCTGAATTCAGCACAATGGTTAATGTATCATATTTGATTAAAGAATCAGTGTTCATAAACGATACATTGGCCAGGGCAGCACATGCCATCAAAAATATCTGATCATTAATGGCTGTTTTCAATATATCCGTCAAACCATTTACCAATTCGTTTATCAATGATTTACTATTCAAACTTCCCATCTCATCCATATTGATTATTTTATCCTTATTATTATCAATAAAAACTGTGGTAACTTGAACAAGAAATCCAACGATTTCTCTTTGAACCATTTCTTCAGTTTCATTTAAAATCATTGAAATCAAACATTTATTGCCAATAAATTCACGTAAAATTTGTCGTACAGCATCACGATTAGCCGATAAATAGGTTAGAACACGTAATGCAGCTGCTTTAATCTGATATGATTCACTCAAAGAAACGTTACAATAATTTTGTACAATATCCAGAAGATAATTGATAATTTTTTGATTTTCAATAAACAATCGACACATGTATGGATCCTTTTGGGTTAGTTGCCATAATGCTAATAGTGACCATTTTAAACAAAGACGACTAGTTTTTTTATTCAATGATGATACAAGAATCTGGAAGAAAAATAAATGAATCGAATTATTAAACTGAGATAAAATTAAATTTTCACTATTTAAACTTACCAATGATTCTTTTTTAATAGTCACATCGACCAATTCACCGAAACTTTCTTTCAATTTACGAACATTAGCTTCAATTTGTGCATTATTAACATTTTGTTTCCATAAAAAATTTTTCATAAATCTTATTGTTTGTTCACAAATAACAATTACATCGATGGATAATTGTTTATTGGCCACATAATCACATCCTTTACGTTTACAAATTTCAATTAATGATTGTATTTTTCGAAATGTATCATGAAATTTTTCCTCAAATAACAAAGACCATCACAATAAACGGGTAATGAATCGATCAGTGAATCTAATTCATCAATAATAATGGTGGAATTATGACGTATCTGTTGAATGGAAACCTGTGCATTTCGAATGGATAATGCTTCAAATGATTCTGGTGTTGTGGCCACCGATTTTGCTTGCAATGCACTAAGACTTTCAACTTCAGTTAATGATTGTAATTCATTAAGCCATACTTGTACAGGTGATTCAAAACAAGCCTGAAAAAAATAAACAATCAAACAAATCAATGAAAAATTGAAAAAGAATGGAGAAAAAAAAAAAAAACTTACAAATTCAAAACCAGGACTTGCGCAGATACCGAAACGTTTTTGACTACGATTCGTATTGAAACCGGAAAAATATCGTTGACTCATTGCCATAATGGGTGATAATTTTTCGTAGATGACCATAATTTAATATATATAGTTGAAATTCGAAGGCAAACAAAAAAAGAAAATTCCGTCCGTCTAATTCGAAAGTCAAAATCCAAATGAAAAAATCCAACGGTCATGATGAGATCAACAGATTTTACTACCAGATTCAACAAACTACCAGATCCTAAATTGGTCCAAATATAGCAGCTGTCATTTTTTTTGTGTGTGTGTGTGTTTGTGTCGGGTGGTAATTTTTATTCGACAATGACGCGAGCCAGACACGCGTCAAAACACATTTCGTATCAAACACGCGTTCAATTCAATGGCTCTTTGTTTGAAAGTACTAAATATTAAAAAAATTTATTCCCAAAAGCATCTGCTGCTGTTTGTTTCTCTTTTCGGTTTTCCGTTAAAAGTCCCAGAAAAACAACAATTTTTATATTTTTGTATTGGAAAAGACCACGTGCCTATCGACAAACAACCAATGACCCTCAGAAATTTTGATTCGATTGATTTTGTTCGGTCGTTGGCTGTTATTATAATCGTTAACTGTTGGTTATTCTACACAGTTTGTATGACAGATGTTCATCTGAAAAAAATGCCTAATGAATGAATGAACGAACACAACAACAACGATGAACGAACGATAAAGCCAGCCAACCGCCGTCAATGAAATGTTGTTGAAGCCAACCACCAACCAACCACTATTTTGCCTTCAGTCTAACCATCCGGGTCAAACACAGAGTTTCATACACACACACAAATGGCCCCTTTTTGACCTTCAACCCTAACCCTATACACTTTATGTTGATGAAAATTTTCAAATTTGAATTAGCAAAAAAAAAAAAAATATTCAAGAAGATTCGGAAATGATGAAATTCTATCTTGTTGGAGAAATTTTTTCATCATCATTTAATTAATTGGAAAATTCAATCCCTGTCCAGTGTTTTTTTGTGTGTGTGTGTGACATATAAAAAAAAAAAACATTTAAGAACCTAATTTAAGATCGTTTTTTGATGTTGTCGATGATGATGATACTTTTTTCTTGTTTAATACTTGTTGATTAATTTTTTTTGTTTCTCATATAAATTTTATTTCAATTCGATAGAAAATGATTATTATTAAATCCAAAGAAAACTTTTTTTTTAAAAACTTAAACTTCATCATCATAGATAGAAAAAGATCATCAACAAGAGCCATTAATCTCAGGTGTAAAAAATACTGATCATCATCATCATCATCAAAATCAACATTTGTTGTGCATAAAAAAAAAAGGATATAAAAAGAAGAAGTAAAAAAAACGACCAAGGAGGAGTCTCAGACATATTACCTGATGTTACCATGGTTGATCGAAAAAAAAAATGATGATGATGATGATGATTCGAATGTTTTTTTTTCGTTCACTTCTTCTTCATTCTTTGTCGTTGTTGTTGAACATTTATTTTATTATTTATTTTAGATTCATCTTTTTGAAGTTATTATTCGTATATACCACATTTTTCCGTTTTTTTTTGTTCAAATCATACATATATGAAGGTAAAATAAACGAATGAATATTTTTTTTTTTTTTTCACCGCCGCTGTTGCTGCCGTAACTAACCGCCATCGTCGATTAATTATTATTAATCTTGACACTATGATCATCATCATCATCATCTCATCCGACCATAACGATTATGATGATGATGATGATGGTGATGATGATGAAACAGACAAAACGACACGTTCACTATATATTCACTGATTGGTATATTGTAAAGAAGAAGTATGAGAAGAAGAAAAAGTAGGAGAAGAAATGGTGAATAAATAAATAAATTCAGACATTTTTCAATCCAACCAATTTTTTTGTATATATACGATCAACGAACCAGAGAAAAAAAAAAGAATCAATCTGTTGCTGTGTGTGTGTGTTTGTTTGTTTGTTTGCTGCTGCTGCTGCTGTTGTTGTTTAAAAAATTTCTCATTTTTTCTCTTTCTCGAAAACATTTCATCTTTTCGTTTATCCATCTATTATCTGGATATGTTTCTGTCAATGTTGATGATGACGATATCTAAATTGAATTTTTAATTTTTTTTTAAATGAACAGCTATAATGTTATTAAATAGAAATGAAAGGAGTGAATCGAGAAAAAAAAATAAACACCTGAATACAAATAGCTAATAATCATTGGTGGTCGATTCGAATTTTTTTTTTTCGTTATACGAAATAAATTGAATTGTCCCAGGACACATGACCAAAAAAAAATGAATGATCGCAGTGAGAATAAGAAGCTAAATGTCAACCATTTTCTATTGACCTTGCAAATGATGGTCTCCAAAATATATAAAACCCTTTTGTTGGGCTATTTGACGAATGTGAATGAACACAAAAAAAAATCGTTTCACATATGACCCCCATCCACATTCATGTGTATTGAAAATCAAAATAAAATTGAAATGAAAAGAGAAAAAAAATTTGTTTAGTATAAAATGGTCACCAAACCAATTTTTATTCAACATTCCGATAGGCCAAAAAAATAAAAAATAAAAAATTCAACCAAACGAAAGGTGTTCAATGGTTGTTGTTGTTGTTGAATAACCTTAAACCAAAAACTTGAAAGCCAAACTGAAATGAACCGCGCAGCAAAAGGTATTATGATGATGGCAATAGATCAAAGTCAAAATGAATAAAAAAATCTACCTGCGCGTTTCGAAAACATAATATGCAAAAAAAAAAAAAGACGAATTAAAAATCAAAAGAACGATGGGAAAACCAACTGTGGTGATAGTGAATGAGAAAAAAAACCAGAGAACGAAAAATCATCAACAACGTCGTTAGTAGACGTTTGACGATGATCATCTCAGCTGCAAAAATGAATCGATCTCGCGTTTTTGAATTTGAAAAGAAACTTTTTTTTCCCAATTTTTTTTTCATTCAATATCAAATCAAATTGGTAAGGGAAAATCAATGAATAAAGACGGACTGGCTTTAATTCCCAAACAAAACAAAACAAAACAAAAAAATAAGCGCAAGTGTTAGGTTTTTTCTTTATAACACTGTGTCTGTGTGGTGTTCGGACGATCATGATCATCATACTCTCGTTCTCTCTCTTTCTTGGTCTTACTCTAACCAATGTAAACAGCATTACGAAATTACGAAAATAACCAACAACAACAGCAACAACAACAACAAGATTTGTCCATACAAACGACAAACAAATATATTTTGAGAATAAATCTTCTGTCAGGTGGAAAAAAAAGACGAATATGAACGAAGAAAAATAAAAAAAAAATTTGTTCAGATCAATGAAAAGAATGAAAAGCAAGAGATATAGATGGCTAGAATAGATAGTGATAGTTATAGTAGTATAAATTGAATGAATGAATCGAAAATAACCAAAACCCATATATGCATGTATAATATATACACACACACAGAGCCGAATGGAAAAAAGGTGCTAACTTTTTTTTTGGCAATTGGTCATTTTGATTATTTGAATCGTCGAATGAAGAACTGAACGAACTGAAGACTGATTTTGGTGTTTTTTAGAAAATTTTCATTCATAATAATGATATATGTGTGAATCATTAAAAGAAAATAATGATGAAATTATTATTATTCAAGTTTTGTTGATTGAAATTTTCATTTTTTTTTTTTTTTGAAATTTTTTTTTATTGATCACAATGATGATGATCGAACGTATTAATTTGAAAAATTCTGTGATAATTACATCATCATCAATGTTTTTATTATTGTTTCAATTGTTATTGCTAATTGTTGTTGTTGTTGATTCGACAAACATCGTCATTTCATCATTGATTGAAGATCGTGTTTTTTGGACATCACACATTGATCGTTCTATTGATCCACTGAAAAGCTATGATAATGAAATTGATCAATGGATTGATCGGCTATCTGAATCTCGATTCATTCAAATTGAATATGGTTGTGGTCGGATGCAAAATCGAATGTTAATCACTGATAGTGGTGAAAAAATCTGTGCACGTTATCGTCGTAATAATGAACAAATTTTAGGTGAATATTATTCATTTTTATTGGCACGTATTCTACAAATTTCGAATGTAATACCAACAACTTTGATCACATTCAATGACAATGATGATAATAATCAATCAAAAGTGAATTTTAATCGTTGGAAATCAGTAGCAAAAATTCTACATGATCAAGCACGATGGGAGACAAATAAAACAATTGTATTGACTAAATATTTAGTTGATCTAAAACCAACATTAATTCCATTACAATTTCGTTCAAAACCAAAACGTTTATATCCAGTTCCGGAAGATTTGAATTTAACATCTAATCAACAAATTCATGAACTAGTCCAATGGTCTGATTTGATTATATTGGATTATTTGACTGGTAATACTGATCGTATGATCAACAATATGATCAATGAAAATTGGAATCCACAAATGATGGAGAATCCAGTTCATAATTTATTGCAACAAAATTTCAATGATCATAAACTTGTATTCATTGACAATGAATCTGGCCTATTCCATGGATATCGATTGTTAAAACGATATGAACATCTACATCGATCATTACTCGATGGTCTTTGTGTGTTTCGACGTCAAACGATATTGAATTTGAAGAAAATTTCAACAATGAAACCGAATCAATTTGCTAAATTATTACAAAATTATTTTGATCGTTTTGCCATTGAACCGATTAAAAATTCTAACCATTTGATGCCTGTTAAAAATTTCAACATACTTCGACAACGAATACGACAGATATTGAAACAGGTCGATATTTGTCGACAAAAATTTTCTTTATGGTCTCATCATCACTCATTATAATTATATATAATAGTCCAAATTCTTATTGTTATATTGAATCATTATAGTTTGTAAAATAAAAAAAAACATTTTTTAATTGAATTTTGTTTGTTTGTTTGTTTTTATTGTAGAAACAATTATCATAACAATAATTTTAATTTAATTTCATTTAGAAATAACTTCGCAAAACTTTACATTGTTGATTCATTTCATCGTTGGTCAATAAACGTAGATTGAATGGATTATCCAATTCATCATGTTGTTCAAGTTGTTGATAAATTTTATCAATATTGCCACCGAAATCAGTTTTTTTCCTTGGAAGTATATGTACGTGCAAATGTTCAATCGATTGTCCGGCATCTTTTCCATCCTGAATGGCTATCGTTGATGCTTCTGCCTGATAAATGGTTTCGATTGCTTTCTGTACTTTCTGTACCAATTGAAACAAATCGAATATTTCATCATTGTTAAGTTCGGATAATCGTTTTGTGACTGGTCGTAATGGTGATACAAGAACATGTCCCGGTAACACTGGCCGATGATTGATGAAACCAACCGAATAAAATGTCTTGGCAAATATCTGATGTGTTTTGACGATTGCATTTTCACCAAATTTAAAATCTTCATCATCTAGACTGTGTTGCTTTGAATTTGTTGTCAAATCAATTGGTTCAGCATAAGCCGGACGAATATAGCCATATAGTTCGGGTTTTCTATCAGTCCAAACGGGTAATCGTTGACGAACTTCTTTCAGATAATCGAAATCGATTTCAGCTAGAGCATAACCTGGTTTTTCATCGTTAATTTCGGCCAAAATCTTACCCCAAGGATCGACGATCATGGCATGGCCATACGATTTTCGTTTTTCATTATGGGCTCCAACTTGAGCCGCAGCAACAACATAACATTGAGTTTCAATTGCACGAGATCTGAGCAATATTTCCCAATGTGCCTTACCAGTTGGTATTGTAAACGAAGATGGATAGCTAAGAATATCGGCTCCAGCTTTAGCCAAAGAAATGGCAAATTCGGGAAAACGGACATCGTAACAGATACCCATACCAAGTCGACCACAAGGTGTTACCGGTGGTTTTATAACTTCAGTTCCTGGTCGAGAAAATTCCGATTCAACAAGTCTAGTGCCTGGAATATCCAAATTGAATAGATGAACTTTTCGATATATCGAAACAATTTGACCATCTTTATTAAGAATGATATGAGCATTGAACAAACGTTTGTCTTCGGATTCTGGACCTTTTTCGTGTAGACCTCCTAATGATAACCACATATTTAAATTTTTGGCCAATTCCTGATATCGTTGCACAGTCGGTCCATTAATCGGTTCACCATTTTCCATTGTAAGTTTTTTACTTGGACAAATCATATCGAAACATTCAGGTAGAAAAGCCATCCGTGCACCTTCATCTTTAGCGGATTTGATTAATTTTTCTGCAATCTGAAAATTATCATCCTTATTCTGTTTTGATGTCAATTGGATGACAGCAATTTTGGTTTTGTTGGCGGTTTCCATACTGAAATGATTTCTGATTATCGATACAGATGATAATCGAAGAATTTTTTGATTGAATCTAGATGATAATTGACTAAGACAACCACCAAGAATTACAAACATAATTTATGACAACACCAATAATCATAGAATGATGATCAATATAATACATAGAAAAAAAGAACGTTCTACAATATAATATTTATTTATCATAACGATATCATCATAATTTATCGTGAAAAATTTTTTTGTTCCTTGTATCAAGAAAAAGAACAAATTTTTTTCCAAATGAATAGAAAAATATTGTTTACAATTTTTTTCCATTCAGTCATGGAATCTATGAACAGTTTGATTAATTAATTGATTAATTTTATTATTTCATTTAATAATAAAATTTGATAATCGATTCGATGATCAATACAAGATAATATGAATGAATAAGTGGATATTTTTTTCAAAAAAAAAAAAAAATTAAAATTAAAATGAAAATTTAATGTCGAAAATATAATGATGATAAAATACAAACAATGGTGTATAATGTGAATATATGAAACTTGATTGATAATTGTATGTGTGTGTTTTCATTGATTAAAATTGTTATATATGGATAATTCAAACAAAGAAAGGAATAAATATTTTTTTGAGAACAAAAAGACTGCGACCAAAAAAAAAAAAAAAAAACAAATGTCATGTATGTGTGTTTGTGTTTGTGTGATAGAATATAATGAAATTAATGATGAAAAAAAAACTGAATAGATGAATCTTCAAAACATTCTAATCGACTATACTATTACGGTATGAATTTTGCATGGATGCAAAACATTCTTCATCGAATAATTGTCCTGCTTTTTTCAAGTCTACTTGATATTTTTTGCTGATTGCTTTGATTATAGCCTATTTTGAGATTTAAAAAGAAACGGAATGATTATTAATCAAAAAAAAAAAAAAAAAAAGAATTTAAGAAAAATAATACATTACCTCAGGTATCCAAACAGAATAAATATATCGTCCAATCATTTCATCAGATTTATCTTGTTTATTTTTGTTTAAACAATCTTCATATAATTTTGATAGATGAATAAATAGTTCATATTGTTGATCTTCATCTTTTATAGGTCCAAAATGATGTTGTCCCTCTTCACCAGTAACATTGGTTTCAATTTGTTCATGTTGTTGTTTTTCGAAAAATTTTTTATGTCGACTATTCTGTACCTTACCTTGATGGATCGATCGTAAAAATGAATCAACTGAGCCATCTTTGATAAATTGATATATAAGGGTACCATCAATCGAAATCGATGTATTCTTATTGATACCACTACTTGTTTGTGAAGTTTCATTAGGTTTAGCCATTGAATTTATCATCGTATTTGATTCAAAGAAAAATTCCATCGGATTTATCTCATCTTCCAATGCTCGTTTTCGAAGATATTGTTCAACTTTTTGTACGGTACGAGATTCGTTTGGATGATTTTTAAGAAATTTATTCACCACTGAACGATCATGCGATACAACCGATTTGGTTGTCATTTTAAAACTGTGAATCAATTCCAAAAATAACAGACATTAGAATGACCATTAATAATGTAATATTAATATCACAAACCTAGTATTTTTTCCACTATAATCTATAGCTCTTAATACCAATTTTCGATCATTCATCGATATATCGATAATTAATGCTGGCCATAAACCGGATCTTCTTTTCACTTCTACCCAAACAATATCTTTGATGGAAAAGCCGTCAAGTTTTTTCACTTCTTCATCTTCCTCATCCTCTTCATCTTCTTCTTCTTCTTCTTCTTCAACATTTTCCTCTTCCTGTTCGGTTTCACCATTGTTGACATTTTTTACATCATCTGATTGGTCATGATTCATAGAAGTATGATCATTTTCATCGATTGGATCAATTCCATTGTGGTCATTATTTTCAATTTTTTCTTCTAATTTATTCTTTTCATTAATATCATCAATTTCAGGTGCTTTACGTTTTCTCAATAATCTACCACTACCACCATTTTGACTTGATGATGATGCAGATGGTTTGATTGATTCCTCGTTGTTATTTTTTATTGTTGATGTAGAATTTTGAACAGTTTTAGATGGCGATAAAATAGAATGTTTCGGATGTGATCGAAAATTTGCACACCAATTCTTATGTGATTGAAATGCAGCGACAATTTGTGTTTTATAATCACAAATATCGCAAGCCAATGCATTTGAAAGTGGTTCATCACGACATTCCGGTTGCATTCGAATAGATATTTTCAAATGTTTTTCTCCAATTTGATAATCACAATAATCTTGGCTTGAACGACGATCTTTTCGTTTAAAATTGACAACATTTTTCGGAACCTCGGTGATCGGAGCACGTGGAGTAGTGGGTATAGATTTTGTTGATTTATTGTCTTGAATCGATTTTTGAGTGTCATCAATGGGGGGAACATCAACATCTTTAGAAAGATTATTAACCGGTGATGGTAGATTACGATAAGAGACCCTTTTCTTTGGTTGTTGTAATGGCGTTGATGATGATTGATCCTGTTGTTGTTTTTGTTTTTGATTTGTCGATCGTAAATCATTGTGTGGTCTCATAGATCTGGTTTGTGTTTTCATAGGCTCTTGATTATCATCGTTTGTAACACTATCTTTATTTGCATTTTGTTGAAAATCAATCGATCCGCTTTTTATTGCGGCCTTATTAGTAAAATTGACCGATATTATGCCTTTACCATCATTATTCATTGTAATTTTAACCTTATCCGATATTTTATTATTAATGATATTTTTATTAACAATTTCACCGCCAATTTTGCTTGATGTTTGAATTTGATTCAATTTAGCTGTTGATGGTAGTGTTGGAAGCTCTTTGGTTTTTATTGTCCGTGGATACCACATTTTTGACGATCCATTATCATCCGGATTATCACTAGAAATCTCGATTGTTGTGGTTAATTTAGTTTCCTCTGTAGTTTTTGTCTGTTCTTTATTTTCCGGTATGTTCAACCAGACAATATTTGATCTGCTATATGTTTTTAAGGATTTAGACAATTGATTCGTCTGATTAAATGTAGTATGTCTCAATAAACTTTCATTTGTCAGCTTTTTTGATTTATTCACTGAAATAGTTGCTTTTTTATTTATTTGAGGTTCCGATTTTAAAATTGTAGCCGTTTTTGTCGGCGATGGAGATAATGCCAACGTATGTGCTGAAATTTTATTATTGTCAATACTTTTGAGATCTTTATCATTGTTTACAATTATTGTTGCTTTCGAAGAAGATTCTGGCATTTTTTCACCTTCTACATTTTCAATTTTGTCTCCGATTAATATTGATTCGGTTGTAGCTTTTGTTGGCGTCAAAATGGATTCATTTTCGATTTTTGTTTCAATATTTTCCTTTACTGTCGTTGATTTTGAAACTTCTTCGACAATTGATTTAACTTCCGGCACTACTACACTTGTAGTAGGAACAACATCTTGTTTTGGGACATTATCAATCGGAAATTGATTTTGATCAATAACAACAATTGCTTCACTGTGGCTATTTGAAGGCAATTCTGTAAAAGTTGGATCAATAGCTACATTTAACGTATTAATCGTTTCTAATTGATGAACATTGTCATTTGCAGCAATCAATAATTCAGCGGTACTGTTCTCAATGGGAACATTTGATCTTTGTACAATTATTTGAGTTTTTTCACCTCTTTCATTTTGAAATGTTGCAATTATTTGTCCATCATCACTTTCCATATATTCACCAGTAAATGTTAATGTTTCACCATAATCCAACATGAGTGCCGGTGGAATCTCTATTGTATTCGAAATGGTTGCAATTTCAGCAGAATCTTTTACCTGAATTGATGTTGGATCTGTAACTGCTGTATCAATAATTATATGTTCATTAGTTTCTGATTCTGGTTGTGATGCCGATGATGGTAATAGATCCATTACAATTGATTCAGTATCATTTATCGAATTTGTTGCCACCAATATCGTTGATGTTGATGTGGTTGGCTGTGTTGTTGATTCAAATTCGATTGGAACTTCCATGATGATAATTGATGTTAATTTGTCGCTTGTGATTATTCAATTGATTGGGATAAATTGATTTCATTCATTCAAATCGTTATTTGAAAGAAGAACAATAATTAAAGCGGTAAAATAAAATTTATTAACCAAATGTATATTTCGCTCGTTATATATATGTTCTTTCAATTCAATGAGTGAGTGAGCGCCATATTCGTTTATTTTGTATGTAAATGTGATACATGCAGTGTGTTTATATCTTTTGTGTCACTAATTTTAATAATAGCGGCCCATCATTTTTTTGTTCATACATTGAAAGTTGATCAACAAATTCGTTGTCATGATACACAACTGCCATCTGATGTTATTTTATTTAAATTTATGAGAAAAGAAATTATAAAAAATTCAATCATATCATATCTATTGATCATAGAACACTTATTAAATCATCATCACCATAATCTATCATCATTTAAAGATGTTTTCGTTTTATATGATTATTAAGATGATCTTTACGTCTAAATCTTTCACTACAATTGGTACAATTAAATGGCCATTCATCTGTATGTGTAATTTTATGGCGATTAAATCTCGATTTCAGTTTGAAACATTTTGAACAAATATCACATTTATATGATGATTTTTTATCGTCAGTATGGATACGATTAATTGATACATTATTCGAAATTGTTGTTGAAGAATTAGATTCGCTTATTGGCTCATTTGATGGGTGTTTACGTCTTTTATGTCTGGCAAGATCTGATTTTCTTTGACTTATGTAATCACAATGATCACATTTAAATGAATTTGATGATTTTTTAACCGAATGTGTGACAAGATGTCTTTTAAGATCCGATTTTCGTATCGTTGCGTAATTACATCGAGAACATTTGTAAGGTTTTAAATTTGAATGTGTGCGATGATGTTGTTTAAGTTCTGATTTTAATTTAAATCTATTGCCACAAATTCCACAAACATATGCTCGACCCGGAACATGTGTTCTTAAATGTCGATTAAGAGTGTATTTTGTAGGGAATTCGAATGGACATTTTGGACAAAGAAATTTCTGATCATCCGTCATTTGTAAATCATCATCGTTATTGATCGCACTATCCTCAGACTTGATAGATACATTATTCATTGTAGTAGATGTTTGTCGATCTTGACAATACGGTGATGAATGTTGCTGTTGATAGTTATTGAAATCATTTTTCAACGATTCTATTTTTTCTGAACAATTGTTCAATTTAGATTCTATTTGTTCCAACTTGGACAAGATCATTTGAATATTACTAATCATAGTATCTGTTGTCTAGATGAATCGAATGAAAAATCATGTATTACAATAATCAACAAATGTTTGCTAACCAAATTACCTGTGTGGAACATTCCATTGTTATCGATTGATTTGTATTTGAAACAGTTTTATTTATTCGCTGATATTCGTGATCAATACGTTCATTGTATCCATAATGATTCGATAATAATGAATTATCAACTTCTATAAAACGATTTTCAATATGATTAAATTCAGAAAGAATTGCTTGACAACGATCATTATGTGAATATCCATTGTTAGACATTGTTGGTTATAGCTAATTTGTTGGTATTTAACACAAGTTTTTGACATTTATAATCAGCAATAAAAAGAAATCTAATTAAACATTTTTTTTCAATCTGATTCTACAGTATATATATAGAAGCTTTTCATTCTATATTATAAATTCATACATTGAAAGTTGAACAATTTATTTGTTGCCATGCTACACCACTGCCATCTGATGTCATTTTATTCACATATATTTTAAAAAGAAATTAAATTTTTTTTTTCATTTTAATAATTATCAAAATTCAATTGGAATTAAATCATTAGATAATTTATCCTGAATCTGATTGAATATACGTAAGAAATGTTCATTGTTTCGTTGTTGTTGTTGTTGTGTTGGATCAATAATGTTCACCATATTGGCTAGATCTTTATTCATTTGAAATATTTCATATATGCTTGTTAGAAATAATTCTTCCCAATCGATATTAAAATTTGATAATTGATGAATTGTAATTAATTTCATGAATTTTTCACACATATCCGATGAATGTGATTTTTTACTTTTTTCCAATATTAATCGCCAAATATTTAGAATGGTCCAAACATGATAATTACAAATGTTCATTAATTTTTCAAAATGCATAATTTTGTCAATATTTTTGGTTATCTGTAAACAAAACAAGAGAAAAACATGAGTATCCAAAAAATGAATGAAAAAAAATTTCATTTATGAATAACTTACTCGTTTTTGAATTAATGTTAATAATTTGGATAAATTATTCAATGATGCTGGTGTTTTATCTTTCGATTTGACTAGTATACGTTTCTGTAATACACGATGATGTTGTGAAAATTTAGCCACTTCATCTTTGAATTTTTTCAATTGAATTTTTCTTTCCATACGATGACGTATGGCCATACGAAGATGATCGATAAGATTAAAATTCAATTGAATTGATTCAATTTTAATGGTTGTTGATTTGTTTTGTGTCCATTTATTTGTGATTCGTCGTAATAATTGTTGAAACGATACGTATAGGCCACTTAGATCATTACTTTCAACAATAAACAGAATATTTTCCATTGATTGCAATTTGATTGTCGATTGAATTTGTTCATAATTATGAAAACAAAATGAAAAACTATTTGAATTAAAATAATTGGTTTGATTATCGAATAAATCATCGAATAGATTTGCTAATAATTGTGATGATTTTATATCCAATGATTGTTTTGATATGGTTAATTTTATCGAATATTTTTGTCTACCATTCGATGCTGATGTTGATGATGATGATATTAATTTGACCAAACAATCGAATGGAATATGTAAATTTTTCGTAATGATTCGTGAAACATTATCAATTGAATAAATGATTGCATATTTGATTTTCGTTGATAATGGTAATAGATTTATTTTGAATTTTATTTCAACATTAAATCGTTGTTTATCATCCAGATTATCAATGATCATTTCATTTGGTATGATATCATAAAAATCATTTTGATGTGGCATTAATTTCACTTTAGAAATCGTTGTCAATGGAATCATTTCAATAATCATGGTCAAATTGTCCACATGATTTTTATGACATTCAATTAGATTCAAATTAATTGCATTGGCTAGTCGATTATCTCGTTCAGCTGGATTATTGTTTGTCTGTTCAAAATTGATAATTTTTTTCAATTCTCTTAATTCTTCTTCGATTTTTTCATTATTCTGTGAATCAGCTAGTGATGGTAATGCTATTATACGTAACGATGGATTCGTTCCAAGATATCCAACAGTCAATTGTCCTTGATCCGATAGTAACACAATGCTTCCGGCAATATCATTTAGATTAGCACGTCGAATAGCGACAGGAATGAATGGAATTTTTGTTGCCCATCGTAGAATATCATTCTGATAGACCAACATGTTGCTCATCTGTGTTCCAATCAATGTGATTATTGAATCTTTTTGATCATTTGCAAATGCACAAAGACAACTTGGATTGGCATCAAATTTTTTCACAAAAAATAATGTTCCATTATCACGAAGAATGCAAAGATTTTTTTCACCCAATATAACGACATACCATTTGTCTAATTTTACTGTTTGTATATCAATGATTGGTTCACCAAATGCATATGACCAATCGGAAACGGAAACTTTTCTTCCATCTTCATTTTGTACATTTGTCGTTGAATTCATTGCCAATTCTTGATATTGATAACATTGAATTGCATATAATTCATCAACAAGAACAATGAGATCACGATTAGGAATATAGGTGAATTCCATTGGAAATCTAATCGATCCGGTACGATTCCAATGATAACCGAATGAAAATGTTTCATTTTCATAGAATTCAAACATGGATTCCATATTTTGTACGCAAATAATATCATTTCCTTTTATTTCAGAATTTTAATGAATGAATGAATTTTTTTTTTTGCTAAAAATAATTTTCTCACCTTTAGTTTGTCCTAATGGTCCTATTAACATATTGGTCGCTTTATGATTGAATTTAAGTTCATAGATCAAAAGAATATTGTAAGATGTTCCATGATCGGTCACACCGGTTGTAGCTAATAATGGAAAAAAAAGAACCAACACTGGTTGTTTTAATTAAATTGAAACACAGAAAACAAAAACTTACAAGAAATTGAATAAACACATAATTTGTTTGGATGTAAAATGGCCAACTGTACATTGGCTGAATTTAATAAATAACCGGATGCAATCTGTAATATTGGATTTTTAAAATCAACTTCCAACAATAGATCAGATATTTGGAAAAGATTTTGTTCATTTTTAATTGCATCATTATTCAATATGATTTTAAATACACGAAGAATTCCATTAAAACTTCCAATGATTATTTTATCTACATGAATGAACAATGACAATAAATTGAAATGAATCTCATTCCACAACCACACTTACCAAATCCATCTGGTTCATTATCAATGTTTGATACACAAATTGAACATTTATCAAATTCTTCATCATTACCAAGATTTGTTGTCCAAAATTCTCGTAAATGAAATAAAGTCATAATATTTCTTCGAATGTCAGACCTAAAATGATGAAATCATACAAATGTGCTCACCAAACATATCGAATTCTTATGACTTGATGACGTATCCCATAGTGACGGTCGTCAATTTTTCAATTTGAAAAAAAATAAACAAAACATTCCATAATCAATCATAGAATTTTTTCTAATGAACAGATCATAATTTTATTCATGTAGAATTTATATAATAAGAACAAAAAAAAAAAAAAATGCAACATTTTTTCAGTGTTTCATTCTCCACAAATCAGTGTTTAAAACGTTCCATGTTTTTTTTTTAAATATCCGATTATATGAATTGATTGGTGTGTTTGTGTGAATTATAAAAAGGCACTCGACACACAAGCTACAGATAATGTGATTCCAAATAAAATTCATACAATTTACATAGAGAGAGAGACAGTCCTGTTTTTTTTTGTTATTCATAGGTACAAAGATTTTTTTTCATTCTTCAAATAATTTACATGAATTTAAAAATCAAAATTTTCCCATAATATGATCGGGCATGTGTGTATGTGTGTGTAAGCAAACACAACAAACACATTGAACATTTGAACAAGCGAACAAAACAAACAAACACCGACAATCTGATATATAAAAATCTATATATCAATAATCATTAGCCCATTCATTTTCTGATAGAAAATTATCAATTACTTCTTTCATGGCAAGATTTGGTATCAATTGATTAGCTGTTAATGGTGTACGAGTAACTGGATCAAAATGGCCAACACGTTGTAAATGTTCATCAATATCTTTACGATCATATGTTATACCACTGGGTGTAATAACTGGATCTTGCATTATTTCAAAACTTATTTTACCACATAGATAATCTGGTACTTCACGTTTCTAGAATAAAAGAATTTGACAGAATAATAAATGTTAGAGGAATGAAAAAAAAATCACATTCAATAAAGAATAATCAGTTGTTTGTTGTTACCTTTCGTCGTTCATCGACCATTGTGAACAATTCATTTGTAGCAACAATACGTTCTTCGAATGATGTATGAATCATTTGTTCTAATTGTTTGATTATTTGTTCATCTTTGACAACTTCATCGATAATATCTTGTTTAAGTTTTGCCATTTGTTGTTCTTTATCTTTGTGAATTAGATCACAAAGATAACTTTGAAGCTCAATTTCGGCTCGAATTCTTTTCTCTTCCATTACATTCCAACGTTTCTTTTTTGCCAATCGTATTTGATATGCAATTTCATCACCATAATTTCTTTTATTCTCTTTTGATAATTCTAATGCTGTGAAGAAAAAAAAATCGTTTCAATTATATTGTAATATTCAATTAACATTTTGATTATGATTACCTTTCTGTAGATGGGCAATCGATTCATCATAATGTCCCAATTCTAATAATGCTAAACCAAGAAAGAAATGACCTTTAATCGAATTTGGATCGAGATCAAGTGAACGGCGACTATCGTCACATGATGAATCCCAATTTTTTAATTTTAAATGACACAATGCACGATTTGTATAGAATGTGGGCGTTGTTGGGCTACGTTTCTGAATAATGAATGATTTTTTCAATTAGGAAAAATTGATGATCAATAATTTTTGATAAATAAAAAAACTTACAATAGCTTGGCTATAAAGATTGATAGCATCTTCATATTTATGTAATGAAAAATATTTATTCCCTTCATCTTTTAATTCAAATGCTGACATCATTTCATTACGTTTCATATCGTTTGTTTCTATACGATCATTAGATTTTAATTCTTTTTTCTGTTTTTTAAATTTTTTCCGAAACAAAAATGATGACTTTGGGCTATTCGATTGATTATGCCCAAAGTTTGTGCTTAGATTCCTTATACGATACAGTTTTTATTGTTGGTTGGTTGGTTGGTTGGTTGGCTGTCAATCGATGATTTTTGGATTGAAAAAGAGATAAATTTTTATAAATACTAAAAAAATAGTTACAAAAAATGAGCAAAAAAATGTTTATTTTTAATTTTGATTGATTGAATATTAACACACACACACACACACACAGATACACACAGACATACAATGAATGAAGGCCAAATGATAATAGATTGACCCAATCAATCAATATCAATCGATACGGATGGAACAAATTTTCGGTTCAAATGTCAATTGTTTCTTATTGTTTATCTAATCTTTATGATTATGATGATTTTTTTTTTGGTAATCAATTGCAGTGTTCGATTATGATGGTGATGATGATGATGATGATGAGTATTTTCATTATGACAAACAAACATTATATAAAAAATTATCTGATAATTGATATTTTCAGATTATTCTAAAAAAATAAAATTTTTCAAAATCTAAAAAATAGAGCATTTGGCAGAATCACCTCACACAAAAAAAACAATCAAAAATAAAACACAGAAACAGTCTGATTTTTTTTGTGGCAATTTTTTTTTGTTGTTGTTGTTGTTGTTGTTAGCGAAGCTCAAAATCTTTCGTATAAATTGCTACATCTATTTGTTGTTGTTTTTGTTGTTGTTGTTGTTGTTGTCGTTTTGGTTGAAGCAACGCGTATTGGGATGAAGTCATTCATTTTTTTTCCAGCTATATATCCACATAAGCAGTGATTCTCAACCTTTTTTTGTGGATTATATTCAAAAATTACATTTTTCTTTTATTTGCGTGTGTAAAAAAATAAATAAATAAAGTTTATCTATTAATCTCCTCCAAAATCATTATTGTCTGAGTTTTGTCCATCAATTTTTTGTTGTTGTTGTTGTTGTTGTTGTTATTGCATCAATTCACTATTGTGTAACCGAACAATTGTATAAATATGGAATGTATTCACCAAAAGGCATTCTTGGTTCAAGCTGTTTACCAGATGATAATCCAAATTTTACATATATCCAATTATCATGATTTAAAGTGGTTATTAAACGAATTGTAACCACATCACATAGAACGACAAGAAAATCTACCGGTAATTTTGGATATGGAAGACAAAATTGATAACCTAATCTAATCAATTTGTCATTTTGGACAGCATCATTATCGCCACCAATTACAGCATAATCATTGAAACCTAATTGTTTACACTATTTTTTTTGGTGAAAAACAAAAAAAATCGAATCAATTATTCATCCACCACCACCACCAACACAACTTACCGATTGTTTTTCTCTCATACATTGCCGTGTTTGATCGATCATGATCCAATCTTCATTACAAATTTTTGATTTAATTACACTTACAACTAAAGAATTCATTATGGATTTTGTCTTCGTATACGGTAACATTGCCATTGTAATTGAACAATTTTTGATTCCATTTTCACTTTGAATATGATGGATATCATTCAGATGTAAATCTTGGGCCCTTAAGATTGAATGACAAACTGAATTTTTGTTGTTGTTGTTGTTGAAATTAATTACACACACACACTGGAAGGAAAAATAACTGTATCACTTACTTGGTATTTTTTGTTTAATGAAATTAACACGTAACACAAAACCTTGATTTATTTTTACTCGATAATTAATTTGTGCTGCATTATGTCCAGTTATAATGGTTTTTACGACATTTTTTCTACACATATGATGAATACGTTCATTAGCATTTAAGATCTCCATTCGATTGTGGCCAATATCTTTTTTTAAACATTATACCATCGACAACATCAATATATTGACTTTGATCACAGTCCATATCGATTTTAACGAATGATAATTCAATTAATGAATAACGATCAGTCAGAATTGTCATAAGACATTCATTAGAATGGGTTTTTCTCTGTCGATGATAATACAAACCAGGCATGGTGATGAATCCATTTTCACAATCTACGTTAGACATTAATACCGGAAGAATAATTTGTTTAGTTTTCAAGATATTTTTTTTTTTTTTTTGAATATTATTATTTACCATTTATAGTTATACCAACAGCATTAGCATCATAAAATTTTGGTAAATGTGTACAAGAAATTGAATAAGATGAATGATGAATAGATTTATTTAATGGTAAATAATCTTGTATCCATATTGGCCGTACAGTGAATACAACATAATTATGTGATTTTCCACCTGATATCAAATGAATGGCTGAACTACGACAATTATCCACTTTTATTTCGACTATATTATATTAGTGAGGAGGTGGCGGGGGTAAAAATTTGATTTTGTTGTTGTTGTTGTTTTTTTTTTGTTTGCACAATTTTCACATTTACTTACATATTTGATTCGATAAAATATCATTATACCATTGATATTTAGATGGTATTAACTGTGTGGTAAAACCAAATAAATGGCCACCATCAATTTCAGCATAATCTTCAACTTTAATTGACCGTTGTTTTGAATAATTACCAATATCATAATCGATAATTTTCAATAATGTTCCTATAATTTCTGGTTTTTGCCATGATGATTCGACCATATAAATTGAACAAATTTTCGATTGTTTTTCATTATAATTTTGTATTAAATATGTTGGTGTATAAGTTTTGATTGTTTCTTTCAAATGAATAATAGTATTGCAAGCTAAAAGAAAAAACAGGTTAAACGGTTTGTATGAGAAAACAAAAAACTTACGATAAGGATTGAAAATGAATCGTAAATTGAAATAAAATCCTATTTTTTCTTCATTTTTAACATCCGAAGAATGAGCTGGAATTGCATTGTACATATAAAGAATTTGTGCCACATTTTCTGTTGAATGAAATATTTTTTTCTTTCGAGTTAAAAGCATTTCCTGTCCCAATGAATATGCACATGTTGTTTCCATACGATCTTTGAATGATTTTTTCAAATGTTCATTTATCGGTATATAGTCTTGATTATATTGCCAACCATCAAAAAAATCAATATGTGTATCACTTTGGCCATAATGGTGGCAATATTTTTTAAAATTTACATGTATCATTTGAAATTCAATTTTATAATGTGGTGGTGCCAATAGATAGATAGCGCATTCATGTTTTGCAATTTCTCTAGTAATTTCCATGAAATAAAAACCTTCTTCGGCAAGTAAATAATTACAATATTCGATGTTTGTTTCACCATTATTCATCACTACCGAAGTGGTTGTGTCCAACAAATCGATCAATTTTGTAGGAATTTCCGGAAAAATCGGTGCATGTGTTAAACAGATTAATCTTGATGGTTCTGAATAAAGTTTATGGAATACATCCCATTTTTTTAGTGTTTGAAATTCAAATTTAATATGTTGATTTTTATGTCCATTTATGACCATACGTACGACAATGTTTGGACATATTATTGGAAATTGATGATTGACTAAATGAATTTGAAAAAGAAAATGTTGTTATGAATGATGAAAACAAAAAATTGCAACAACGAAAAAAAACAAAACAAATTTACAATGATTTTCATTGCAAACATCATGATAGACTTGCAATTCATCCAATGGTGTTGATTGTTCACCCAGGTATCCACCGATTTCTACATAACTATTTTGTCCATCTTTATTGCACTGGATAAAAATAAAAATATCAAATTCAATGAATTATAAAATGACAAATTGTATACACCACATACACGACCTGGCCATTTAGATGCCGGCATTTTATTGCCACCAACTTCGATTGAATTTATTTTCATCATCATACCATCAAATCTTGGTGTCCATGATGGTGGTTGCAGAATATATAATGATGAAACAATATGATCATTTAAATCATTTGTTAATTGAAATTCTTGTTTAATATTTGGTTTGGCCAATGCAAAATTAATCGGAGCTTTTTGATGATGATGATGAAAAAAGGAGATAAAATTTCAAGCAATCAAACCAAATTTCTTTCATCTAAAATATTCAGATTTTATCAGAAAACAAACTTACCAAATGATCTATTTCTAAAATGAACACTAAATGAAAAACCAGTATTTACCCTTTTAATTCGATAATAAAACATTGCTGCATTCTGTGACATTTCATAGGAAATTTTTTTTATCGATTGTCCTTTCACACAGATTTGTTTATTTGGATTCCATTTGGTTTTTTTACGATCACGTTGTACAGGAAAATATTGGTCATACCAAAACCAGCCATCAAATAAATTTACATATTCATCATCATTATCACATTTGACTGTACCATGTAAATAATTTATCATAACAAATGTTTGAGCTTTTTCAGCCAATATATAGATACGACATTCTCTGTCCACTAATTCTTCACCAATTTCTACTGAATATTCTCCAGGTTTAATTATTAATGGATCACAATCTATGGTTGAAAAAGATGAACAACAACAAAAAAAAAAATGAAAATGAAATCATCAATTGAACAGAAAAAACAAATAAATAAATAAATAAAACCATTGGGTCCAATTTTTTCTTTTCCAATATTCCATTCTTGTGGTGATTGGTTACCATCAAATCTTGATGCCGTTATCTTTTGAATATGATTATCGAAAAAATTATTGATTATTATCAATAATAGAATGGATAAAATTGTTGAATGATTACAACAACGATAAATTGACATAGAAAAATTGTTTTGAATCTTGAAATTCTTGTCCAGTAGAACGAAAACGAGTTTTTTAAAAAAAATGATTGAAAAAAGAGAAAAATATAATAAATAAATATCGACTGAATCTGACTAAAATCCAAGTAAAACAGGCCAAATTTCTGTTGTTTCTAAAACTAAAATAATAATTTAATTTTGAAAATTTAAATTTAATTTATTTATTATTATTCTGAAACATTGAGAATTGTTAAAATTGATTATAGTTTATATATTGTCCCATAATAAGATCAATTGAAGTTAGTTTAAAAACAAATAAAACTTGAATACATGCACACAAGATCATCATTAGCCAAGAATAATAATTAACATATATATGTGGAAAAAAAATTAAATAATAACTGATTAGAATAGAAAAAAAAACAAAAGAAAAAAAGGGGTAAAAAAATGAAAATATTTGAACAATAATTCAGTGCTGATAAATTAATCAAAAAAAAAAAAAAAAAAATAATTGCAAATAATTATCTTCGGCAAATATTTATAGACAAATTCTTGAGTGGTTGAATTAAAATAAACATGATCCGTTTTTGTTTTGTTTCGTTATTTATATGTCGATTGATTTGTTGAATTTGAATGATAAAATGTTTCTTTTGTTTTTTTTTATACACAAATTATCTCATCATATATAACAGCACATTTGGATCGTTGAAAATGTAAATTCAAATTTTTTTTTTCTCAATATATTATGCAGCCAAAATGTTGAACAGTTTGAAAATTATTGATTGATTGAAATAAAATAAATTTTTTTTCCACCCCCGTTGATTATGATGAACTAGTAGAATAATCATCGTATAATGATTTGTGATGAATTAATCAGAATGGTCAAAATGATCGAGATGATGATAGTATTTTCATAGTCTTTTCAATGTTCGTTTATGTTTATTTTGTGCTAATTTTGATTGCTGTAGATTACGATTATTTTTCATTTGTTGTTGATCGATCATATTTGGATTGATATTTGTGTTAATATTATTAGCCTGTCGTTTAGCCAATGGCATTAGATCATTTGTATTATTCGAAGATTTTGTTTTATTATTGGATGATGAATCACCACTTGTTGTTGATTCGTTATTATTATTATTTCTATTATAATCATTTTGTAAATTTTTATCACTGTTCTGATTATTATCATCATCATCATTATCATTACAGTTTCGATCATCAAGACAATTTATTAAACGTTTAGCATGAATTTCAGTAATCATTTTTGCTCGTCGATAGTATTCATCATAATCTTCAAGTAATAATTTGGCTGCATCTTCATTCAATGCTGATTCTGGATTCGGTACGATTAACAAACATTTAATGACCAATAATATATGTTTGATGCCCATATTTTCATTCCAATCTTTTTTCAATGTATTCACACATATTTCACCATTTCGAGATACGTTTGGATGAAATATTTTTGTCTGAAAATAACCTTTAGGTGGAGCCGATGGAAACGATTTACCAAGTAAAAGTTTGACACGAAATGCACCATTCTGGTAAGGTGTACCAGCTTGAATGAATGAACAAAAAAATTAGTATAAACAAGAATAAATGTTCTGCCAACAAAATTATTTACCTGGTCCTTCAACGATTGCCTGAATATCGGAAACATCCTCTTCATTCGGTATTACCTTAATACCTTCTGGTGGTGTTTTTATTAATTCGGCTAATTCTTTCGATATTTTTCTCAATACATTCGGTGCAAGATTTTCAACATTTGAAGACTTGATAAAATTAAAAATTTTAATTAAAATCATCGATATATTTGAGATTTAAAATAGCCGATACTTACAGACATGATGATTATCAATTTTAATTTTATTCAAATTAATTTAATTGACAAAAATCCAAAATCATAGACAAATTCGGATAAATCAGAAAGGAAAAAATTTTCAACGGTTTTTTTTTTACTCTCAAACATTGAGAGCGAGAGTGAGCTTCGATGCCACTCGTAAATAATAAGTATATCTGCGTCTATTTCAACCTGTTTGGTGATGACAAATGAATATAATTTTTTAATTTTTAATGATGATGATGATGATGAACACGTAATCCAAAAACAAAAAAAAACAAGATTCAAAGGTCAGATTATCATCCAGATTAATCAACAGATAAATAAAAATTATCCATCAAAACATGGTCATCGAACATAGAAGTAAAAATCATATCAACATTATGAATCTGTTAACGAAATGTGAATGCCGATTTCAACAGATTAAAGATAAATCTGATTGGCGATTAGAGCAGGTAATATAAACATTTGTGACTTATCTTTATTGATTCGAATTGATAATTTTTCTGTCTTTTTCATCGATACTCATCAGTATATAAAATCTATATTCCAAATGCTTGAACAAGAAGAGATTAAGACCGGTAAACTGTAAGTAATTGGTAATATTATAAATTCTTTATTTTTCATTTCGTATATTCAAAATTCAAATTAGAAATGATGAATTGGTAGCAGCGAAAAAGAAGGCACAATTTTTTCAAGGATTACTTGATGCCCATTCCAAAGAGACAATATTGGAACAATATTCAATCATTAATTCATTGCAATCAAATTCGGAAAATAAAACAAAATCAGAAACAAAACGAATACATCTAACTGAAATAGCTAACTGTGATAAACGAATTAAAACTGAACTATTATCATCATCATTATTATCATCGGACAAAACAACCGATGAACAGGAAAATCGAAAACCACAAAATACTAAAAACAAAAATTATGATGATATCGTTAAATATCATGAATTATTACAAGAACAAGTTACAAATGAAATGGTTGTATTGGTTCGTAGTTTAAAACAAAATCTAACCACCAGTAATGAAATTGTTAAAAAAGATACTGAATTATTGGAGAATACTAATCGTTTTACCGAAACAAATGTATCGAATTTACGAAAAAATACGGATAAAATTCGTGAATTTGCCAGCGCTGCTTGTGAATATTGGCTATGGATATCATTAACATTGGTTATATTTGCATTTTTATTTATGGTTATTTTTATACGATTGTTTCCGAAAAAAGCCACCATTATTGTTATAAATAATGTTGCTGGACAATCATCATCGGAAACAATCAATGCCTATTATAATAATGATAATAATCAACCAAGGATAGAATTATGATTGTAAAAAATATGGAAATGTAATATATTTTTGTTTTTTCATTTCAAATAAAAACTCCCAATAAATTTTTTTTTTGTCCATTCGATATATAATCAATCAAATCAAAGTCATATAATGATGATGTATATACGAAGCGCACGCACGTGCATTCAATACAACAACAACAACAACACCAAGCAAAAGATCAAGACATTGTTGAGATCTCTGTGTGTGTGTATTGATTGTGAATTGGCTGGCTGACATTCTTATTTTTATTTTTTGGCCAAGCAAATGGTGATGTGAATTAAGTGTTTTTTTTCTATTTACCTTCAATACTCGCCCCTCTCACCACTCTCATCGTATATATACGATATAGACTTTTTTAAAATATATTACGATGTCGTTGTAGTCGTCGTCGTCATCATTGTTGACATTTTTATTATCATCATACATCATTATCATATGATACATACATCATAATGTCTTCATCAAATACAAACAATGATAACCTTAAATGTCAACAACAACAACGTAGTCTACTTCTCGATCGATTAGATTCATTGATAACGCAGGTATATAACTCATTTATGTCAAATGTTTCTTATCAATATTTGAATAATGTGGATTCCTTTTTATTTTATCCATCCATTCATCCATTTTCTTTAAGTGTCATAATCGTTTTGTTAATCGTTATGAATTAGCCACTGAAAATGATTCATTAGTAACAGATCTTTTATCGATAATTGAAGAAATTTTCACTCATGGATTGTTGACAAAAAGACCAAATAAAATTATTGGACGTGGAAAGTAAGTATAACAATTTTTTTGTTAATGGATTGATTGATTTTAATAATGATAACATATGTTTTCAAATGATAGCAAATTATTGAGCAATATTCTTACCAAGAATGATTCAAACCTGTATTTTTGGAATTATATTAGTTTATTTCTTACCGAACATGAAGTAAAACGATTTTTATCACTTCGTAATATCCATACAGGTAATGATAATTATTTTTTTTATTATTATGTTTGAATAATCATAATGAATAATTTCATGATTAATAGATCTAGGTCGAGGACGTGCATGGATCCGTAATTGTTTAAATGAACATTCGTTGGAAAAATATTTCCTAATGATCGTTGAAGACCATCATGAACATCGACAACAATTTTATGATGATTGGGCCTTATTTTTATCTCAGGATCTACTTAATGGATTGCCTTCATTATTTAAACGTATAAATTCAATTCTCTTTGCCCTAAATATTGATAATGCAGATCTGGATAGGCCATCATTGTCATTGTCATCATCACCAAATAAATTCGAAGATGATACGATAGTCAAATCTTTGGCACCGATTAGAAAAAATGATGAAAATGATCGTTTAGTAAAATCGATGAGAAAAAAGAGCAATTTGATCATAATACATGATAATGATGATGATGATGTTGATGATAAATATGAAGGTCCAGAAACTTCTGTTGCTTGCCTTGCTCGAAGTGCACCAGTCAATTCATTTCTTATACCTTCAAGTATGTCAACAGTAACTCAGGAATCAATGATTGATGAATCGAATTCATCTGAAACTAAACGAAGTTTATCATCATTATCTCTAACTGAATCTGAACCATCAAAATTAGTTCTTTATCCAATATCTGATGATGTCAATATTGTACCATCGTCATCGACGAATCCAATTCTAGATGATAAATATCAAAATGATCATTCCAACGATGGTTATTCTATTTTATGTGAAAAAATTGATGATTTACAAAAAACTCGAGATCGTCTGACAAAAGAGAATAATTTGCTCAATATTCAGATGAAAAAATATATAGCAACAATTGAATTGCTTAAATATAATAAATGTACAATTCAATCACAACCAGAAACATATCAGCAACAACAATCATCATCCCATCATAGTGATTATTTAAATCATACAATCGAAGATTATCAGAAAAAATTGATTCAAGTTTCTGAAATGCATGGTGAAATTGTAGAATTTAATGAACATCTATATAAAGTAATACAGATTAAAGATGCAATCATTGCTAGATTAAGAAATGAATTGATCGAATTACGAGGTCCTGTAAGTTTTTATTTTTTTCTGATTCATTGACTGAATAAAAAAAAATTGATTGTCATTTTCATTGATTTAACACACAGTTACCTGATCAGGATGAAGTAATAAGCATATCAACGGAATTAGAATCGAATACTCATTCATTGCAATCATTACCACAACCATTGATACATGTATGGATACCAACGGCATTTTTATCCGGTGGTTTCAAGGGAAAATCACATCACATCTATCAGATTTATGTACGAATTAAAGATGAAGAATGGAATGTTTATCGACGATATTCACAATTTTATAGCCTTTATAGGTTATTAAAAAATCAATATCCAACAACGGCAAGATTTGAATTTCCACCGAAAAAAGCAATCGGTAATAAAGATTCACGTGTCGTACAGGAACGTCGTAAGAAATTGGAATGCTATCTACGTAATGTAATCAATCATATACAGTTACAGCATATGGATATTAATAATAAAGAAAAATTTACAACCATTTTGCCTTTTCTTAGGTAATGTTTCATTCATTTTTACTTTTAAATTGTATAATTATCATTTTTTTCTCCTTTTAATTAGTGACAAATATTTCCTACAGGATCGATCACAATCAGAATCGAATCTTCATCAGCATCATCAACAACAACAACAGCAGCAGCAGCAACAACAACAATCTAGTACAAGAAATTATCTGGGATTCTAGACGCCATCAATCAATCAATCAATGAAACAGTTCAAATTATTTTATATAAATTTAATTATTATCATTGTTATCTTTTTTTTCGGTGAAAATTTTAACTGCACCATCAATTGAAAATATTTTATTGTCAAAAAAAAGAAAAAAATATTCAATAAATTGAATGAAAACAACAACAAACAAAAATATTTTAATTATTTATAAAGTTTGTCGATTTTATTCTCAATATGTTCGATTTGATCATAATACCCGTAATCCAAGACAGAAAAAAAGAGAGAGAGAAAGTAAAAAAAAATGAGATTCAAGTATTCGATTAGAATATTAAATATGTGAATGATGATGATTGGATGGATTGAAAAAAATTGGATGCCAAGTTCAATAAATTCGATGACAATCAGCTGATTTTTTTTCGAAAGAGAGAGTTCATTTTCATTAACTATTAGGTTTGCTTCTACCACCATTTCGGTCTTATGTATCTGCAGATGTGTGTGTGTGTGATCATGAATATTTCTACAAAAAACTCCTTTTTTTATTTGGCCGAATTTATTGATTTAAATTTTAATATAATTGTGATAAAAATCAATTGACCATCCAATTATCATACATTACTATAACCGTTGCTTTTACCATTTTATTATTATTGATAAAATAAGCAGTCATGTGTATATAAGAGTTGAAAACAATGCCGAATGATGAATCACAGAATCCATTTCAAATGAAGTATATCAATATTTTTGTTATCATAACTGATTTTAGGATGAATATTTGACCATATTTTGGAATTTAAAGGGTACAAGTGTCTAGATTTAAAGGTTTTCATCCAGGTACTTTCTGTTAGCAGTTTAAGCAGTCATGGCCGAGAGGTTAAGGCGATGGACTTGAATCCAAATCAAAAAAAAAACCATCCATTTGGATTTGTTAGACATCCATTTCCCAATGGGAGCGCAAGTTCGAATCTTGCTGGCTGCGTAATACGTAATGAATGGCGCCATATTTTTGGTGCCATTCATTTTTATTCAAAAAAAAAATCTAGATTTTGTATCCATCATGAAGATTCATCATTACAATGATAATAATAATGATGATGATGATTATCAAGTTCAGAAGAAAGAAGAAAAAAATGATAAATCGACCTTTAATCGTGAATTGTTTGAATTTTTCGTTTTGTTTAAAAAATCTGAAGAGAAAAGAAAAGACAACTGGACAAAGGTCATCATTATAATATAACGGATGTTTGTTATTATTTTGTTTTTCTTTTTGTGACAAATAAAAAAAAATAAAGAAAACTTTCGAAACGATTATTATAGTGCGATAAAAAGACATTATTATTATTATGATCATTTCTATTATGTGCGAACAACAACAATGACCTGGTTTTTTTTGTTGTTCTCTGCTGTTTGTATCGTTGTCCGTGTCCATTTGAATTTTATTTTCTTTTTAATTTCTATAAAATTGAAAATTGTGTCGTCGTCGTCGTCTTCGTATCTTTGTCGTTGTGACATATACTGGAATGAAACAAAAACAAAACAAAACGGAAGAACAATAAAAAAAACAACAATAAAAGTCAACAAAGTTTTTTTGGAAATACCCGGCTAAAATCATCATTTTCCAAAATTTTTCCACATCATCTACGTCAACATCGACATCATCATCATCGTCGTCGTCAGATAGTTCGGATGAAAAACGAAAATATGGATTTATTATCATCAACATCATCATCAATAAACAATATGAATGGTGATGATGGCGATAAAATGGCATTGAAAAATGTGACCGAAATTAAAGAATGGATATCATTACGTTTGGAAGAATCTTACGAATTGATGAAAAAATCAACTATTGAAAAGGAAAATATAAATCAATGATTGATTTTCAGCATTTTGATTGGAACCAGTGAACGATAATGGCCAGAAATTAAGTTTTCGGAAGGTGGAGGAAAAATCAACCTTTCAGCCTTGAAAAGTTGTCTAAATTGAACAAAATGGAAATTCGGTGAAAATTAAATTTTTGTTGGAACTTTAGAAATAAATCTTCGTCTTGAGGATGATTCCATCAAATAGTTGAATGAAATTGAAAAAAAATGAAAATAACATCATCACGTTGATGTAATGATTTATAAAAATTTTTAACGTGTTTTCTTCAATTTATTTTTTTTTTATGCTGAGCGGTAGATAAATCACCCAGATTTGAACGACGATATATGACAAATCAAAACAACAACAACAACAACGTCAACAAGGGATGGGGGCTAAATTAACAATTAGAATCAAGGTTATAACATTCAATAAAAACATAATAATCGATATTATTTGAAAAAACAAAATTTTTCCACATCATCTACGTCAACATCGACATCATCATCGTCGTCGTCGTCAGATAGTTCGGATGAGGATATTCTATTATCATCCACGACAACAACAAGACCACTGCATAAAAACCAACAAAAAATGAATAAATATCGATCATCAAAAAATCCTCGCCACAATCGATCAATGACAACAACTACAAAATCCAGTAGTCTTGATCGAAAATTGACTAAAATGAACAAATGGAAAAAATCAACAAATAAAAATAATAATAATCCACGAATTTATGATGATGATGATTATAAAAAACAAAATTATTTCAAAATTAATTCAAATAATAATTATGGCCATGATGATGATGATGTTATTGGCCAAAAGAAGCCTCCCACACCACCATTACATCGTTTACCATTTGCCTTTTCTTAGGTAATGTTTCATTCATTTTTACTTTTAAATCGCATAATTATCATTTTTTTTCTCCTTTTAATTAGTGACAAATATTTCCTACGGGATCGATCACATTCAGAATCGAATCTAGTACAAGAAATTATCTGGGATTCTAGACGCCATCAATCAATTGATCAGTTCAAATTATTTTATATAATAAATTTAATTATTATCATTGTTATCTTTTTTTGAGTGAGTTAACTGCATCATCAATTGAAAATATTTTATTGTCAAAAAAAAAAAGAAAAAGTATCCGAATTATTATATATAGTACAAATTATGATCATTGCAACATATGATATAAATAAATAAAACAAAACGAAAAAAAAGAAATGAATTCGATGATGAAGAATTATTGTGATTATTTGAATCAAATTATTTTCTTCATTTTCATTCAATGATGATGGTCATTTGTCATTTCATTATACCAATTATTTTGTTGAGCTATTTCTTTCGTGACAATTACGAATACTTCCGCATTCTTTTCGGTCAGATTTGTCTGCAAAAAATTGAACAAATTTTCCTCCTTGAAAATAATGATGATAATGATGATCACAAATTATCATCGATCGATAGACCAAATCAATCACAATCAATTTTTTTTCATGTTCAAAGTAAAATAATAATTTGATTAAATTGATGTGTTTGATCATGATTATGGATTGACTTACCTGGCCAATTGTGATTGGTTCTTTCAATTTGGAATCTAAATTATAATATTGTGAGTCAAATTTTCTGACAGCAATCCAATGTCGTCGAGATGATGTGAAAAATGTCAATGCATTTTTCCAAAAATCACAGTCATTTGGAATATTTAGAATGAAACCAAATATAACATTCAGATTCAATTGTTTTGGATCTCTATGTAAAAAAAAAATGTAAACAAACAAACAAAAAAGAATATTATTTCAATTAACAACAATAAATTCATAATAATTACTTTTTCTTATTGAACCATACGGCTTCGTAATTTTTATTCTGTAATGCCATCAATATAACATTGACATCATAATTACCGAAACCGAATGTTGATTTATGCGGATTGAACAATATCAACGATGATGGTGATAATGTTTCGGCAATTGAATCGAGATCATTTTTAGTGAAAGCATTCGAATTTTGAAATAAATTATTCAATGCATGTAATGCACAAAGTTGGCGACTTTGTTTTTCATGATAAATATTGACTTTGTTTGTCATTTTCACATTATTTACAAGCACATTTTTGATATCATCATCATTTTTAACATCATTCGAATCCGGATCGTTCATTTTGTTGGCCGACATTTTCACCTTAATTTAGCCATCAAGATCTGAAAAAAAAAATTTTCTCATGGGTTTTTCTAATTATTCGTACATTTTTGTTAGCTGTATCGGTCAATCTTCAGGACATATTGATTGAATATATAAAATTTAATTAACCAACAATTATGAACATTGAATATTGAGGGGAGGAAATTTTCCAACAACTGTGGGAAAAGTTCCCATCAAGATATTTGAAACTTTTTTTTTTTTTTTTTTTTGAATGACTATCACAAAAAAGGTTCAAATTTATTACATTACAATTACAATATATAATATAATATAATATAATCATGATTGATTAATTTTCTACACTCTTCGTGGTAAAATATGACCTTCAGTATTGAATACATAATTGTTTAACAATTTACGTACAATCTTATGGTCATCCATAAATAATAAATACAGATATTTAAGAGTTTCTGCCAACCAAAAAGATTCCATTAAATCTTTTGGTTTAACATTTTTTGGATGACGGACATCATTTATTGTTGTATAACCACCGGAATTTACACGGGTAAATTTTTCAAATGCATTGAATACTTGCATACCCCAATCACGATATTTTTGATTGCCAGTTATATGATAAAGAAAAAATAACGATTCAACAAATTCTGGACGTAATAAATTATGGGTATCTCTTGGTTGGATATAATATTCATGCTGTTTATCATTGATTCCGAAATATGCGATTTCCGGTGCCAAACCAGTTTCAGTTAGATTATACATATAATGGCACGTACGAGCTAAATCTTCAGCTAATTTTAAATGACTAATAAATGTTTCATTCGCAATACCCGATTTATGAAATGGACGTAAATGTTCATGATAATATCCTAATGCTAATGTACCGGACAGAAAACAAACAAGATGATCCATTTTTGGATGAATTGATTGTGGATCGCTGTTTATAATTTCGCCTATATATAGTAATTTTAGTTCACCTTGAGTTGTGGCCACCAATCGATCTTTAATGGCATCGATCGATCGAATATAATCATCGAGTAAGAATTCGATTTTTGTTTGAACATATTGTTTGTAAAGATATTCGTAATATGAATCAGCACGAGCACCAAGTGTTATGGTGGAAGACATTAGATTTCCCGAAAGAGGATTTATATACATTGGCAGCAAATAATTTTTACGTTTTTGAATTAATTCGTGAATATATTTTGATGTTGCAAATGATTTCTCTTCATATGATTTGTCATTTGTTTCATAAGATAGATCACGAAATTCTAGCTGTACAGTGGATACTTCCGACATTGATGATTCTGGCATATAAACTGGTGATTTAGAGATTTTACTTTTAAGATTGACATCACTAAAAGGAACCGTTTTGCTTGGTGAATCAAAACAATGAATCAAACGATTGCCTAGATCTATGGCTTTCTCGAGTAAAATTTTTTCTTTGCAAATATGATACGCTGACGTTAGTCCAGCTAAATGTGTGAAAAGAAAATCAAAAACAATTTCAAGAAAAAAAATCCATACACTACCTAAGGCACGGATAGTTGTTTCAAAACAATTCACATTTTCATTCACTTCGAATGTAAGTTCATGTTTAATCCAGTTTAGAGCTTGTTGAAATTCTATATTGACGAAAAAAAAATGAAAAACTGCATCAAAAAAAAGTAAACAAAAAAACGAACCATTTTCCAGGCCAGCAATCAGCAAAGTATCGAGCGAATCTAAAATGGTCAAACCGATACCGAACCAATTTTTACCTTTTCTAGTGATCGGTTTCAACATATCTTGGCCCCATGCATATTCATGATAACCTTTCCATGAATGTAATATGGCTTCTTGAATCATTTTTTGTTTCTCATTTTGTTTGAGTGAAGCTTGAAGAAATTCTTCACTGGTTATTGCTTTATCATCACTATTATCGCTTTCATCAAGCAAAATGGGTGGTATTTTTTGTGTCACAATAAATTCTTTGATTGTATTATCATCCAAGTGCGGATTTTGTGGTGGAATTAAATTATGTTCAATGACTTGTGAGGGATGAATACGATCATCATCATTTAACAGTAAATCATTTTCATCACTGGCATTAATTTCAATTAGATTTTTCTTTGATGCAACAAAAAATACATAATAAGAGAATGTGAAAGCAACAAATAGAAAAACTACAATCAAATAGAAACGAAGAAATTTCGGTAATCTATTCCATTTCTGTGATCAAAGAAAAAAAATGGAAAAGAAAATGAATGCTAAAATAATAAAGTTCACGAAATAATGCATACCCTTTTTAATAAAAAAAATGATGATTTAAAATTCGGTGACATCTCATTGAGATCCATAATATAATTGTGAATGATAAAAAATGCTGATGATCATCATTCTATGATGATATCTTTTGATGATGACATTTTTATAAATTGGATTTTTTCCTTTGATATAACAGTTATAATTTTTTTTTTGGGATTGACGATGTGATGCTTTGTGATTCTGTGAACACACACACACACACACAATCATCGAAAAAATCGTATTCACAAATGACGTTTGATATTTTATTTTTTTTAAATAATTTAATTTAATTAATTTGTTTTTTTCAATTAGAAAAAAAATTTCATTAATTAATGTGGCCATAATCATTATCATCAATGACTTGTTGTTGCTGTTGTTGCTTTTTCATTTCAATATAATCAGATATAAGTGTTGTGACTTGAATAATTTTCTGTTCAGATAATTGAAAAAATAATGGATGTCCATGTTTGTTCAACATTTGATTACGGAATGTAACATTATCAGATTTCAATGTTTCCATTGATAATAATTCATTAAGACAATTTTGATCAATAGTTAATGTAAAATAGGATTTAAGATAGCCATAATTGAGAACATTTCTATATGATATCTGTAGAATCGAATGAAACGAATCATGTTCAAGTAGTTCGATAAAATCTTCACCAATTGCAATCCAAATGGCTGAATGATTACGGAAAAATTTATACAGATACAGACTGGCTAGATCATCGTATTTGAGACAATTAAAAATAGTAGACTCAAACAATTGATATCCACACAGATTCCATTTCCGTGTACAATTCAGATAGATTCTCACACAATCCAACAACGATCTATCACATAGTTCGATCCAACGTTGCGTCACGATCTCATTGAAACCATTTTTGTTGTGAAATTTTTCGGGCAAAAAACGAATCACTGCCTGTTTCCAAATTTGTTCGACATTGTTGTTATAATTTCGATAATTACCATACTCAATTTGAATCATTAACGACATCAATTCAATGGCTAAATCATATGTCACTGGGAAACGATTGTTGATGACCTCATTGTTTATTTCATAGATCCATATCAACCGTTCTTTGTCTGTTTCGTTTTTAAAATGTCGTTTCAAACATAGTCGATGTTTGTATGTAAGTTTAATTATTTTTGTTGGCTCAAATTTGCCCAGATTATATTTACGCATTGTTGATTCCCAATTGGAAATTGCATCGGCAAGTTTTTCAGATGGATCCAAAAGATGTTCAACATCTTTTTCAATAGGATCATCACTGTATAATGCAAATCCAGAATAAAGATTATCTCGAATACCGGATTCTAAATTAATTTGTCGAATAAATTCCGAAACAGTTGTTGAACCATCAAATCCAATAACTTGGTAAGAATTATTGGCAAAATGTACCGGTATTGAATGTGGCATCGAATGTTGATAAGGATTACGTTGAATGATTGAAAGTACTTCCATTCGTGATGGTATTTTTCGTCGTGGTCCATTCATCAATACTCGTCCTAATGCTCGTTCACAATAAAGAAAATATTTTCCCAATTCAGTTGATTCGGTTTTAAATCGATTAATATGATGTTTAAGTAGCCAAAGAACTTGATTTTGTGGTAAAAACAATGAAATAGTTGTAGATAGAAATTGTAAACATTGTAAAAATAGTGAAGAATCTTTTTGTGATGAAGGTGATTTAGGTACCGGTTCCGGTGGTGATGTGATATCATCACATTTAAATAATGAATGAGGTGCGCACCAAAATGTACGTGATTGATTGTTGGAAGAATGAGGAAATGTTAATCGATAATCCATCATAATATTCGGTGAACTTTGTTTGATTAATTGATAATAAAGTTCAGCTTGTAATTCTGGATGATCCAGACAAACTTGTAGACAATTTTGTATCAATGTTATATGATAATCAATTGCGTTCGATTCAATTGGTACCGTAATGAATAGATGTATGGATCGAAATAGTTTCAATGATTCACGTTTCAATTCTGCATTGTACAATGAAATCAATGGTTCGATAATGTTGTCATCATTTGAAAATGTTAACAATGAACTATTCCATATTTCGTGTGAATAAAATTCTTCTTTTGAATTACAATTGGATTCAATATTCAATAATGTAATAAGTAGATTTTCGAATGCCGTTTTTGGTACATTATTTTCATCGAATGCTAATTTCAGATGATAATACCATAGACTAAAATCTTGTTTATTCATAAATACAAGATATATTGGTTCATTATTATTATCACCTTTTGGATGAATCGATATTGAATAATGAACATTTTTTTTAATATCATCATAGATAAGAACATTATCTTCAGCATCCGGAACTTGAATCTCTTGTATGTCGCTATCTTTTAGACTAGTATAACCGATTGGAATTTTTTCAAATGGATTATTAAAATAAACAAGATGATGATTATATAATGCTGTCCATGATTTGATTGAATGTCCAAATCGTACTTTGATTAGATAATTTTCAATGATTGGCACTTGATTATCTTGTAATTTTAAAATATTGTTTATAGTCAATGTTTGACCAATAGCACGAAGCCATTCATTGTATGAATCATTCGTTTCGGCAGCCAAATGAATTGTACGTTGGCCATCTTGATAGGACAAATGAAATCGAAGATCTTTTGATCGAATCAATGAACAATTTTGATCCAATACAATTTTGCCTTTTGGCTTTGTCTTTTTCGACTTTTTTGTTGGCGTATTATCTTTATCGTTATCGTTATCGTTATTATTATTATCTAGGCCAGTGTCATTTTTACGTTTAAAATAAAAAAGATTTCCATCTTTCAATATGAACCATCGTTTTTTCCATACTTTGAATTTTCCGGACAGTTTGAATAGATAGCCTGATTTTTCAAGTTTATTGTCATTCAATGCTGTCGATGATGATACAACGCCAAACAAAGCTTGTTGTGATGGTGTTAGATTTGAGGCAATTTTCAATTTTTCAAATGAATCTTCAAGAAAACGATAATGATGATGATGATGATCGACTTCGAATGTTGTTAAGGTTGCTGCCCGTGATGAATATTTTATTTGATCATTAAAATCGTGGTGATTTTTTCGCAATAGTGAATGTTGCTTCGGTTTCGTTGTTGTTGTTGTTGTTGCCGTCGATGATGATGATGATGATGGTGATGATTTCAACAACAATTCATTTGTTGCAGCTGTAACTTTATTAGCCATAGCTGTAATTGTCGCCGTCATTGTTGAATCGGTTTCATTTCCACTTGATGTGGTCACATTACTTGCTATCGAATGATGTTGTTGTTGCTGTAGTCTGTTGATGAATGTTGTTGTTGTTGTTGTCGGTAACAAAAATGGACGACTTTCATTTTCACTTCCGACATTTCTATTAACCATTGCCTGTGACATTATGTTGCTACTGTTGTTGTAGTCCAATGATGATGATGATGATAAAAAATGTGTTTTCGGTTGCTGAAATTGGCTACAATGGTGTTGTTGTCGTTGTTGTTGTTGATTTATGATCGCTTCGCTTGAATCATTTTCATACCATTTGTTTTGAATCTGATGATGATCGTTGATATTGTTATAATTATGATTATCATTATTATTGTTTCTTTTTTCAAAATCATTTCTTTTAAAAAATTGTACATCATGTTGTACTGGTGTTGACAATGTACTTTGTATAATGCCATTATTGGCTATTTCATAGATACGTGATTCCCAAGATGGTAAACGATGTAATGGTGGTGTGGGAGGCTTCTTTTGGCCAATAACATCATCATCATCATGGCCATAATTATTATTCGAATTAATTTTGAAATAATTTTGTTTTTTATAATCATCATCATCATCATCATAAATTCGTGGATTATTATTATTTTTATTTGTTGATTTTTTCCATTTATTCATTTTAGTCAATTTTCGATCAAGACTACTGGATTTTGTAGTTGTTGTCATTGATCGATTGTGGCGAGGATTTTTTGATGATCGATATTTATTCATTTTTTGTTGGTTTTTACGCAGTGGTCTTGTTGTTGTCGTGGATGATAAAAGAATATCCTCATCCGAACTATCTGACGACGATGACGACGATGATGATGATGATGTCGATGTTGACGTAGATGATGTGGAAAAATTTTGTTTTTTCAAATAATATCGATTATTATGTTGTTGGCGTTGTTGTTGTTGTTGTTGTTTATTTGTCATATATCGTCGTCTAGGTGCTTCAGGTGTAAATGATTTTTTCATTACATAACGTTCTTTTAATTTCGATAATTCTGCATTCACTTTTTTATTTTCCTTTTTCAATAGTTGATTTTTTTCCTCCAATTCTTCCAAACGTAATGATATCCATTCTTTAATTTCGGTCACATTTTTCAATGCCATTTTATCGCCATCCTCACCATTCATATTGTTTATTGATGATGATGTTGATGATAATAAATCCATATTTTCGTTTTCAAAAAAAAAAAAAAATTTTCAAAACAATGATGATGATGATGACAAACACAATCGTGAGTCGCGGTGATCCATCCAAATAAACACGCACACAAATAAATTCTATACACATTCCCCATTCTTTGTTTATATATAGAGTAAAATGAAATGAATTTCCGATCCCCTTCACGCACACACACACACACACGCATACACCCGATCCATTATTGGATTCATCCATAAATGATGATTTTAGCCGGGTATTTCCAAAAAAACTTTGTTGACTTTTATTGTTGTTTTTTTTATTGTTCTTCCGTTTTGTTTTGTTTTTGTTTCATTCCAGTATATGTCACAACGACAAAGATACGGAGACGACGACGACGACAATTTTCAATTTTATAGAAATTAAAAAGAAAATAAAATTCAAATGGACACGGACAACGATACAAACAGCAGAACAACAAAAAAACCAGGTCATTGTTGTTGTTCGCACATAATAGAAATGATCATAATAATAATAATGTCTTTTTATCGCACTATAATAATCGTTTCGAAAGTTTTTTTTTTTTTTTTATTTGTCACAATAAGAAAAACAAAATAATAACAAACATCCGTTATATTATAATGTTGACCTTTGTCCAGTTGTCTTTTCTTTTCTCTTCAGATTTTTTAAACAAAACGAAAAATTCAAACAATTCACGATTAAAGGTCGATTTATCATTTGTTTCTTCTTTCTTCTGAACTTGATAATCATCATCATCATCATTATTATCATTGTAATGATGAATATTTTGACCATTTGTTATAGCACCAAAAAAATTTCACCATTCATTACGTATTACGCAGCCAGCAAGATTCGAACTTGCGCTCCCATTGGGAAATGGATGTCTAACAAATCCAAATGAATTTTTTTTTTTGGATTTTTGGGTTTTTGGATTCAAGTCCATCGCCTTAACCTCTCGGCCATGACTGCTTAACATGCTAATAGAAACTACCTGGATGAAAACCTTTAAATCTAGACACTTGTACCCTTTAAATTCCAAAATGTGGTAAAATATTCATCCTAAAATCAGTTATGATAACAAAAATATTGATATACTTCATTTGAAATGGATTCTGTGATTCATCATTCGGCATTGTTTTCAACTCTTATATACACATGGCTGCTTATTTTATCAATAATAATAAAATGGTAAAAGCAACGGCTATAGTAATAGATGATAATTGGATGGTCAATTGATTTTTATCACAATTATATTAAAATTTAAATCAATAAATTCGGCCAAATAAAAAAAGGAGTTTTTGTAGAAATATTCATGATCACACACACACACATCTGCAGATACATAAGACCGAAATGGTGGTAGAAGCAAACCTAATAGTTAATGAAAATGAACTCTCTCTTTCAGAAAAAAAATCAGCTGATTGTCATCAAATTTATTGAACTTGGCATCCAATTTTTTTTCAATCCATCCAATCATCATCATCATCACATATTTAATATTCTAATCGAATACTTGAATCTCATTTTTTTTACTTCTCTCTCTCTCTCTTTTCTGTCTTGGATTACTTGGTTTCGCTCTTCAGACAATTTTTTTTCTTCTCCATTCTAACATTTCATCATTCAATCTCATTTGTCCACCACCAAAATCATCATCATTATCATCATCATCATCATCAAGATCAGACAATTTTTTTCTTCTCCATTCTAACATTTCATCATTCAATCTCATTTGTCCACCACCAAAATCATCATCATTATCATCATCATCATCATCATCAAGATCACAATGGATAATAATGTGTAAGTTGAAAGGTTGCTGCCCTTTTCTTTTCTTCTATATCATTTCTTCACTATAGATTTATGGTTTGCGTTTGCTATATGTGTGTGTGTTACGGATGAAAGATTATTATTTTTTTCTTCTGTTTTTCATATACTTTAGGCTAAACTTGTTGCTGGCAAAATATTCAGAACACATAAATCAGTTGGATTCAAATACATTCCAAAAGTTGTTCAAGCTGGTATTTGAACATTTTCATCATTGTATCACGATCAACATTGGTCGCGGAAATCAACTCGTTAGTGATAATAATCATCATAATCAACAACAACAACAACAACTTGCTTTCACTCATTCGGACCTTACACTTTCTACATTAACTACTGTTGGTGTTAGTGGCGATCATCATCATCATCATCATCATTATAATAATAATGATGATGATGATAATAATAATGATCAACTTGGAAAACTTCTTCAAAATTCTACATTAGCCAATATTGATAACATTAATATTATTGCCAAATCATTATTGAATTTATATTATGAATGTGCTCGATCAAATGCTAAATCTAGAACGGTGAAAAATATTCTTACTGAAGCCGGTTGGTCTGAAGAAAAGCAAACAATTTTCATTGAACATTGGCATCAAAATGCAACGGAAATTTTCGATATTCTCAAAACAAAATCATTCAATTCATCGGCTGAATATTTATTGAAAAATGTTGATCGTAAAATCAAAATTCTAACTGACCATTCAAATACATCGAAACCAAAATTACCATTGGGTGAAATTAATTTCGAATTCAATGATAGCCATAATTTAACATTGAATTTTAATCATTCTGAATTGTTAAATTTTTATGATCAAATCGAACAAATTCAGAATAAAATCGACAAACTTTATAAATAATTAAAATATTTTTGTTTGTTGTTGTTTTCATTCAATTCAATTTATTGGATATTTTTTTTCTTCTTTTTTTTTAATTATTTGATGGCAATGACATTTAAGACATCGCCATCAAGAACCAGTTTTCATTGTGTATGTACCGAACAAAACAAATGTGTTAACCTTTGTGAAAAAAAAGGTTCACCGTACACATTTACACATAATCATCGAATGTATTTATCCGGTCTTTTGACCTTTTGATTAACCCGTTTGTTTTAAATATTCTACTACTCATTTGTTCGTTCGTCTATTCACCTTTTAAATTCTGTTGTTCAACCCGATTGGATTTCAGTGAAAATTTCAATCATTTAAAAACCACTATTCATTCACATATTGATCATTTTCATTTATTCATTTGCATCGGAAGCATTTAGAATCACTGTCATCATCAGTTTTTTTTTCTTCTCATAAACATGAAATCTTTTCGGTTATTATCATTGTCATCATTATCATCATCCTGTTTATCATCATCATTATGGTGTCTATTCTTCCTCATAATTTGTCCATCATTGTCATTATCCATCAATTCATCTGTTATATATGAAGATGATTATGATGGTGGTGAATCTAAACAAAATGAATTGGAAGTTCCACCACGAGGCAATAGTAAGTAATCATTTTGTCATATATTTAATCACACACACACAGACACACACATTGTGGCTTCACAAGCATACATCATCATCATTACTTTATTGTTCGAAAATCAAGTGATAAAAAATTTAAATTGAAAAAAATTATTTCATTTTTTTCTCTTAATTCATTTTCAAATGGTCACGAAATACATCTTATGATGATCGATCGAAAATCATCATATAATAGCTGATGACAATGGATTAAAATTGATTTGTTATTATGGCAGTTGGGCTGTTTATCGACCGGGAAGAGGAAAATTTCCAGTAGAAGAAATTGATCCATTTCTATGCAGGTATCTTATTGAAATTAAAATCATTTATATACACGGATCAAACTATTGATTCTCATTTTTTTTTCTCTCAATCATTAAATTTTCATTTTTTTGTTTTGTTTTGTTTTGTTGACAATTCCCACACACACACACACACACACAGTCACATCATCTATGGCTTTGCTGGTCTAAGCTATGATAATAAAATTCGTCCACTTGATCCATATAATGATTTAAAAGAAAATTGGGGCAAAGGTGCCTTTCTTCGATTTACTGGATTGAAGAAAATTAATAAAAAACTTAAAACAATGATTGCCATTGGCGGTTGGAATGAAGGATCGGTCAAATATTCGAATATGGCATCGAATCCTGAATCACGAAAAACATTTGTCAATTCAGTTATGGATTTTTTGGAACGTTATGATTTTGATGGTCTTGATTTTGATTGGGGTATGATAATGTGAATAAATTTCAAAATAATTTTATAACTAATTTAAATCAATTCGATTCATTCAGAATATCCTGGATCACGTGGTGGTAAACCTGAAGATAAACGTAATTTTGTCATTCTATTACGTGAACTTAAACAAGCATTCGAACCAAAAGGTTATATATTGAGTTCAGCTGTTGCAGCTGGAAAACATTTTATGGATCCTGCATATGATGTTCCTCAAATGTCAAAATATTTGGATATTATCAATGTTATGTGTTATGATTATCATGGTAGTTGGGAAACACGTACCGGACATCATGCACCATTATATGGTCGACCAAATAATCCGGATGATTTTCAATTAAACGTAAATTTCTCCATCAATTATTGGCTTGCCAAAGGTGCACCACGAAACAAAATAGTTCTTGGCATGGGAACCTATGGTAGAGCTTTTACATTGCGAAAAGCCGAAGATCATGATGTTGGATCAACTGCTCCTCAAAAAGGTCAAGCTGGCCCATACACACGTGAAGGTGGTTCTCTGGGTTATAATGAAATTTGTGAAATGAAAATGAAATTAGGTGATCGAATGAAAAGCCAATGGGATCCATATTATATGTCTCCATTTTCATATTGGGATCGTCAATGGGTTGGCTATGATAATATGAAAAGTATTGAAATCAAAGCTAACTATGCAAAAGCGATGGGTCTAGCTGGTGGTATGATATGGTCAATAGAAACCGATGATTTTGGTGGACATTGTGGTCCAAGATATCCGTTATTGAATACAATACGACGAGTGTTCCAAAGTCAAGAACCGCCAAGAATGCCCAAACCAAGTGTTGATCAAGGTCACGATGAATCAACACATCGACCAAGTTCTACATCACCATTTCCTTCGCCATCAACTAGATCACCGCCTCCTCCAACATCACCAAGACCATCATCACCACGGCCATCATCACCACGACCATTTCCACCATCTACAACAACAAGTCGAATGCCAAGTAGTGAAACACCTACAACGACAACAAGATGTATTAGAACTAGTACTACTAGAGCATCCGCATCAAGTCCAATCATAACGACACCCATGATAACGACAACTACAACAACGACAACCAGCCAAAAACCATGGAAGCCATCATCATCGATGACAACAACATCAACAACAGCTCAACCTACAAAAAGGCCTGATGATTCAACAACAGGTTCAACTTGGTGGTCAAGTTCAACACCATGGTGGCCACAGAAACCATCACCAGGTGCATCGGCCAGTTCAGAAATGTGGTGGTCATCAACATTTCCAACGGTAAATAGAAAAATTAGCATTAGTCCACAAAACAGTATTGAAGAAAAAATAACGACAGTAAAAAATCCATTCAATTATCCGGCAAAAGATGATGATGATGAATTTATTTGTGGTGAAGAAGGTTTATATAGACAACCAGATGATTGTACAAAATTTATACGTTGTGTGGAAACCAAAATTGAAGGACAATTTCAATTATTTTTCTATGAATGTCCAGAAAAGACTGTTTTCAATAATGATTCAAAATTATGTGATTGGGTTGAAAATGTTCCCGAATGTATGAAATCGGTACCACATTATTATTTTCGTGGCAATGTTTTTACCATTAAAAATACCATACTACCAAAAGGAGCTTTGGATCATCCAAAAAAATGAAATGTGGTAATGTAATGGTAGATTTTTTTTTCTTCTTTTTGTTTTTACGATTAAATGGATGATAAACCAATTTTTTTACAAAAAAAAAAAAATATTTGTGATGGTGATGGAAAAACAAAACAAAACAAAACAAAAAAAAAATTCACTCGCACAGATCAAATGTACAGTGGCAACAAATGTTTGTAATCAATCAAATTTTATTTATTTGTAATTAAAAAAATTATTATTTTTTTTCAATCAATCAAACAGCAAAAAAAATGGAGAATATTTCAATCTAATAACAAATGATTTTGTTGTATAAATGTTGAAATGGTATTTATAGAATCGAGACTAAAAAATTTCGTACCAAGACACATTTCATATTGTATGGATGATAATTTATTATCACAATGTATTGCATGATAAATGTGTATTAGATCTGGATCAGCTGAACGAAATATGGTTAAATTACTGGCAATAAAACGATCATAAAGATTAACATCTTCCATACCCCAACCATTAATGTTTGTATCATAACCACCAACAGAAATTAAATCCTGATTATATACGGAAACAATACCATAACCAAATTGACGCCAATATCCAAATTCTTGATCATCAATAGATTCATTTTTTGTTATTAATTTTTTCAATGAATTTTGATATTGGCTGAATACAATTGGATAATAAACTTGTTGTTTGAATATAGTATTACGACGAACACGATGTAAAACTTGTTCAGTGAAAAGCATATCAACATCTAAGAAAAATAAAAGTGATGAATTATTGAATAGTAATGAACTTTGTTGTAATGCTGTTCCACGAGAAAATTTTCCATCAACTTGAAGAATATTTTTTGTGCCTGAAAATTCCTTCATAATGATTTCAATTTCCGACACAGTTTGATTCGAATGATTGGGAAATAAAACCACTGTTAAAGTTAAACGATCATCTTGTCGATATACTTGAATAAAATTCCGAACAAATCTTTTAAATGTTAATATTCGTCCGGCTAATGGAACAATTACATTGACAATATCCACAGGTTTATCTTCCAAATGTAACAAACGTGTTGGAGAAAATGTTTGAACAGCGTAAACATGTTTTCGAATAGGAATCGTTAATCGTTTACCTTGATATTTTCGATACATCATCAAAAAATCCAAAACAAATTGTGTGCCAATCGATTGCGTGGAACGAACATAACCATAATGTAAACTATGATAATCAAATAATGTTCCTTTTTTGAATGAATTATGATTCAATGTATTCATTATTTGTTCAATATTTTGATTAAATGCCTGTACAATATCTTTTTCAATATTCTTTTTCGGATTCAATGATTTTTCAGTGTATAATTTTTGTGTGAAAAATTTCCATGTAGGATTTGTTAAAGTTTTTGTAAATAAAACTTTCAATGATGGATAGAAGCCAATGTTTTCTGCTTCGTTGGCCAATCGTTTTATGTTGATCAATGTTTTAAATTTCATCGATAATAAATCTTTCCAATCATAATTGAGATTAGTAGTAGCAATAAGTAGAATATTTAAACGTCGAAATAATTTTGTGATTTGAAAATTTAAATTTTGATGATCAATACTTTTAAAATATCGATACAGATTTTTCATTGCATTAGGATTTTTAATCGGATGTATGGTCAAAGCATTCAACAGATCTTTGGATGGAATCATATCGTTTAAAATTGATGTCTGTATTGATGAATTATGATGGAAAAGATTTTGCATATCATAACTCCATGTACAAGAAATTCCGGCAAATTGCCGTAAACAACGACCAATTTCAACATCTTCATGTGTTGAATAAAGATTTTGTAGACAATATTTAACATTCGAAGCGATTTTAGCCAATGATTTGAATGAAATAATGACACCAGGTCCACCCATACAGAAATTATCATGTGAATCAAGATTCAGTTGTCCAAATTCTTCTTTATTTCCAACACCAGTTTGACCAATATAAATCGATTCCGAACTATTAAGACTTTCTAGAAAATTTTTTAAACGTTCAACATTGACAAAAACATCATCATCGGCACGCATAAAAAATTTATAACGATCACCGAAATAATCGTTCATAAATTTGAACATGAAAAAAGATTTCTTCTGTGGTGGATAAGAATCATCCACCTGTGGTAAGGCGACAAATGGTAGATTCGAATTGGTCCTGTGTTTTCAAAAAAATGATATTCCATTGTTATCATGTACATTTCAGTTCACTATGAATAGAAAAAATTTACTTTTGATTTGAGCTTGTAAAAAATAATACATCACCAGGTAGATCACGACCCCATGTATCATAGATTGTCTGCGCTCTGGTATCCAAAAATGATTTGGCAGTCATCACACCAATCAATAATAATTTACGTTGATGATTAGTTGATGTCATATTATGAATCGAATGAAATGTATGTGCCAAATCATTTTTGGTCGATACATGAATAACATCATTATCATTATCATAAAGCCAAGATGATCGATATGAACAAAGTTGATAGAGAATATCTTTTTTAAAATTTTCATAATTAATCAAACGAAATTGACATGTGATCCATGAACCAATAATGATGCCGATTACAATATGGATGGCCTGTTTCAATGTTCTAAATGATTTACCATAGTTTTTTTTCATCATCATGATGATCAATTATAATTGCAGATGAAATTAGAATTCAAACGACTAGATGGATGATTCCATTCAGTTATTATTATGCCATACCATTATGATGAAAAATGTTTTAAATTTCAATTTCATTTATACGTTTTGGTATCATCATGATTTGGAACACGCAATAACAGATCGATAGTGAACACCCACACACTCGAAGAGAAGAGAGAGCAACAGTTATGCACAAATGATTCTGTCATATGGCTTGAATTGAAATCCGAACCAATATATTGTATCATGACTCATTCATGGCAATGATAGAATATATAAATTAATGAACAAGTATGACACAAGATGGCGTTTGGAAATTCCGGTTGAATAAATTGGAAACAAGAATCTCGATTAATAAGAGGTTTTAATGGTTTTATTATATTATATTCATTAATAACAAGAAAAAAATCAACCGGAAATCGGATTAATTGAAGCGAAGAAAAAATCACACATAATTGATTGCAAATTCACCCACACACACACACACACACACATACATTAAATAGAGAAAATAATATTCTTAAATATCAAAAATAAAAAAAAACAGAAAATGGAATGTTTGAAATATTTTTTTTGTTTTGTTTTTCGATCCATCATTGATTGGCAGCATTGCCATTGTGTATTAGATGAGCGACGATCGATTCGTTGTTGTTGTTGTTGTTGCTATTGAATGGGTGTTTTGATTTTGATTGATTGGAATCGATCCTTGCCCTTGTGGCTGCTGTTGTTGTTGTTGTTGAATTGTTCCACCATCATCCGGTATTCGATTAATAGTCGGCTTAAATTGTTTATACATTATCTGTGAAAGAGTAAGAAAAATATGAAGTTTTTTACACATTAACATCAACAACAAAAACAAACCTTTTCCTCCATATCAGGTACACGGGATAGAAAATCAATAATTTCATTATTATTAATGGAATCTGGTGAACGAAATTTTTTCGTAAATTTATTTATACCCCACAAAAGAATCAGATAACGAATGTGTATAAAATAAAGTACTATCGTTGCCATTGACATACAGATAACGGCTAACCATGTTAAATAAGGCACTGTAAAATTTGTGGCACTATTGAAAAAAAAAATTAGTTTTAACATTCGATTCAACATTGTTACATCATGATTGACTTACTTTTTACAACGTTCAATATATGATGCAATTTGTCCAATAATCAACATGACCAATGTTGATAGATCCTGAACGGTTTGTAATTTTTCTTTAAATGATTTTTTCTCTTCACCTTTTTCATCAAAATCTTCATCAATTAATTTTGTTTCATCGATATATTCATCATCATTATAATAATCATCATTGTTGTTATTACTATTATTAATACAATTCTGATTATGGCCAACTTTTCTTGTGGAATAATTATGAAATCGAATACCAATATAATTCATTAATATATACAACAATATGACCAATGGTATCATATAGAATTCAAAATAATAAACTGATGCTAAAAATGTGATAAATGCAAATATTGATCGTGTCGGTGATTCCCATTGTATGCATGAATGTAAGAATTGTCCAATTTCAACAAATTCTAAGCATATATTTTTCAATCTCATTGCATTACGTATGAATAATGTACGTTTGAATTTTATTTCATTCTGTACATATTTTGTAGGCCTTGGTGTAAATGTTAGAACACTTGCTTTTAGCTATTTTGTACGAATGATGAATGAATCGAATGATGTCAAAAAAAGATAAAATTGATAAATGGAATTTTTTTGCATATCAATGCCATGGACATAAGACATAAGATATGAGAAAAAAGAGAAAAGAATATTCAATTAGAATAAAATTAGATTTTTTTTTTTTGAATATTCACCTGATTATATGTGATCCAGCATTCCAGAAAAATATGGCCTTTAGAACGATGACGTAATTTTTTATCCTTCAATGCATACCAATGTTTTTCACCATTTTTTATTTTCAATAATGGTAACGCTACTTTTCCAAGAAATTCTACACGATCTTTATCTTCATCATAGACGGTCACTTCAAGTACATCATGTATGTCTTTAATTTTACTAGTTTTTTTTGTTTTGTTTTGTTCGTACATGTCAAATTCAGATTTTAAATTTTTCATTAATTTTTTCCAAATGTTACATCTACTTACAATTTAAACAATTTATTCCAAACAGGAGACAATGTTTTATACTCAGTACTTGTACGTAAACGTTCATTTACCAATTCAAGAACACAGAATGGATCAGATTTTCCATTGATATCGGCTGCAGCTAAATTTTCTGCTCTATGTACTGCGTGTGTGTGTGGGTGTGTGTTGATCAAACATGATGATCCAAAAAAAATGATCCATTTAAAATGATGAAACTTTTCAACGTTTTTTTATTATTATTCCTGCTCTTACCTTTTACGATCAATGTACCGATATCGAGAAAATTTTCATAAAAATTATTCAGGTCCTAATAATGGTTAATGGATTTTTTCCGGATAAAAAAAATAAAGCAAAAAATAAATAAATAAATAAAATTGTTTGTCTTGGATCGATCAATCGATCAATTAGATTCAATTGATAAAATTATACCTTTAGCTTGGCAAGTGAAATTAATTGTTTCAATGAATTTGGCTGTTGTTGTTGTTGTTGCTGTTGTTGTATTTGAATCATATCATATGTTTCTTGTTGCTGTTGTTTAGTTGTTGATGATGACTGTAAACCAGTAATTGTAACGAGCATTTCAATTCTAGCCATCATCATTGTTGTTGATTTATTAAAACTATTATTGTTACTAGAATTACATGCTGCCGATGTAATTGACAATGTTGTCATTGAATTACGATTAACCATCATTGGATTAGTATTGAATTCATAAACAAAACGATGTGTATGTTCAGGTTCTAATTCACTGAGATCTGTACAAACTTTATCAATAAAATCATTATTCTGTTGATGATGATGTTGTTGTCCTGAATAACCAAGTGTAATTTCCAATACTTTTGATTGATCAGCATAAAGATGTAGATCAAATTGTTCAGCCCAATATGGTGATCGTACCGATTTAACGGCTGTTTTACTTTTATATTTTTCCATTCCCAATTTCATACGTATACAATAATCATGATCTAGATCAATATTATCACCTTTTATCAATACAATCGATACAATTGAATCATATAGCTGTGATTTGATTCGTTTATTTGTTTGTCCATCCATTCCGGCTATTGTGGTCCATTTTCCACGTCCATAATAATATTCACGTTCTTCATGTGTTTTTGGATTCAAACGGATTGTCAATACTATTTTACCCCATGAGGAATCATAATTTTGCATATTATTATTTGCATTATTATTATTATCATGAAGATAAAGTTCAAAATCTGTTGATCTATAGTCAAAAAAAAGTGAGTAAAGAAACTGTTTTTTTTTGTCTATAATTTTCTATACTTCAACATTACTTACATTCCAGGTTCAAGTTTTGTTAGATCAATATTGGCTGTACCAAGATAATCATCCATGAAAAATAAATCATAATCAAATACTTTCAATGTCATTGGTTCACAGATATTATCCACTGGTAAAACAAAATATTCATCCCATATTGGATTCAATGTTTTATATTTTGTTTGACTTTTATATACAACTCTATTTCCAAGCATAAATTTTACATATGGATCACTAGTACCACATGAATCTTTTGCTAAAAGATTTTCACCATGTTTAAGATGACAATCAATCTGAAAGAATGGATATTGTAATAATCGATGTATTCGTTGTAAACGCATCATATCCTCCTATATGAATATGTGAGAATCTGTTAATCCCAAAAAAATTTGACATTTGTAAAAAGATAAAAATTCAAGAATAAAACTTGCATAATTTTGTGCTTTTGGCAACAATGTTGATGTTGCTGTTGTTGTTGTTGTTGTTGTATCAACCATTTCTGATAATCGGCCATTTACATTCGTATCCGTTATTGTTGCCGTTGACATTTCATCACTGCTATCATCATTTTTATTTAAATCAATTGTTTTACTGGCTTTTGTTTTCAGGATACGGATTTTAGGCTTAATTTGTTGTTGTTGTTGTTGTTGCTGATTATCGATTGCCATCATAATCGGTTCATTTTGTTGTTCATCCATAATGGCTATTGGTGCCATTTCATTATTTTTTATTGATTCAATAGAATTGTTGTTGTTGTTGTCGTTATTATTCTCATCTAAACTTGAGCTATTATTTGTTAGTTGTTGATAATTTTGTTTTGTAGATATGAATGATTTTTCCGAATGACAAGAATCATCACTTTGTACAACATAATCGGTACCACGAAATTTTTGTTGTTGATTACGTTGCAAACATATACGATGCATATCACGTTTAATTCGTTTTAGACGACTCATTTTTTTCACATTTTCCATTGTTGGTATTGATTGATTTTTCATTAATGTTGATGATTCGTTTTTTGTTTGATCATCATAATGATCATTACTGATATTATGGCCAATATTATTTTGTTCATCATCTTCAGTTTGTGTATAATAATTATCTATTTCTACACCGGTAGTTAATTTTTTTGTTTTTGTTGTTGTTGTTGCTGTTGGTTCACTCATCATCTGTTCAATTAAACAATCATCTTTAAGATTCATTGAACTTAGATCCGGTATAGATATAGCACGACGATTATCTTGATCAAGAATTAATGATTTTTTTGGCTTCCAAAATGGTGATAATCTCATACTACTTGTTATGCGTGCATTTCTGTGATTATTATTATTTTTATTCTTATGATGATGAACATTATTATCCGATTTTAATCGTTTCTGATGATGATGATGATGATGATGACGATTACGTCGTAATAATGTTAAATCATCTGGATCAAAATCACTTGGTTGTGTATCACAGTCACTAGTCATTGTTGATGGTGTAAAACGTTTGAATGAAAACAATAATTGTTTTAGACTTGATTTTGAAAATGATCTAGTTGATGATGTATATTTTGAATGGCGATGAAATGGACTTGCCGATGATGATGTACCACCGGATGAACAATTTGATTGATTTGAACCACATCGATTTTTATCGATATTATTGTTGGTTGTTGTATCATTCATAATATTTGCATTCAAATGTTTATTCATACGTAGTTGTTTCAAACCATAATTATTATTATTATTATCATCATCATCATCATCGTCATCACTAGTTTTATCAATAGAAATTTTTTTTGATTTTTTCATCAATTTTCTTGATGACTTTCGACGAATCATTACCGGTGTCAATGCTGTTGTTGTTGCTATTGTCATTGCTGATGCTGTTGCTGTTGCTGTTGTTGTTGTTGTTGTTGTTGTTGTTGTTGTTGCCATTATTGCCGATTCTGATTCATCATAATTATCAATGGTTTTTGGTTCAACACCAAATAATAATTGATCACAACGATCTATGAAGAAAGAATTATTATGATAAATAAAATATAATAATGGTATTGAGATGCAAATCCAAAAAAATGTTGAAAATGGAAATAATGGTATATAAACAATGGCAAACATGCAAAATAATCTTGGTGATAAAAAACGGAAACGATATTGTTTCCAACGTGGTAATATCACACGATAAAGTGGATGCATTTCATCATAATCATGATGTATTCGGGCCATCTTTTTTTTGTGTGTGTGAATAGAAAATGGATGATAATGGCAGAGAAGTGAAAAAAAAATAAATAAAATCTCAAGAATCTCAAGGCCAAATCTTAACACTCATAGCTCATTGTTTACGATGTAAAAAATGGCCAATAATAATTGTTTTGTCTTGTTTTTTTCACAGATTTCAAATAATAATAAATTGTTTAATTTGGTTAATTGATTTTTTTGTTTTGTTTAATTTGAAAAAAAATCACTGAATCTATGAATGCATAAAAAAATTCATCCATTCATTGATGATTGTGAATGAGAATAAAACAAAAATTCGAATTCGAATGAGCTGTTTTTATATATGTAATAACAACAATACGAAAATATCCTTTGTTTTTTTTCTGCATTGGCATGTTTGATAATGATAATTGTTGTTGTTATTGATTGAACACAATCGTGATGATGACCAAAAAAAAAATGACGAAATTCAAAACGAATTTGATTGATTAACTATCGAATCATACACACACATTGGTGAAAAGTGTCATTTTGGTTATAATTCACTTGTTTGGTGGTGGTGGTGGTAGTAGTGGGGGAAGTGTATAGGATTTTATTTTTTATATTGTTACACGAAACAAAGAATGATGATGACAACATCCTTTCATTTGTTTTTAACCAGAAGAAAAAATGACGAAAATAAAAATCAAACAGAAAAAAAATGCAAATTATGCAAATGTGTGTGTGTGTGTGTGTGTGTGTGGACATGTAATAAAAATGAAATAGAGGAAAATCATCATCATCATCTTTAAATGGCTATTTGCATTGTATCTGTATGATGCTATTCAATGGTGAATTGATCATCAAAAAGAATTTGGTTGTATCTCTTATACCTTACATACGAAAAAAAAATTGATCATCAATATCGATCGATTGATGAACAATTCATCCATTGATGATCTATCCATACATATCGATTAGATCAATGTGCCAATAAATATCAATCCATATCACACACACACACACACAAAAAGATTATATTGTTTCATTATTATTCAATGTCAAGGAAAATAGAAGCTGATGATGAAAATTTTTCATATTTTTTTTTTGTTTGTTTGTTTGTTTGTCTTAATTTTTCATTTTCATTTTCATTATCAATCAATCAATCGATATTGATTTGATGGTATTTTCTAATGGAAAATATTTTCTTTCCTTGTCTCTTGTTTTTTCTTTCAAAATTTTTTTTTTTTTGATGATTAATCTTTTGACCTATTGATTAGAGCTAATTGATTAATTACAACCATTATAGAGACAAGAAGAAAAAAATCTTATGATCCATCATCATCATCATCGTCATCATCATCATCATAGTCATCATCATCAGATATAAACACGAGCATAGTGAATGGGTAGAGATAAAATGAAAAAAAACAGATTTTTTTGGTTATCTCGCCATTTATAAAATAACGATTTGAAATAGATAGATGATCTCTACCATCTCGTCATCTGAAAATGTCCTCAAAACTTTGAATAAATATTTGCACTCTGATCCATCAATCCAGCAAACACGAATGAAATGAATATGTGTTAAAATTCATTTTGAACACACATAAGGAAGAACAAAAAAAAAAAATATCCAAGTATTTGAGCAATAAAATTCAAAAATAGTGGTGGAAAGAATTTCCAAAAAAATTAAATTTTCACATCTAAACAATTTTTTTTTTTTTTTTTTTGATCAGCAAATAGAAAAAACTGATTGCAACAACCAAAAAAAATTTTTTTTTTTCGTTTTTGATAAGGAAATGAAGATTAAATATCCACATAATAATATACCATATATATAAATATTCAAACAGCAATCTGATGATATGATAATTTCAATAATGGTGGAAATATCTCAAAATATTGCAAACAACAACAACAACAACAACGGCAATCTAGGAGTGAAAAAAAATGAATGAATGAATTCACCAGATTACTTGATGGTAAAAAAATTTTTTTCGGTTTTTCCCTGTTTGATTGTCCTAAAAAAAGGTCATCACTTTCACCAGAATCGATTCAATTGAATTGATTTGGTTAAACATGTGATGTATTTTTTTTTTTTTTTATTAACAATTTTTGTGTATGCAATGTATGGTATGTGATTTTCTGAATGTAGTAGAATAAATTTATTTTACTGTCTGTCATTTTTCACTAGAATCATGAAAAAAAAAAAAATTAACTCTGCACGGTGACGCATATAATACAAACACGTTACATTATTAGTATTTACAAATCATCATCAATAATGAAAATTGATGGTCAAACAAATGACCGTAAAAACACACACACACACACACACACACACAGGTTGGGTAAATATTACATTATTAAGAAGTAAAATGAGAAAAAAACCCCTCGAGTATAAGTTTTTTCATCATTCATCTTGAATCTGACATGCTGTATACATACATATGTATGACGTTCATATGTAATATAATAACAAACACAACGCAATGAAAAAGGTTGGCAAACAAAACGAAACGAAACGAAACGAAAAAAAAGATAAATTGAAAAGGAAATTGATAAATGGCCACTAAAATAAAAAAAAGGAAATTTAAATATTTCTAAAATTATCAATTTTCCTTTTGTTGACAATTTTTTTTTCTGTCTGTGTGCATGTGTGTGTTGCATCGATTGAAATGCACTGAATTTGTTTGGTTTTGTTGATGATGACAAAAATTCGGGATTGCCGTTTTTTTTTCATTGGATTTTGATCAATAAAAAAGAAAAAAGAAATTCACTTACCGGAAATGGATACATTTTTTTTATTACCATTTATAATTGTAATACTTGATGATTGTCGATTATTATCATCATTATTATCATCATCATCATCATCAAAGTTGAGTTGATTATCGATACCATCATTGGTGGTGGTGGTGGTGGTGTTCATCACACGTTTATTTTGTTGTTGTTGTTGTTTATTTAATCTGGTTGTTCTTTCAATAATATCACCAACTATTGAAATACGACCAAAAGTTGTTGATGATAATCTTTGTTTTGATGTCGACGATGTTGTTGTTGTTGTTGTGATTGGTTGTTTTGATTGATTTTTTGTTTTACGTTTACTATTGCTACTGCTACTGCTACCAACACTTCTGATTAAACTTGATGAAAACATTTTCAATTTTGAATCATATGTTCTATATTAATGGATTTTGATTTTGTTGTTGTTGTTGATGATTTAATTCGGTATTTTAAATCAAAAGAAAAAAAAATTGAAAAATACAAAATCCAATACACTATAGTAGTACATCATGGTATTATTTCTGCCAACCTGTCAGCCATCACCACCACCACCACGACCGATCCACTGACATTTGGTTGACAAATTTTTGTTTTATTCTGCCAAAAAAAAACAACGGAAATGTTAATTCATCATTTTCTTGAATGTTATCAAAATGTTGTGTGCATTTAAAGTGTTAATGATGATGATGATGATGATTTTTTTGGGTAAATAAAAATGAATGATCTCTATCTATGTAATAATAATGGAATTATTACACAGTCAATATCCATGTACATATATACAGATGTTTTGTTTGTTTAAACCGGGCGTATATTATTATTATTATTATTAATGTACAGAATGAAATTCTGTACATTAATAAACTGTGTGAGACAAAAAAAAACAAAACATCCAGATGTTTCATTCTACGGTGGTTAATCCTTTTTTTTCTATCTATCAAACATTCAGGTTTTTTTCCATTAGCCGAATTATCAATTCAAGGTAGTTGTTTTATCATCATCATCATTTTTTTTGGGTGAGAAAAAATATTTAAAAACTTTTTTTGTTTTGTTTTGTCTACAATGTCTGAAACGAGTATTTTTTTGTGGGGGTGGGGTGTTATGAGCACAGTTCTGGAACAATATCCAAATCATCGTCATTGCCGAAACGAAAATTTTCCACACTTGTCACCCATTTGGTTTTTTATATAATCTCATTATATATGGAATAAAAATAAATGATCTAGTTGATGATGATGATGATGATGTGATCCAGCAAGAATTTCGGTAATAAAACAAAAAAAACAAACATAGTAAAAAAAAAATTTGTCATGACTTGGCTTAAAAAACAACAATAAACAAATTATTCTTCATTATCGTTATTGTCGTCGTTATTTGTCATGTTATATGTTACAAAATACTTGAATTCTAGCTAGAATTGTAGCCTAGTTTTTTGTTTGTTATAATGTATTTTATCATCATGAGTTAAATAAATGAGAATTTCATTTAAATGATCTAAATGTGATCTAAAATGAGAATTTGTTTGTGATCCAAAATAATAATCACCATTATTATGTTATTATTATGATGATGATCAAGGAAAAAAAAATGTGGAAAACCAGGTCATTCTGGGTTTAATAAATATTTTACACATTTCTCCAGAATCTAATTTCAGTACAAGCTTGTTTGTTTGTTTGTTTGGTTGTTTATTTGACAAATTTTGGTTCCTAGTGAATTAATTGAATTGAACAAATAAACCGCATATGCACCGTGTGTGTGTGTACAATATGATATGGACATTTTCATTGTATGGCCCACAAAAAAAATGGCAGATATCAAATTTTTTTATATCAACCAGTCAGCCAACCAACTAGCCAAAAAACAACCAATATAACCAGGTAACGTGAAAATATTAAAAGCGTACCGGTGCATTTACGTTATTATTCTCATCTAAACTTGAGCTATTATTTGTTAGTTGTTGATAATTTTGTTTTGTAGATATGAATGATTTTTCCGAATGACAAGAATCATCACTTTGTACAACATAATCGGTACCACGAAATTTTTGTTGTTGATTACGTTGCAAACATATACGATGCATATCACGTTTAATTCGTTTTAGACGACTCATTTTTTTCACATTTTCCATTGTTGGTATTGATTGATTTTTCATTAATGTTGATGATTGTGATGATTCGTTTTTTGTTTGATCATCATAATGATGATCATTACTGATATTATGGCCAATATTATTTTGTTCATCATCTTCAGTTTGTGTATAATAATTATCTATTTCTACACCGGTAGTTAATTTTTTTGTTTTTGTTGTTGTTGTTGCTGTTGGTTCACTCATCATCTGTTCAATTAAACAATCATCTTTAAGATTCATTGAACTTAGATCCGGTATAGATATAGCACGACGATTATCTTGATCAAGAATTAATGATTTTTTTGGCTTCCAAAATGGTGATAATCTCATACTACTTGTTATGCGTGCATTTCTGTGATTATTATTATTTTTATTCTTATGATGATGAACATTATTATCCGATTTTAATCGTTTCTGATGATGATGATGATGATGATGACGATTACGTCGTAATAATGTTAAATCATCTGGATCAAAATCACTTGGTTGTGTATCACAGTCACTAGTCATTGTTGATGGTGTAAAACGTTTGAATGAAAACAATAATTGTTTTAGACTTGATTTTGAAAATGATCTAGTTGATGATGTATATTTTGAATGGCGATGAAATGGACTTGCCGATGATGATGTACCACCGGATGAACAATTTGATTGATTTGAACCACATCGATTTTTATCGATATTATTGTTGGTTGTTGTATCATTCATAATATTTGCATTCAAATGTTTATTCATACGTAGTTGTTTCAAACCATAATTATTATTATCATCATCATCATCATCGTCATCACTAGTTTTATCAATAAAAATTTTTTTTGATTTTTTCATCAATTTTCTTGATGACCTTCGACGAATCATTATCGGTGTCAGTGCTGTTGTTGTTGCTGTTGTCATTGCTGATGCTGTTGCTGTTGTTGTTGTTGTTGTTGTTGTTGTTGTTGTTGTTGTTGCCATTATTGCCGATTCTGATTCATCATAATTATCAATGGTTTTTGGTTCAACACCAAATAATAATTGATCACAACGATCTATGAAGAAAGAATTATTATGATAAATAAAATATAATAATGGTATTGAGATGCAAATCCAAAAAAATGTTGAAAATGGAAATAATGGTATATAAACAATGGCAAACATGCAAAATAATCTTGGTGATAAAAAACGGAAACGATATTGTTTCCAACGTGGTAATATCACACGATAAAGTGGATGCATTTCATCATAATCATGATGTATTCGGGCCATCTTTTTGTGTGTGTGAATGAAAAAAAATGGAAAGACAATTGATGATAATGGCAGAGAAGTGAAAAAATAAATAAAATCTCAAGAATCTCAAGGCCAAATCTTAACACTCATAGCTCATTGTTTACGATGTGAAAAAAATGGTCAATAATAATTGTTTTGTCTTTTTTTTCACAGATTTCAAATAATAATAAATTGTTTAATTTGGTTAATTGATTTTTTTTTGTTTAATTTGAAAAAAATCACTGAATCTATGAATGCATAAAAAAATTCATCCATTCATTGATGATTGTGAATGAGAATAAAACAAAAATTCGAATTCGAATGAGCTGTTTTTATATATGTAATAACAACAACACGAAAATATCCTTTGTTTTTTTTTCTGCATTGGCATGTTTGATAATGATAATTGTTGTTGTTGTTGTTGTTGTTATTGATTGAACACAATCATGATGATGACAAAAAAAAAAAAAAAATGACGAAATTCAAAACGAATTTGATTGATTAACTATCGAATCATACACACACACATTGGTGAAAAGTGTCATTTTGGTTATAATTCACTTGTTTGGTGGTGGTGGTGGTGGTGGTAGTAGTGGGGGAAGTGTATAGGATTTTATTTTTTATATTGTTACACGAAACAAAGAATGATGATGACAACATCCTTTCATTTGTTTTTAACCAGAAAAAAAATGACGAAAATAAAAATCAAACAGAAAAAAAATGCAAATTATGCAAATGTGTGTGTGTGTGTGTGTGTGTGGACATGTAATAAAAATGAAATAGAGGAAAATCATCATCATCATCTTTAAATGGCTATTTGCATTGTATCTGTATGATGCTATTCAATGGTGAATTGATCATCAAAAAGAATTTGGTTGTATCTCTTATACCTTACATACGAAAAAAAAATTGATCATCAATATCGATCGATTGATGAACAATTCATCCATTGATGATCTATCCATACATATCGATTAGATCAATGTGCCAATAAATATCAATCCATATCACACACACACACACAAAAAGATTATATTGTTTCATTATTATTCAATGTCAAGGAAAATAGAAGCTGATGATGAAAATTTTTCATATTTTTTTTTTTGTTTGTTTGTTTGTTTGTCTTAATTTTTCATTTTCATTTTCATTATCAATCAATCAATCGATATTGATTTGATGGTATTTTCTAATGGAAAATATTTTCTTTCCTTGTCTCTTGTTTTTTCTTTCAAAATTTTTTTTTTTTTTTTGATGATTAATCTTTTGACCTATTGATTAGAGCTAATTGATTAATTACAACCATTATAGAGACAAGAAAAAAAAATCTTATGATCCATCATCATCATCATCATCGTCATCATCGTCGTCATCATCATCATCAGATATAAACACGAGCATAGTGAATGGGTAGAGATAAAGTAAAAAATGAAAAAAACAAAACAGATTTTTTTTTGGGTAATCTCGCCATTTATAAAATCACAATTTGAAATAGATAAATGATCTCTACCATCTCGTCATCTAAAAATGTCCTCAAAACTTTGAATAAATATATTTGTACTCTGATCCAGCAATCCATCAATCCAGCAAACACGAATGAAATGAATATGTGTTAAAATTCATTTGAACACAACAAAATAAAAAATATCCAAGTATTTGAGCAATAAAATTCAAAAATAGTGGTGGAAAGAATTTCCAAAAAAATTAAATTTTCACATCTAAACAATTTTTTTTTATCAGCAAATAGAAAAAAAACTGATTGCAACAACCAAAAAAAAAAAAATTTTTTTTTTCGTTTTTGATAAGGAAATGAAGATTAAATATCCACATAATAATATACCATATATATAAATATTCAAACAGCAATCTGATGATATGATAATTTCAATAATGGTGGAAATATCTCAAAATATTGCAAACAACAACAACAACAACAACAACGGCAATCTAGGAGTGAAAAAAAAACAAATGAATGAATGAATTCACCAGATTACTTGATGGTAAAAAAAATTTTTTCGGTTTTTCCCTGTTTGGTTTTGTTTGATTGTCCAAAAAAAAGGTCATCACTTTCATCAGAATCGATTCAATTGAATTGATTTGGTTAAACATGTGATGTTTTTTTTTTTTTATTAACAATTTGTGTATGCAATGTATGGTATGTGATTTTCTGAATGTAGTAGAATAAATTTATTTTACTGTCTGTCATTTTTCACTAGAATCATGAAAAAAACAAAAAAAATTTACTCTGCACGGTGACGCATATAATACAAACACGTTACATTATTATTATTATTTACAAATCATCATCATCATCAATAATGAAAATTGATGGTCAAACAAATGACCGTAAACACACACACACACACACACACACACACAGGTTGGGTAAATATTACATTATTAAGAAGTAAAATGAGAAAAAAAAACCCCTCGAGTATAAGTTTTTTTTCATCATTCATCTTGAATCTGACATGCTGTATACATACATACAAATGTATGACGTTCATATGTAATATAATAACAAACACAACGCAATGAAAAAGGTTGGCAAACAAAACGAAACGAAACGAAACGAAAAAAAAAGATAAATTGAAAAGGAAATTGATAAATGGCCACTAAAAAAAAAAAGGAAATTTAAATATTTCTAAAATTATCAATTTTCCTTTTGTTGACAATTTTTTTTTCTGTCTGTGTGCATGTGTGTGTTGCATCGATTGAAATGCACTGAATTTGTTTGGTTTTGTTGATGATGACAAAAATTCGGGATTGCCGTTTTTTTTATTGGATTTTGATCAATAAAAAAAAAGAAAGAAATTCACTTACCGGAAATGGATACATTTTTTTTATTACCATTTATAATTGTAATACTTGATGATTGTCGATTATTATCATCATTATTATCATCATCATCATCATCAAAGTTGAGTTGATTATCGATACCATCATTGGTATTGGTGGTAGTGTTCATCACACGTTTATTTTGTTGTTGTTGTTGTTGTTGTTGTTTATTTAATCTGGTTGTTCTTTCAATAATATCACCAACTATTGAAATACGACCAAAAGTTGTTGATGATAATCTTTGTTTTGATGTTGACGGTGTTGTTGTTGTTGTTGTGATTGGTTGTTTTGATTGATTTTTTGTTTTACGTTTACTATTGCTACTGCTACTGCTACCAACACTTCTGATTAAACTTGATGAAAACATTTTCAATTTTGAATCATATGTTCTATATTAATGGATTTTGATTTTGTTGTTGTTGTTGTTGTTGTTGATGATGTTGATGATTTAATTCGGTATTTTAAATCAAAAAGAAAAAAAAATTGAAAAATACAAAATCCAATACACTATAGTAGTACATCATGGTATTATTTCTGCCAACCTGTCAGCCATCACCACCACCACCACGACCACTATCGTTGTTGACAAATTTTTTGTTTTATTCTACCAAAAAAAACAACGGAAATGTTAATTCATCATTTTCTTGAATGTTATCAAAATGTTGTGTGCATTTAAAGTGTTAATGATGATGATGATGATGATTTTTTTGGGTAAATAAAAATGAATGATCTCTATCTATGTAATAATAATGGAATTATTACACAGTCAATATCCATGTACATATATACAGATGTTTTGTTTGTTTAAACCGGGCGTATATATTATTATTATTAATGTACAGAATGAAATTCTGTACATTAATAAACTGTGTGAGACAAAAAAAAAACAAAACATCCAGATGTTTCATTCTATTATGATGGTGGTTAATCCTTTTTTTCTATCTATCAAACATTCAGGTTTTTTTCCATTAGCCGAATTATCAATTCAAGGTAGTTGTTTTATCATCATCATTTTTTTTTGGGTGAGAAAAAATATTTAAAAACTTTTTGTTTTGTTTTGTTTGTCTACAATGTCTGAAACGAGTATTTTTTTGTGGGGGTGGACATATAAAAACAACATGTTCTGGAACAATATCCAAATCATCGTCATCATCATCATTGCCGAAACGGAAATTTTCCACACTTGTCACCCATTTGGTTTTTTATATAATCTCATTATTATATATGGAATAAAAATAAATGATCTAGTTGATGATGGTGATGATGTGATCCAGCAAGAATTTCGGTAATAAAACAAAAAAAAACAAACATAGTAAAAAAAAAATTTGTCATGACTTGGCTTAAAAAACAACAATAAACAAATTATTCTTCATTATCGTTATTGTCGTCGTTATTTGTCATGTTATATGTTACAAAATACTTGAATTCTAGCTAGAATTGTAGCCTAGTTTTTTGTTTGTTATAATGTATTTTATCATCATGAGTTAAATAAATGAGAATTTCATTTAAATGATCTAAATGTGATCTAAAATGAGAATTTGTTTGTGATCCAAAATAATAATCACCATTATTATGTTATTATTATGATGATGATGATGATCAAGGAAAGAAAAATGTGGAAAAAAAACCAGGTCATTCTGGTTTAATAAATATTTTACACATTTCTCCAGAATCTAATTTCAGTACAAGCTTGTTTGTTTGTTTGTTTGGTTGTTTATTTGACAAATTTTGGTTCCTAGTGAATTAATTGAATTGAACAAATAAACCGCATATGCACCGTGTGTGTGTACAATATGATATGGACATTTTCATTGTATGGCCCACAAAAAATGGCAGATATCAAATTTTTTTTTTATATCAACCAGTCAGCCAACTAAAAAAAAACAACCAATATAACCAGGTAACGTGAAAAATATTAAAAGCGTACCGGTGCATTTACATATGTGTCTAAATCTAAATTTAGATTAAAATTTATTCTCCACAATGATCATAATGACATCCTTTGAAAGCAAAAAAAAAAAAACTTTGCACCAATGATTATGGTGAACAGAGAAAAAACAATTTTTTCCATCGTCATCCACATCATTTGTATTCACAACAGGATTGTCATGAATTTTGTTGTTGTTGTTGTTGTTGTTGTTGTTTTTTTTTTTTCACACACACACACACACACGAACAATTTATCTCTATGAATGTTTGTGTGTGTGTGTGTGTGTTTCGTTGCAAATGATAATCAAATAAATTGATTCTCCATTTTTCTTTCTGAAGGACATTACACACACACACACACACACACAATGGTTGAAAGTGGTCTATTTGTTTTTTTTTTGGCATTTCATTTCATTATGATTGTCAACCAGTAGATATTTTTGGTTGTGCAATTTCAGTGCAAAAAATTTCTGTTTTTCAATGGAATCTATTCTCGTTTTTTGTCTGTGTGTGTGTGTGTGTGTGTGAAATTATTTAACCGGATTCGTTATTGTTTGGCAAAAAAATTGGAAAATGATTGACAGATTCTGGTGATGTTGGAAAAAACTTTTCAGATATAACTGACTATGATGCTATGATTATGGTTCTGGTGTTTATGATTTCACATGAATTTTTTTTCATGCAAAATTGGAATCTTTTTTTGCATTTCAATTATTTTTTTTTTTGTTTTGTTTTCACATATCAAACAACATTTTTTAGTATTTATTGACATTGACATTGATAAATTTCAATATTTACAAATCATTTATGTGTTTGACAATTGAAATTGGCAATTCTTAATCATCATCATCATTGATTGATTGATTTATTTCTTACAAATCTTTGAATAGTTGTAAAATTTTCTATTTTCTTCTCAATACAAAACACACACACACACACACATGCACTTACACATACATACACATTAATTATAAGTCGTAGGCTGTTGTTGTTGTTGTTTTTTGACATCTTAACTATCACTAAATAATAATAATGATTGCTTGTTGCAAGAAATTTCCATTGAAATTCTTGATTAGAAACAGTGATAAAAAAGCATTAATTATATAATTGCAATAATGACTCACCAGTGATAAAATAAATTATTATATGCGTTGTAAATCTGTTGATGATGATGATGATGATGGTTAAAACTGGTTGATTTTTTTTTGGCAAATATATTGAATATATGAATCAAGAAACAAAGATGAAAACTTTGATGTGTGTGTGAAAGTTATGAATTTTCAAACTTTTTTTTTGAAATTGATCGAAAATATCGAATTTTTTTTTGATTAATGATTATTGAATCGATTTATTTGAATTGAATGACTGAAATTCTATCCACTATTAGATCAAGAATCCAATGAAATGAAATAGTTTGCGTGTCTGTCTCTCTATATGTGTTGTGTTACAATATTTGGAACTTATTTTTTTTTTATATAGCTAGTGGTTCAATTTACGTTATCGTTAAAGAACGGCTTGAATATATAATAATATTTTGAATGGGAACAACAACAACAACAACAACAACAAAAAATGGCGCGCAAGTGTAATAATAATAACCTGATAGATCATGACAACAAAAAAAAAAAAAAAAAGAATACTTGAACCAAATCTTTATTTGAAATGATGCTGATAAAGTGACTAACTGACTGATGATGATATGGTTTTTATTATTTTTTTTTTGGTTCTCATCCAACTCACTAAATCCTAATATCTAGATTCTAGATTCTAGATTCTAGAATTTGTTTTTTTTTTTTTTTTCTATGAACTAGAATAAACCAGATTTATGTTTCCCAGTTCATGATATACATTGTCAATTTTGTTTTTTTTGGTCTGCCAGTCAAACACAACATGGATGATGGTCCGGTCGGTCACACATATGAACACATAATGGATGTGTTGATGATGGTAGTGGTTGAATATTTTTTTTTCGTTTATTGTCAACCACAGAATTGATGATTTATATTCTGGATCAAAAAAAAAATATTTGAAATACTGGCGCTTGTTTTTTCTCGTTGGTTGATTGGTTGTTTGAATATACATGAATCATAAAAAATTGACTGAATTTTTGATGATGATGATGATGATGATTATTCATTCCATTTCCTGGACGTCTTTCATATGTCATGGAATTTTTTTTTGTTGTTGAGAATGAATGAAAATTTGACGACTCATTATAATGGTTCATTTCGTTTGAGACGGGAAGAATAGTTAAGATTCTTAATTTTTTTTTCTCTTTTCCAGCCCATTAATCGATATTTTTTTCCAGGTGGTTCTGTTTTTTTTCCATATAAATGAATCTCATTTTTTTTCGATGAAAAATAAAATATGATTCGGAAATCATCGGAAACAACAATCGATAATGGACAAAATTGAGGAGATCAAATTTTTAAAGTTTGATTTAAAGTTAGATAAAAATCTTGTCAATTTAATCAAAGAAAAACAAAATATTATTCTCTACCTCTCGATGATTGTAACCATGTGTGTTGTCATGTTGTTGTAATGGCTATGTAGTTTTGAAACAATTCGCGATGATAAAAAATTTTTTTTAGAAAAAAAATACAAAAAAAAATGGATTTCATTTGAATCTGATCCATTCATATAGGATAGGTCATTTTTTTTTTTTCTTATTGCTATTCTCAGTGATGTGGATGGATTATATAAACATGCAACATGTCAAAGGCATGATTTTTTTTATATTAATTAAAATAATATTTAATTAACGATTTATAAGTTTTCTTTTAAACGATAATAACCATAGCAATTAGAATAAAGATATAATAGCTAGTCAATGAAATGATCCAACTAGCAGCAATAGTCATGGCTTGGATTCTAAAAAAGTCCTCAATCATCAATGTGACGTTTTTGTGTTCTTTATTAAGAAAATTCTCCATAAAAGCGGTATGTAAATTGTAATGAAATTGAATGAATTTAAAATTAATTCAATAAAAACAATCTATTTTGATAAACTATATACTAGGATTATCGACCGCCATGATATTTTCAATCAAAACAAAAACAAAAAAAAATCATTCGTACTTGCCATTATCATCAAATTTTGTTTGTTAAATCGAATATATATACTGAAGAAAACTAAAAGGATCATGGTGATGATGATGATTGGGAAAAAAATGGATTTATCTGAAATATAAAAAAAAAAAAAATAAAACGAGGGTTTTTGTTTCGCTTCAATGATGATTATTATGTTATTACCCATATATTGATATTTTGGTTGTAATTGCACCCAAACTTATCAACATTATCATCGAATCCTCGATCGATTTGAATATTGAAATGATGATATGAATGAATGAATGAATGAAAAATGTGTCTTTGAATTTATTTTCTATACAAATTTCCCCAAGACTAGCAATAATAAGATCATCATCATGTTTTTATGCCTGCTTGCTTGTTATTGTTGCTGAACAATCATATCGAACCATTTTTTTTCTTGGTTTTTTGTTGATGAAGATTTTAATGATTGATTGACAAAATATTCACCACCACTTTGTGTGTGTGTGTGTGTGTGTGCCTTCGATCACACAAACACATATCGCTTGTCAATAATAAGTAATCGAATATATATTGTATCTTTGGTGTTCAATATGGTGGGCAAAAATTAATAGTTACTGTATCGATTACGATTCATTCATTCATTCATTCATTCAAATTTATATATTGACTTTGATGCGACATTCAAGAATTTTTTCTTTTATTGCAAATCTCACTAATGCACCGAATATCATTATCATCATCATCAAATTTATCGATTTTTCAAATTTTATGGATGTAAAAACAATAAAACAAAACCATCGACAAATAACTAATAATAATAATAATAATAAAGATAATATGAATATTAATTATCGTTTCGAGACAATCAGATTTCATCATCATCATCATCATCATATTTTTCACATCATTTTCATCATCATTATTATTTTTTATTTTTCATTTTCCAATATATTGGTTATGGCCACTATACCGGAGTATAATCACCATAATCATATTCATTATTCATCATCATCATCATCATCATCATCAAAATCTTTATTGAATACGACAAATTCCATAACAACAACAACAACAATAACGCCATCACATCATACAATTAGTCATCATCGACAACAATGTGAAAATTCATCCGATTGTGATTCAAATCTTATTTGCCATAATCATACTTGTCTATGTTCATTGGGACAAGTTTATTTTCATTTTAAAAAACATATACCATCCGATTCAAAAGGAATGTGTATCTATTATGAACAGGCACTTTCATGTGCTAATGATGATGAATGTCAAGATATTGATATAAATGTTGTTTGTGATCATCAATGGGGACGTTGTCGTTGTAGACGTGGTTTTTTCTAAATGCTAAAACAAAATATTGTCAAAAGGCAAGAATACCATACATTTTTATCATAATTTATTAAACAAATTTAATTCTCTCTCCATGATAGATTAATCATTATGAAATGAATTCAAAACCATACAGACCGATTTTGAAATTATCAAGCAACAACAACAATAAAATGACACAACAATCTACAGTACCTATGTTATCACGTCGGCCACAATATTTTCGTTTAGGTACAAGTTGTCAGAAAAAATCCGAAAAATTAGATTGTCCAGCTGAATATAGTTATTGTTTTGAACGTAAATGTCAATGTTGGCCAGAATTTGAATTCTGGGAAGATCCAGAATTTTCATTATCAAATGCAGAAAATAATAGTGGTGTATCATCATTACAGTTGATAACAAAAGAATTATTGAAAATTGCATCCGAACATGTTGATGTGTTAGGTGAAAGTGATTGGAATGATGGAATGAAAATCGGTAAATGTCTTAGAAAAATTTGTGACACCGATGATGATTGTCGTAGTAATAATAATGGTGCTGTTACTGGTCGAAATTCAAATCTTGTCTGTAATAATACGGTTTGCGAATGTGCATATGGGTATGCAATACATCGTGATACACATGTATGTGTAAAGTTATTATTACGACGACCAAGTTGTGATTTAACCTGTAAAATAATTGGCAGTCTATTTGCATCGATATTTGTATTAACATTAATCTATTGGTGTTTTTATTGTTGTGTGGCAATCGTAAAAAATTTTCATCATCATCATCATCATCATCATCAACATCACCATAATCAACATAATCGTCGTCAAACACAAATGGATGAAACGGATATAATTTTAAATCTAATCAATAGACGACAATCATTATCAAATTCGATAGCATCATTTTTAACAAAAATGGATAAACCACCAACATATGATGAAGTAATGAGTGATGATGATTGTGTTAATACATCACAATCATCATCATCAGCATCATCATCGATACAAAGACCACAGTATATTGAAATGAAAGAAATATTACCAAGATATTGTTCATTATGGAAACTTGAATCAAATTTAAATAATCCATCATCACAACAACAACACAACAACAACAACAGAATAATGAAGAATATGAGATTATTAATTGTCAAAATCCTAATGATAATGATGATGATGATGATGATGATGGACAATGATGATGATCATCATCATTTTTTATAAAATTTTTACATTGTGTTTACAAAGTATTTTTTTCTTCATTTTTATCTCTGTTGTTTCATAACTGTTTTTACTTTTACACATACAAAAAAAAACATATAATCAGGTATATAATAAATCGAAAAAATGTTTTGGTTTTTCATTTTCACGTTTTCACTGTACAATCAGATTCAATGTGAACGTTTTATTCATTTTATATAAATTGAAAATTGAAAATTTCAAAACAAAAATCAATGATGCCCATCCATCCATCCATCCATCCATCCATCATGATGATGATCTCGACCATCAAAAAAAAAAAAAAAAAAAATTCAAAACGGAAGCATACAAATCACATGCACTGAAAGTCTCACGAATATTATCATCATTTTTTTTAGCCGACTGTAATCAAATTTCGTCGTTTTTTTTCAAACAATTTCAGCTAATTTCCATTTTCTTATTATTATTGATCGATAATCATGATGCTCAAATGAAAAAATTTGACTAGACGATGATGATGATGATGAAAAATTCATTTTCACTTAATCATCATAATCATTATTATTGATGCCAGGAAAAAAAGAATTCATTCGAAGAAAATGAAGAAAATGTTATCATCATCTTCATTACATTCATAGATAAAAACCGGAAAGAAAAAAAAACTAAAAACATGAAAATTTGGATCAATTTTTTTTCTTGTATTTTTGTTCCAAAAAGAAAAATATTTATTCCCATGAAACAATTGGCGATTAAAAACATTGTTTGCATGTGTGTGTGTGTGTTGAACGATTTTTAACCGTTATTATTGTTGTGTGTTATTGTTGTAGATAAATCGATCGATTCAATCGATCTATTCGAGAACATTGATGATGATGATGATGATGATTGGTTGGTTGAAAAACGGTAGTTTTTTTTTGTTTTTTTTTTTACTTTTGTTTTCATAAAGGTAAAAGGAGTGGATGGACCCGAAATGAGGAAATGAATGAACTAGCAATGATGATGATGATGATAATATCGTTTGAATTCAAGTTGTTGTTGTTGTTATTGCTGCTGTTGTTTTATGTTGCCCATTATCGTTGCCGTTTTATCGTTCATAATTTTTTTTGTTTTGTATTTTGCATTTTTTTTTTATAATTTCAAAATTTTCTCCCCCTCTTAAATTAGTGCATCCAAGCATTTTTTTTTGTTTGTTTCACATTTATTTCCCCATCTGATTCTTTTTTTTTTGTTTTGTTTTGGTTTTTGTCTGCTTGAAATTGGATTTAAAACTTCAAGTTTTTGGCTCATTGTTTTATTCGAACGGAATTGACAATGAGGTGGAAAAAAAACACTAATGATCAATACATGTTTGATTCGATTTACCGCATATTAATGATTGAATGTTTAACCACGAACACATTGTTTCTGTATGATATAATGTTAAATATTAGTTTGTGTGGCAAAAATATTATCATCATCATCAGTCGTCATATATCATATATATAATATATGATTTAGATGCAGTGGTTTTTTGTTTGTTAATCGTTAATGATTTTGATCGAATTTTTTTCTTTTTCTTATTATCTACATCATCATCATCATCATCATCATCATCATCATCATCACCATCATCGTTTTTATTATTATTATTATTGAATGGCTGATTAGTAAAAAACAACGAAAACGTTTAAGTGTTTTCTTTCTTTCTATATTATTGTAATCGATCCATAAGAGAGCGGAATACGGCTTTGAAAGTGATTGATGGACAATCTGTAACAACAACAGAAACAGCAACAGCAGCAATAAATAATAAATACAAATAACAAATCTTTTTCAAACCTTTTAATGATGATTAAATCGGTTCGTTATTTTTTTTTATTTTTTTATTTTTTTGTTCATTCCATCCGGATCGGACAGTCATGAGTGAAGAAGAAAAAATACATTGATGGCCACTGCCATCATTGCTTCTTCATTATCATCATTTTGGAAGATTGAAAACAAAAAAATTTGAAATGAAAATCTAGCATTATCATCATCAAATGATGATGGCTTGTTTTGTTTCATTTTCATTTTGGATGATGAACAAAAAAAAGTAGGTGTGTGTGTGTCCATGTATTCTAGATTGATGATGAATGGTTGACCGATGGTTTTCAGAGCCAAAAAAAAAAAATTTTTTTTTTTCCGTTTGTTTCATTTGTTTGTTACCATTCACTATTGTTATTGTGATAGTAGTATAATTGTTTGTTTGTTTGTTTGTAAATCTGATCTATATCACCGAAACACACACACACACATATACATTGTTTTATTTCACAATTCAATATTGAATTATTATTATGAAATAATTTTTTTTTACAAGAAAAAAAAAACACCGGAAGTGATTAGGATTCTCCAGGTGGAAACAAGTGAATAAACATTCACAATGATGATGGATCATTTGTAAATAGTGAGTTTGGAAATTAAATTTCTATAAATTTCCATTTTTTTTCTCTCTCTCTCTCTTTAGTTCTTTATTCGAATCAATCATTAATTATCATAATTATCACATGATTTATGAACAAAATCTAAAAAAAAAAAAGAAAAAATTTTTGTACTAAAATAAAAACAAATATATACACACCTGGTTGAACTAATCTGGTAATAATGCTATATTAATACAGACAAATATGTCGTCCATCAATGAATGATACCCGGGAAATTAAGTTACAAATAACCAAAAAAAACAAATATAGAGGCATCATATAAAATAATTTGTTCATCATCAACATCATCATCATCATCATCATCATCAATTATTTGATAATGATAAGTGCATAGTAGTTTGTTTTTAGATTTTAGCCAGCATTTTCAGTATTTTGATTTACAGGTGGCTAATTTATTATATAACCATGATGTGGTTAGTATATATAGCTGCAACATTTATATTTTTCTTTTTTCATTCAACAAAATATCGATTCTATCGATAGGATTCTCTCTCTCTCTCTCTCTCTCTCTCTATCGATGAAAAATTAATTAATTTGTTCATCACTTTTATCAATGATAATGATAAAGATGTTTAATTAGAAAGAAATTAAGAAATTAAATTTTGTCAATATTGTGTTCGATTGATTTTCGTTGTTTTTTTCTCATTCAACGATATAATGGATAATTGTCCAATAATAAGACGAAAAAAAAAAATTTCTAATCAGAAAATCTTTTTTATTTATTTCAAATCCAGATTAACAAAATCAAAAAAAAAATGGTCATGATTATCACATAAGTCGTTGTTTTTCATTCATTCATTTGTTGTTGTTGATAGAATTAATCAGATGTGAAAGAGTTGATCACGATAATCTCATCTACATAATGAAAAAAAAAATAAATAAAAACAAGTGAACAAACAAGTGACCCACAAGTCAGTTTTGATGTGTGAGCATTGCTTTGGAGGGGGATGATCTTTGAGAATTATTTGTTTTCCGGTCTGTAATATGATTATCATGTTGTTGAGAAGAGAACATTTTTCACAAATTAGAATATTATATATGAAAATAGTCGTGATTTTTTTTACATTTTCAAACCAATTTAAAATTGATCTGATTTATTAGATTGGATTAAAAATAAAAACAAACAAACAACAACAAAAACAACAACAACAACACATCAAATCACGATGGATTACGTTGTGTTTTTTGTTTTGTTCATCTACATAAATTATCGATTTAAATATCAAATTATCACTGGAAAAAATTTTTTTTATCCAGCCCATTCTGAAGAATCTCGTCATCATCATCATCATCAATCCAGATTGGAGTAAATTGTTGACAAAAAAAAGAAATTTGGAACATTTAAATTTTTTTTTTTTTGTTGAATAAATAGTCAACTTCAACAACAATAAAAAATTTTTTTTCATTATAAAATCCATGAAAAAATGATGATGATGATCATCATCATCATCATAAAAAGATCCATTATCACCATTCAATCGATCAATCAATCAATCAATCTGTTAAAAAAGAACAAAGAACAAAAAAAAACAACACATAATATCCATATGAATATCTGTGAAATTTTTTTTTTCACACAAAAACACACACACACACACTAAACGTTTGTCATTGTCAATGTCACATATGATCATCATCATCATCATTATCATTTTATCTGTCATAATCTGTAGAGATCATATCATCATCATCATCATCATCATCTTGATGATCTCACAGTGAATGGCTATTTTCTTCTTCATTCGTTTGTATTGTCCGAATATAATGATGATAATAATAATAATAATAAAAAATCACAATGGGCTTTTTGTTGTTGTTGTTGTTGTTGTTTTGTGAGATTTGAATAATAAAAAACAAAAAAAAAAAAATTTAAATGACCGCTTCAATAGGTCAATCATCAACATTATCATAGTCGAATAATTTTTTTTTGCTTTACTTGCTGTATTTTTTTTTTCTTCTTCAAATCAATTGTCATCAATCAATCTATAAATCAAATTTTGAAGATGATTTTCGCCTGTTGACAATAGACTTGATTTTTTTTGATTTTTGATTTTTTAACTTTTTTTTTTTTTGGTTCCTGGTTTCGTTCCATTGTTCATGATCATTATCAATCAATCGTCATTGACCATTGTTTTTTTTTTATTTTTGATTGATTGATTCAAATTGTCTAAGTGTCTAATTGTATCAGATATATATATGAATGATGATGCTGTTTGAAACATTTGAGTTTGTGTTTTGCTTTTGCTTTTTGCTTTTTTTGCTTCAAATTCAATTATATTATCATTTATCATTGATCCATGAAGTTTATCTTGTTTTTTTTGGAATGAATTTGGATCATTTGATGTTCAGTGGTTATAATCATCATAAATGTGTGTGTGTGTGTGTGTGTGGCTTAATTAGATTATTAATTAAAAAAATTGTTGATTGATTAGATATATAGATAAATGTGTGGTCATGTTTTTATTTCAAAATCCAAATGCAAAGGGTTTACGATCCAATGGATTGATGAAGAAGAATATGACTGGCTGTCATTCGGAAACGATGAACTGATAATGTTTATTTCATTTGCACATGAAATATTAATGTTTTTTATGGCAGGGTCAATTATCATTCATATTGAAGGTCAATGATAATTTTATGTTGTAATGGAAAATTTTTCTCTCACACATCTCTATGGAAAATCCAAAAAAAACGAAACGAACGAAAA